TCCTTTCTTTTTTTTTAAAAAAAAATACCAAATAATTGTCTATATAAACACTAGCAGGAGCTTGGTCAAGCAAAATCTCTCTATCTCTCTCTCTTTTATCTTTGTATGATCTTTCCGTCGATATATCGTCTAATCCTTGGGGAACCTCTCTATCTATATGCCTCCATATCTCTTTATCATTGAATTATCCTTCCGTTCATATATCTTATAATCATTGGAGAACCTCTCTATCTATATGTCTATATATCTCTTTATCTTTGAACAATACTATAATCTATTCCTTTATTTCTTTAAAGCAGTCCTCCCATATAGTTTTTTTTGGCCGATTGAATATAACTCTTTGTCCTAAGGGCATTTTGGTAAGAGCTTTTTTCTTTTCATTTGTATATACAGCTTCTTTACCATTAAAATATTTTTTTATTATGATGATGTTATTTTTCAACAGGTTTTACTATGCATATCTTTATTTCCGACTCTATATACTTTTATCTATAGCTTTATATTTATCTCTATATCCACCTATATCTATAGCTATACCCCTCTTTGTATATACCCTTTATATGTATACCTTGCTCTATGTATTTGTTTTCTTCTTTTCTTTTCTTTCTTTCTTTCTCCAAAGTATCCGTCTTGGTCCCAAAAATTTCCGGTAAGTATTGTTCCATAAAGAACATAAGAGCAAAATATACTTACTTTACTAGTGTCGACTCTCTGGGCGTTTCGTTCCCAGGCGAGCTTACGTTTCTTTTTTCTGGACCTACAAGAGAGAACGCACGAATGATCTCTTGTACTGTGTTTTACGGTCTTTATTGTCGTATTTCACTGGCAGTTTCCTGCGCAAGTGTCCAGACGGGTTGGTTGTGGTTATGCGCAATGTGGTGCGGAAAATGTTATTCTGAAAACATCCGTTAGCTTGGAATGGTGTATGCTGACGTGCAGCACTGCTTGACCTCGCCTCTGCTTTCCTTGCCACTCTTTCTTGGAAAGAGAGCAACCAACTCCTTTTTCCCCCTCGCTGTCAAATCAGGTCTTCGTCCTGAGGGGGATGGATCCGCTATTGTTATTTCTGGCAAAGTGGTGAACTAAGAATTTGACATGCTCTCTCTATAACACGGTTGTTTGGCCCGACACTATTTGATAAGTTTCTCTTTTTTTTTGCAGATCTTTCTTCATTTACATCGACTCTAATCAATACTCTCTCTTTCTATTGCTTTACATAGATCCAATATCAACAAACTCTTGCTAAACAAGATCTTGGCCCAGTTTTTGCGATTTATTAGTAGTAGATTTTTCTTCACGGCTATTTCTGTTTATCTGGTACAAAGATTGCTAACCCTATAGTATTAGCAGCAGGATAAGCACATTATTTCACACATAGCACACGTTCAAAACCATAACATATATACTGACTCTACTTTGAATATCTTATCTGGGCGTTTAGTTCTCAGATAGGATCAGCTTTCTTTATTCTGGACCTGCAAGAGAGAACGCACGAATGATCTCTTGTACTGTGTTGTACGGTCTTTATTGTCGTATTTCACTGGCAGTTTCCTGCGCAAGTGTCCAGACGAGTTGGTTGTGGCTGTGTGCGATGCGGTGTGGAAACCGTTGATCTAGAAAACATCCGTTGGCTTGGAATGGTGCATGCTGACGTGCAGTGCTGCTTGACTTCGCCTCTGTTTTCCACTCCACTCTTTCTTGAAAAGAGAGCAACCAGCTCATTTTTTCCCCTTCGCTGTCAAATCAGGTCTTCGTCCTGAGGGGGATGGATCCACTCTTGTTGTTTTTACTTTTAGCAAAGTGGTGAACTAAGAGTTTGACATTCTCTATGCAAAGTATACGTTCTGGTCGCAAGAATTTTTGGTAATTATTGTTCCGTCAAAAATGCAAGTACAAAGTATACTTACTTTACTAGTGTCGACTCTCTGGGCGTTTCGTTCCCAGGTGAGCTTACGTTTCTTTTTTCTGGACCTACAAGAGAGAACGCACGAATGATCTCTTGTACTGTGTTTTACGGTCTTTATTGTCGTATTTCACTGGCAGTTTCCTGCGCAGGTGTCCAGACGGGTTGGTTGTGGTTATGCGCAATGTGGTGCGAAAAATGTTATTCTGAAAACATCCGTTAGCTTGGAATGGTGTATGCTGACGTGCAGCGCTGCTTGACCTCGCCTCTGCTTTCCTTGCCACTCTTTCTTGGAAAGAGAGCAACCAACTCCTTTTTCCCTCTCGCTGTCAAATCAGGTCTTCGTCCTGAGGGGGATGGATCCACTCTTGTTACTTTTTGCAAAGTGGTGAACTAAGAATTTGATATGCTCTCTCTGCAACACATCTTTTTGGTCCGATACTATTTGATAAGTTTTTCTCTCTCTTATGTTTTTTTACAGCTCTTTCTTCATTTACATCGACTCTAATCAATACTCTCTCTTTCTATTGCTTTACATAGATACAGTATCAACAAACTCTTGCTAAACAAGATCCTGGCACAGCTTTTGCGATTTATTAGTAGTAGATTTTTCTTCACGGCTATTCCTGTTTATCTGGTACAAAAGTTGCTAACCCTATAGTATTAGCAGCAGGATAAGCACATTATTTCACACAACGCACATGTTCAAAATCGTAATATATATATACTGACTCTACTTTGAATATCTTATCTGGGCGTTTAGTTCTCAGATAGGATCAGCTTTCTTTATTCTGGACCTGCAAGAGAGAACGCACGAATGATCTCTTGTACTGTGCTTTACGGTCTTTATTGTCGTATTTCACTGGCAGTTTCCTGCGCAAGTGTCCAGACGAGTTGGTTGTGGCTGTGTGCGATGCGGTGTGGAAACCGTTGATCTAGAAAGCACCTGTTGGCTTGGAATGGTGTATGCTGACGTGCAGCGCTGCTTGACCTCGCCTCTGCTTTCCTTGCCACTCTTTCTTGGAAAGCGAGCAACCAACTCCTTTTTCCCCTTCGCTGTCAAATCAGGTCTTCGTCCTGGGGGGGATGGATCCATTTTTGTTATTTATTTTTTGGCAAAGTGGTGAACTAAGAATTTGACAATTGTCTCTCTATATATGTATTCTTCGATCTAGTCAACTAATAAAGTTTTAATAAAAAAACCTTTTGGTTTGAATTTTTATTATTATTAATATATTTTTTAAAATGACCAACAACAATATCTCATGGTCAATAAATGTTTAGTAAGCTTGTTGATATTAATAAAAAGAAACTATGTATTGTACTATATATGTATAATATTTTTCTTTTTATGAATATTAATAAATAAATCAACAGTATAGAAAGGCTAGTATGTTGGTAGCTGTGGTGTACACACCACGATTGAGTGAAGAACAGACTCCAGAACCAAATACCAGTTTCTGCTTACCAATGAATCTGGAAAGTTAATAATCTTTAGGACTATTACACACCAGGCATATATACACTACACACTCATACAGTTTAAACCAATTATTATACAACAGTGATTTGAATTATAGTGATTTTAATAGTAGCAGATATAAATAATATTATTTGGTCTCTTTAATAAATAACACTCTCACAATATCTACTTTTATTATTATTGATATACTAATCCATAAACAATGCCGAATATCTCAGTAAGTTTGCAAATTTTCTGAACAGCTTACATGGTAATATTATTAACTTATTTGAGTGAGACATCAACCGTGGTGATGCTATAAATTGATGTATCTTGACATCTTGATGCTGAATAGAGCGTCAGCAATGCTTCAATGCACATTACAAAATACTTTCTAATTTGTTTCTACTTAACTAATACTTGCAAGATAGTTTGTACTGAGATGAAGATGATCAGCAGGCGGAAGTTTGAACTCGTATATGTTAAACATGCTTTCCATGAGGATACTGATAGGTTATGGTCTTTTGTAGTGCTTTTACTCAAGAACAAGCAGTAAGCAGTTCATTAAATATATTTTTACAATTAAATGATATTTTTTCTATATTGAAATACTCTTTATGACTAGCTTGTGCTCTAGTAATTATAATATATATACGAAGTTGTAACTAGCTTGCTGCTAGTAATACGTCTCTGTGAGATTCGAACTCACGCTCTTCCAGCCAAGGTTGGAAAAACACCTGTCAAGCCAACTAAAAAGTTAACTATAGACCGAGACGGGGGGAAGAAATCGAAAGACAAGGGCGAACTTTACTTTTTTAGGCAACGAAGACCGTATAAAGTTTGGAGACCCCGCCTTTTTCGTTTGGGATGAACGAGATTTTATCGTTCTAGAATTGGCATTATCAGAGTGTCTTTGCTTACGACTGCCTAGACAGTAATAAGCGAAAGACAATATATGGTGTCAAGTACAAAATTGTACGGAGAACGAGTAACATTGTTTCCAGCACAGAGTAATGACTTAAAGGCGTTCAATCAAAAACTCATTGAACAAGCACATCTTTGCGAAAACAGGATCAGAACACCGATCACGAGAGAGTGGAGGCTTGAATAAAGTAATTTCTCTTGCAAAAAAAAAACTTCATTTGCTGTTATAATATAGGCTAACAGCTAGCAAGAAGTAGACCAGTACATCATGACAGTCAGACCAAACTCTATACTGACTCTCCTACTTGGGCTCAATAAGCGTCCCAACTTGTTAAATCAGTCATACCCCAGACATATGGATGCCTATCGCACGGGTTGAGTTGGTTTTATTATAGGTCAACTGCGTCGCTAGAACGTTCGGCTGTCAACCCATAAAAAACCAGTCTATCTGATCGTCTTTGAACCTCAACATCTGACATCAATGGGGAGGAGAATATCAGGACTCATCCTCAGTCCGTTTGGCTTGTCATAGAGAGTGGTGGTATTTCATTGGCGCCCGGTGGCTCCCACCTATGCTACACCTCTCTATGACGGATTGACCACGTTGTACCAAATGTCAGAATAGAGGAGACCAGAGTAGACCGGTGTTTCTTGCTAGCCGTTCCCAGAGCCATTAACTGGGTGTGGTTTGGTTGGCCGCTTTGGTTTTCACCGCAACGACGTCACTAGAGGCTTTCTTGACAAGCTGATGTCAAGGCTGACCCTTTCGGGCCAGACTTTCTCTTCACTATTAACTACGCAACGTTAGTAAGAGTTTCAATGAAATAAGGGTATATTTTTTATTTTGTGATTACTTACATTCACTTCTTGAGAAAATAAATTTAGGTAAATGTCAAAAGCAACATTACTACAAATTACATTAATAAATTCATCATAATTAGCACAAAATGTGTGAAATGTACTTTCTTTAACGATTTTGTTACTTACATGGGCATTTCTCTGTGTTGTGTTTATGAGAAAGGCGAGTTTTCTTTCCTTCGCACTGAAGAGCCATTTTTCTATACGCGTGAGTGAATACGCAAGATATGACGTAAACACTAATCGTCTAATAGAATAATTCCACATATTGGCGTGTGATATCTATGTGGCTTATTGTTTATATATAATTATTCCATGTGTCAATCCTTTGAGAAGCAAGCTTTCTGCATGAAGAAGAACAATAAAGTAGTGAAGCTTTCTGTTAGCAAAGAAGAACCCAAAATGGAAATTTAAAGGTAGTACTCAGGTACCAGCACGTTTAAGAGCCTATTAAAGACGAGCTTAAAACATATAAAAAGAAGTTCTGTGACCTTGTGCTTCTATTGTGTAGCCAGTCCCATCTTCCCATTTTACGTAACAGAAACAACAACAGAATTAGCAGCAGAAGAAACTACTAGAATATTATATCAGTATATATCGTAGAGCTGTAGAATATAACTTGTATGATTTCCAAGCAGAATGTTTTTATCGAGAGCTGGTGATACCTCTTTATCTCATATTTAAGTCTCGGGTCGTGAAATTAAGCTGTAATATAAAAAAAAAAGTGATCCAGTTTGCTTTTTACAAAAGCCAAGGTTTCACAATGAATTGTTTTTCAACATTATAATCCGTTTGGTTAAAATGCTAAAAACCTCAATATATAATCACACATATTTTCTCAAAATCTGTGGGGTTAATCCTGATGTATTTGTGCTGATGTTTCAAATATCTTGCCAAAAGCATACAAGCGCTTCTTTCTTCTTTTCCACAAAATTCCAAACTCTTGAAATCAAATAAAAAGCTATTATAAAGTACAAGGCAAACTGGTTATTATTATTTTTTAAAAATCATTTGAATCTTTAAATTCAAAACTCTAAAGCTTCTAAGTATTTAAAGCAAAACAAAAAGAGCAAGCTTAAATAGAAAGAGATATATTGATACCAAGCAATGTTTTTCTCCTTTAAAAAATAATACCATCATTTTATAGTATTTCTCTTTGTAAATTATAGTCTTTACTGGAGTAACTACTTTATTTATCTGTAGATAGAATTACCAATACAACTTTAACTGTATATCTCAATGAAGCACCGGGACTTTATTGCTGTAGAACCAGTATTATGTCTGACAGCTAATCAATCTTGCTCGCAACCAAATTGACATTGTCCTTGACTAAGCTGAAGGTGTAGCTAGACTTTTTTCTGATCAAATCCTTAGCAGAAACTTTGGTATCTTATTTTTTTCTACTGAATATATTAGCTATATATATATATTACTTTCTTTTTTTTCCATTTTCCTTACTACCTAATATTGTTTTAAGATATATGTGAGTTTCTCTCCTAGTAGCTGCTGGGTCCCTTTTGTTCCTACCTGTACAAGCACATGCAAAAAAAAAGAACGTTTTCTTGTCCCCTTTAACAAAATAGCGCACACACCAGTTTAGAGTAACCTACAAATCACCATTATGGAAACTTGTACTCCGCCTTTAGAGTTATTTTTACACCGATCAAGACCAAACCCTTCTGCACTTCACTTTGCAAAGTCGTCTTGCACAGTCCGTTGGTTGAATATTATTGGCTGCTATTTATGTCGTAAAACAGTTGCAAAAGTCTATGTGAGAATAAGACTTTTCCCAGTAAAAAGAAGAAATATACAGTCATGTTACGTTTGCTCTAACTTGGAAGTCAAAGAACTCTCTTAAAAAAATGGCGCAGCCATACACTTTAATCAAAGGCAGCGAGTATATAAAAATAACTCCCATTCAACCCACGCGGTTTTTTCTTATAGTTTTTTTTGTATTTACTCTGGAGATGAGTGTCCTCTTATCTCTTGTAGCTGGAAAGACTATCTACGTATGGTTTGATTTGGAGCCTTTCTTTTTTTTATTTTGTACAGAAACAAGTGGAACTGGGTCATTATATTGCTTATTAATTGATTCTAAGAGGTACAGATAAACATGATTTGAATTGTGGATTTAATTATATTATCTCTGAAGCAATGCCGACGATCGTATTTTTTTTTTAAAAAAAAGGGTCACCGTCAAGATTTAACATCATGAATGTTGTTGAGAGTGGAGGACGGGAAGATAGTAGAGTTTCCTACCAATTCTTCGTAAAGACCCTGTTTCAAAGCTTTCTGCCACTGACGGTGTTGCTTAGTAGTCGAATAATCTATACCTTGCTACTTCTGTGGTACGCTTCTCTGGTATGTTTGCTACCCCTACTTAGGGATGAGATAAGGTGGCTGAGATGAACCGGTGTAGTCTTACACCACGGATTATTACCATTCTCACATATCCTTCGCTACAAAGTCAGGCTCATGGGCGGAAGGAAATTGAGCAGTGTAATGCGGGAACAAAGAACTTGTGGTCCTGGTTTCTTCTTTTTTTTTATGTATATATTTAATAAATAAGTAAAGTCGTTTTTAAACTGTTATTGACTCTAGTAGAAAAATATGCGTTTAGTCATTATTTTTTACTTGATTGAAGAGGACAATGCTGTAATTAAAAGGGCTCGTCTATAATAAAGACTAATCCAGTCAAACAAATCTGAAGATTAACATAAAATAACATGCATACTTTTATCTTTGTGTTAATCACTGCGTTTGAATGTATAGACTGTTGTTTGTCTATAAAGTCTATAAGAAAACTCAGAATATTTCTTGAGAATTCTGGTAGTGCGATATATAGATATTACTGAATTTGGATAATCTAGATGGCCATTGTGAATAGCATGTATTTTAATGAGACAAAGAAAAAGAGGGATATGAGATAAGGAATAAAGAAGTGTGTGGAGGGTTGAATACACAAGTAAATGTCCTTGTTGTATTTACACAGATTGTGCACAAAAAAAGGTTTGATTTGGATGGATTTATGAAACAAGGATTATTATCTAGAAACCTTTTTGTACTTTGATTATCAGTGAATGATCAATACTCTCAATTTGTTATTGCATACTCATATGCGCAATTATATTTACAGTCCAAATATAACCTGAATTCTAATAAGAAGAGTGGAAAAGCAGTATTGGTACAGTACAAAATACATCCTTCAATATTTTGTATATAAAAGTAATTTTTCAAAGATATACAGACAGTTTTTATATTGCAGTTCTTAGAAATAAGTTGACAGTGGTAGGGTATGTTGCGTAAGCGAGACATGAAATTCATAAAATAGATGTATCAGCCTTTTAAATTACATAAAGTGGAGTGGAATTTCGATACTCGCCGGTTATTACAGCTAATTCATTGATAGCGTTCAACCTGTTCAAAAACAAGCTCATTTTCGTAATACTTGCTCAAACTTGCGCTATACAAGCGAGCTTGTTTAATAATAGAGGGTTCTCGATATGTCTTGTGTGTCTAATAATGAGGATATTTTCTCTTTTTAATATATACTCACGCAAAAAAAAAGTCTTCGCGGAACAACTAAAGTTGGAATTTTTCTTTACACCAAATCTACATGAGCAAACGCCTCGTAGCATCAATAGAGAAATAATGGAGAAAACATACCTTGCCACGAGTCGTCACACTTCTTACATAGAGGCATTTTTTATCTTTATAAAGCTACGAATTCTCAAGGAGAGATCAAAGACATTTTGGAAAACCTTTATTCGACGGTTAGAAGCAACATGCTCAAAGCCCGTTTGAAACCTGCTTAAAAAAAGCAGAGGCAGAAACAGGAGACAAGGAATTCGAAAATAAATTCCTTTATTAAAAAAGTGTTTGCTTGATTCTTCTATGGTCATGCCCTACGGTTAATTGTACAAATTATTTTCATGTAATCTCTAATCTATGTGTATGCTAACTGGTAATGTTAAGAGAGGAGTTGTTTAAACGTAATCGGTTTATTGACAGTGTTATCCTAGATATTAATCCAATTGATTATTCCGGGACCAGACTGGTAGTTACTTCCAAAGCCTAGGTTAAGAAGACCAAAGGAACTCACTATCACTAATAACACTATCCTTTGTTTAATTATGAAAAGAAACACATTTGAGGCGTATGGGCATTACAAAAGTAGCTTGGAACTCGCTGGTGTAAAGGTTTGTTAAGTGACTATGATCAATTATCTTTGTGCAAACAATTTTGGTTCTTACATCTCAGTAGCCGGGTAAAGACTGACGACTAAACAGACAGAGAATATACTACTTTGGACAAGAGCCAGAGCCAGAGCCAGAGCCAGAGCCAGTTCAACAGTTGAAGGCTGAGATAGGGTGATATGCTCATAAGAGTCCGGGTTTATAGTAAAGGGCCATAACTTCTGTACGCATATAATCCGTAAGCTTGGGGAACATTTCCAGAAGAGTCATATAGTATCAACAGTGAAGTTTGAAAAAAAAGCTTGAAGATTGTATGAGGTGTTTCTGGGCTAAAGGCTCTGGATCTTTTGTGGCTCCCAAAAGGGTTTGTCAATTAAGACGTTTACGTTAACTGTTTTTTCAAACAAAAAAAAACTTTAGCTCTAATATTTGGTATCAGAGATAAAATGAGAACCATGAAACTAAGTTTACCTTCAAAGAAGATGGCAACAGCTGCCATACGATATCATATAAAACATGGTGGAAGAACCATTGGTTAATCAAGCGATTTGACTACTGACCTTCCCAAAGCCCTGATTTGAAGCCAATTAAACATACATGGGAGGGCATGGAAAAAAATCGCGTTGTAAAGAGAGAGAAGGCTTACATAAACAATAATGAAGATTATGAGGCCTGTATTATCAAGGAGTGGGAGCAAATGGACCGAGCCTTTAGAGCTAATCATGTTGTCAGTATGTCCGATAGGATTAAGGTTATAATTTTCTACCTGTGGTGGAAACACCAAATACTAAAGCGAAAATCTCTTTTAGCTTTTATAAAACATTCAATGTGCTTTGCTTGAAGATAAGATTATAGACATTTGCGATGAACAACTCAAGGTATATTCGTTAAAAAAATATGATGCTTATATTTTCGAGGTGCTAAAACACTATAATTTTGGGAAGACTTTTTCTTTGTATGAGTTTATGATTCTGTAGCTTTGAGAACATTCCTATTGGGAAATGTATTCTCCAGAAACAAAGTATTTTTTTTAACTAAATGGATCCTTTTGTTCCTTGATAGGAATAATATATTTATGAAAGGAAAAAAATGTGATTTTATTAAAAGTGACAGATATATTTCCTCATTGGGAAAGGTATAGGCCGGAATCTCGGCAGGTACTCCCATATAATTGTGTGGTCCGCAATGATCTCTTATTTCTTCAAGGTCGCTGTCAGTCTAAGCTTGCTGAAAAATAATTGATCTCTATTGACCATACAATTTGTTTCATATTAAGTACTTTGTCTACCCTGAATACTTCCTTTTACTTGCCTTACCTTGACCTGTCTATTTTTGGCAGCCTATACTTGACCCCATTCAAAGGCATCAGACCCTTTTACCTTTACCGACTTTTGAATACACACTCAGCCATTTAGAAATTGGATTTTGATTTCGATTTTAGAATAACCAAATAATATATTTATATACAAATGATAATAAATAAATAAATAAATAAATAAATAAAAAAAGCTATCGTTCTTGTATTCCTTTTAAGCATTAAAGAAAAGTTCCCAAAAAAAAATCGTGTATTTTTGCGGCTATAATTATTTATTCTTTCTATAAATTAAATTTTGCTCACATAACTCCAGCTAAAGTACATTACATTTAATGACCTTTACTATACGCACACGCACACATACATATATATGTATATATGCTTTGACATATTAATGTCAATAGAATAAGATAAAATAAAAAGAATAAGATTTATATATATATAAAAATATATATAAAAAAAAAGAAGGGACGTCATGGCACTACTGTGACGCGGAAGACGGAGATCTAAACGTGCGCGTGGTAAGGACGTTTTGGCACCTTGTCTGTTCTCCTCCCTCCACTTGATTGGATTTCGACTTGTCCCGTTCCTTTCTCTCTCTTTTTTTACTCCACTTTGTTGTTGTAAAAAAAACAAACCATAACCTCATCTTTATATTTTTATATACGTATAAATATATAATTTATATAAAATTTGGCTTGAATGTCGCACCCAGGCAATATTGATCCTAATTCAGCAGTCTATGCTACCGATGAGTATGGTCGTCCTTTTATCATCGTCCGCGAAGGACAGACAAAGTCTAGATTGAGCGGGATCGCTGCCATTCGCGTAAGTTTTTGACACAAAGACATGTCATCATATATATTTTGTTTCGTTTTTCGTTCTCCTCTTCCTCATCCTCAGAGTGCACCAAACAAACAAACAAACAAACAAACAAACAGCGAGAAGAAAGAGAAGAACTAATGGACGCGTGTACACAAAATAGTCCCACATCTTGGCTGCCAAAACCGTAGCCACCATCATCAAAACCTCTTTGGGTCCCCGCGGTCTTGACAAGATCTTGATTTCCCCCGATGGCGATATTACCGTCACCAACGATGGCGCAACTATTCTCGATCAGATGGCTGTTGAACATCAGATTGCTAAACTTTTGGTTCAGTTGTCCAAGAGTCAAGATGATGAGATTGGAGATGGTACCACTGGTGTGGTTGGTATGTTGACACGTTTTATTTTTCTTTATTTTTCTTTTTTCTTTTTATTAGTCTCTTTAAGAAACTTTTTTTCTTCTCTTGATTTCTACATATTTTTATTATTATTCTTATTATTGTAATCATGATAAATTATACAAGATTTGACATTTCACAAAAAATACAACAGCAGAAATAATCCAAAAAAAAGAAGAAGAAGAAGCATAAAAACTCACCATGAAATTTATTAGTGTTGGCTGGGTCTCTGTTGGAGCAGTGCGAACAGTTGTTGGATCGTGGTATTCATCCTATCCGTATTGCTGATGGCTTCGAGCGCGCTTGCAATGTCGCTGTTTCTCACCTTGAGTCCATTTCCGATACTATTGAGTTCAGCAAGGACAATGTCTCTAACCTCAAGAAGACTGCTATGACCAGTCTTGGCAGCAAAATGCAAGTGTTATTTTACATATAATGGAGAAGGAAAGATATTTAATAGTGGACGTACAAACTTACATCTTCGTTTTTTTATTTATTACTTTAGTGTGTCAAAGTGTCATGAACAGTTCGCTGACATTGCTGTCAACGCTGTTTTGGCCGTTGCTGACTTGGAGCGCAAGGATGTTGATTTTGAGCTTATCAAGGTAGACGGTAAGGTCGGTGGATCGATGCAAGATACCCTGTTGGTCCAAGGTGTTGTCATCGACAAGGACATGTCTCACCCTCAGATGCCCCGTGAGGTTCGTGATGCCAAACTTGCCATCTTGACCTGTCCCTTTGAGCCCCCAAGACCCAAGACCAAGCACAAGCTCGACATCACCTCTGTTGAAGAGTACGAGAAGCTCCAGGCTTACGAGACCAAGAAGTTCGAGGATATGATCAAGCAGGTCAAGGACTCCGGTGCCAACATGGTTATCTGTCAGTGGGGCTTCGATGACGAAGCCAACCACTTGTTGTTGCAGAACAAGTTGCCTGCCGTCCGCTGGGTTGGTGGCCCTGAGATCGAATTGATTGCCATTGCAACAAACGGTCGCATTGTGCCCCGCTTCGAGGATCTGTCCCCTGAGAAGCTCGGTAAGGCCGGAATTGTGCGTGAGCTGACCTTTGGTACAACCAAGGATCGTATGTTGGTGATTGAGGAGTGTGCCAACACCCGTGCTGTCACTGTGTTTGTACGTGGTGGTAACAAGATGATCATCGACGAGGCTAAGCGCTCGCTCCACGATGCCATCTGCGCTGTCCGCAACTTGGTCCGTGACAACCGTGTCGTATATGGTGGTGGGTCTGCTGAGATTGCTTGCTCTTTGGCCGTGTCCAAGGTTGCTGATGAAATCTCGTCAATTGAGCAGTACGCCATGCGCGCTTTTGCCGATGCTCTTGATGCCACACCTCTTGCTTTGGCTGAGAACTCTGGTTTGTCTCCTATTGAGACCTTGGCCGAAGTCAAGGCTAAGCAGGTCCTTACCGGAAATCCCCGATTGGGTGTCGATTGTCTCTACAAGGGATCTAACGGTAAGTTATTTATATTGATGGATTGTGTGGAGGAATAGGAAGGTGAAGAATAGGAAACCTTTTTTTAAAAAAAATCAATATTAATGTTGTTGTTGTTGTATAGATATGAGAGATCAGCACGTCTACGATCCTCTGATCTCCAAGCGCCAGCAGTTCTTGTTGGCCACTCAGTTGGTCAAGATGATTTTGAAGATTGATGATGTTATCACAACCACTGGTGATGAATATTAAACGATAGATAAAGAGAGTCAAAGAAAAGAAAAGAAGAAGAGCCAAAGACCAGAAAAAAAAACAGTGGATAAAGAGAGACAAAACACAAAAACCACAAAAGACAAAATACTAAATACAAAGAGAGAAAGACAAAAAAAAATTGGTATTATTATTACTATTTAGTATTTAATGTCAAACGAAAACATATATAAAAAGAAAGAAGAAAACAAAAGAGATAATTTTTCTTCTATACAAAACAAAGTAAAACAAAATAACAAATGTTCAATGTTCAATGTGTATATTCTATTCTATAATTTGATTTAATTTCGATCTCTATTTCAAGTGGTGGAATCAGTAAAAGAATCCTTGAATGACTACTAAAAAGAGGGCGAGGATTCTGATACATAAATGAAAAATAAAGAGTATTTTATCATGGGGAGAAGATAGAGGTTTATTACAAAACTAAGATGGCTACTAAGTTATAGTCCTGAGAGGGTATTTCACAAGTCTACGAGAATTGGATTTTGAAAACACTATGTCTTTAATACTTGGTTAACAATAATTGTTAATATGCAAAAAAAGTGGCTCTCGTATTTCCCTTTGTTCCTAAAAATTCTATTTTCATAAAATACTCATAGGTAACAAAAAGTTGCGAATCTATAATTGCATGCTCTAAATTTCAAGTCAACGAAGGCCAATCATTTTATATTAAATCACCGAAGTATAAAAAGCTAATTCTCAAAAACTGGGGAAGACACCCTTCCATAGCAATCCAATATGGTAATCTATATATAAAATTCTTGGAACTGACAATTCGGCGACACTCCATCTTCTGGAATGAGCCAGTAATTATTTATTTTTATACATTTTTTCCCCTGTGGGTCTTCTAGACATCTCTTCAAGATTCCAGGCGTTCTGTCTTAGTAACTTGGTAGTGCTGGGGTGAGACTGGATCTCGGAATATGCACCAAGTTAATACGATGAGTCAGATATTCCTGATCTTTGGCCTCTAACGGTATGATATCTTCTCAAATCTCTATTAGTACTATTATTACTATTATTACTAATATTAGATACACTATATTGTCGGGTTTCTGGGTGCTTTGGTTATGGTACCCTAATATCCCGTCTTCTTGGTTTTTGCCCTCTATGTCTGAAGGAGAGGATCAGATCGTTGCCTTTGTCATATTCCCAGTATTCGTGGGGGTTTCTTTTGAGGTCTGAGACATTTGAGGTTGAATTTATTTCGCATCTTTCTAAAGTTATTTTTTTATATATATACAATTTTTTTTTGTTTTACATGAGGATGACAAATAACATATTGGATCTCTCCTTTATTAATAACAAGCTTGAAATAGGTGTTGATCTTGGTAAGATTTCTTCTGCCCTTGAAAAACCTATCCTTATTGAAGAATATCTTATTTTGATGTCACTGGTTAATTGCCCTTTTTTATTATTATTATTATAAATAAAGCAGGTCTGCAATTTATGCAATCGGCTTATTATTGACTTTCGTCATAATTGCTTTGGGCAGTATTTTCGCTTGAAAAAAAAAAGCTATGATATTTTGTGGCAAAAGGAAGTTAACTCTGTCAAAAGATAAAATAAAGGCAATTGATGGTGAAATTAACCCTGCTGTATTACTAACATAAATATTTTCCCTCTTTTCTATATATGTCTATATATACATTTATTAATATTTTTATATCAAACATGGTTCTCTCTTGAGAAGGTTATATATTTTCTGTTAGTTATTTTCTTATTTCACCTATGTTCCTTGGCAGTCTGTCCAATTAAATCCACGTACTCATGTGTGTATGGAAATTAAATATTTATATTGTGAGTTTGATTAAAAAAGAATGTGAAAAAGAAATAGATAGTATATGAATTATTAGTGCAAAGCACAAGTATAGAATAATGTTTATTCTCGTATCATTTGTGCATGTAAGTACTCTTTTTTTTTCTGCTTGGGTTTTATGTGATTTTCAAGAGGCATAAGTTTTGCCATTTGAGACAATGTGAACAAAATGGTAGACTTGATCGGAATTCATTTGATTTGGTTTGGTAGAAAATATGGCCACCCAAGAAGTACACACAGCACAGTACAGCACAGTACAGCACAGTACAGCACAGGACCACATGTTTGTGAGTCTAATGATGAGGCTATTATAAAATCTAAATGCCATACATGATCCCGATACTAACTTTCGGACAAAGTATTCAAGTCAATATGGTTATAATGGCCACATATGCCGCTCCAAACTCCCTCTGGTAAAATACTATTGTGTATATTTTGTATATCGATCATAAACATCATAGTCATAAGGTAATTATGGTCTTGTTCTGTCTTATAAAGAGATGAATTATATAATACTACTACTATTGCCATTGTCATTGTCATTGTTATTATTATTAGTCTTTTCTTCTTCTTGTTATTCTGGAGGAGAAATATAGAAAGGGAAATTAAGGGTCCTTGTCAGGCAAATATAACGGGCTGTACATCTTTACATATATATATACTATACTATTCCCTTTTATTTACTTTTTCTCGTCATCTAACATGAGGGAAGAAAAATCTTCAGTCTATCTTTAAATGCATGTCATCTTCACCAAATGGTATATTGACATCATTCTTTTTATCTTGTTTTTTTTTATACATACATTATAATTACCGCTTCTGCTGCTATTACTACTATTACTATCACTACTGTTGCTGTAACGACTATGTTGATTAGAGCAAATTTAGCTATTAATGGCTTTATCTTAAGATTGAATTAAACTTTGGAGAGTCCACAGTATAAAGCAAGAGGAAATAGGAGAATTATATTTATTAAAACAAAAAAGAAAAAGAAAAAGAAAAGGTCTTGGATACCAAGGTTCTATCTTGTAATTTTAATTGTTATTAGCATTATCATTATCATTATCATTATCATTATCATTAGTACTACTACTTTGTATGCTTCTTTCTTTATTTATTTATTTGCCTATCTGTTCTTTTTTGTTAATTTTCTAATTAAGGTATATATTCAATGTCTCCTATGTATTTTTCTTTCTTCTTCTTCTTCTTCTTCTTCTTCTGTAGTAGTAGTATTATTATTATTATTATTATTTTGATATATCTATATGTATAAAGTCTAGTTTTAGTTAAAGAATATATAAAGGAGGAGAAGCTAATTTTGGAGTAAACGAGTGGTGTTGCCACATGCAAGAAATGCACACTTATAAAAGGAGTATAAATGAATAAATAGGCGGATGAGGTCAAGAAGAGGAGCTCTTTGTATATGTATTTTGATCTCTTGGGGGGGGGAGGAATCATGGAAGATAGTCTTTTTTGAAACGGAGCCACACTACCCCATAATGTATATTACAAAAAGGCTTCACTTTATATTCTATATATTTTATTTACGCTTTTGGTTATGTGTATTGACAAGAAGATTTTTGAAATATGATTTTAGACATATATCCATTTAACTATCTATAGACATTAGACACATATATACCTCCAACCAGACAATCGATGTAAATTTATACATTTTTATATACATTATAATAATTTATATAAATATAACATTTTTTTTTAAAAAAAAAAAAACTTATAAATTGAGCTGATAAACCACTAGCCTTTTTCCTTTTTGTTTGTTTGGTAGTCTTTTTTTTTACTTACCTTTCTTTAAATAAATTACCTACGCACACACGAACGCATATATATACCTTTATATATTTATATAGCCAATTATATACATTTATGTGTGTAAAATAATTATATTTACACTTGTATATGTATATTTAGCCATTTTAACCATTTAAATATATAACCAAAAAAAATAAATAAATAAATAAATAAAGAAATCAGTGTGGGTGGGTGTGGGTGTACATACATACATACGTATATATATATATATATATATATATATAAATATATATACTGCTTATATTGCTTATATTTCATACTTCCTTGATCCAATTCTTGACGATAAAGATGCCCAAGACAATTTATCGATTCAGGTAAACCACACTAAAGAAGGGGAATTTTCTTTTTCTTCTTATATTATCGTTGTTACTGTGGGTGTTACTGGCTACTGTGTTTGTTGTTGGGAATTCACCTTTTTCTTTTCTTATTTTATGTATATATATAATATTCACCAAACAATGGTAATCGCTCTCTATTTCTGTTCCAAAACATCAGAGTCAATGTACCTGAATTAACTACTGGTTTCCGTGTCCACTTGTATGCCTACCAAAACAAGTACCCGTCATTTTCTGAACTGACAGATAAAATAAAGGCTGTCATAAACGAGGTAAGGAGTTGAGGGTTGTTTTGCTTCTATTCTTGAAGGGCTAATCCAAATCAAATCATCATGACCCAATTCATTTCTATTGTATCTCATATCTTAATATATTTGATATACATTTGATTTACACTAGACGTCCTTGGAAAATTATTCACTCACTCTCAAGAATGACCAAGGTCACTACAGCAAATTGCATAACAATTCTACTTTCCAGAACGCATTGAAATTACTCTCAAACCAGTCTCGGCTTGAGGTTACCTTGCATCGAAATGAACCTGGCCAGTCTCGGTACATCTGTAGGTCAAATGCATGTATGTTTGTTCCTCGACGCCCTTTCTTTTCTTTTTCTTTATATATGTATATATATATATATATAATCCTTTCTTTCTTTGTGTCTTTGTGTCCATGTTTCTTTGTTTCTTCAATTTACCGAATCTATTTTACAGTCAATGCTCTGGATCGACAGCCCGAACAAGTCCCGATCATAAAACCTACTGTCTTGCGCTGGGACCCTTCTTGTGATTCTTTCAATGGAGCCAATGCTGACCGTAAGGATTCTGGGGTGAGCATTGAGGAGTCTGGAGGAACGAGAAAGAAGAGAGTGCAGTCTGCTGATCCTATCCTCTTCAGGCGTACCCTTCCTGACCTTTCTTTTCCCCCACAGACCAGGCGCCTCTCTTCTTCGTTCCATCCTCTTGATCCCCAAAAGCCGTTGACAGCACCTTCTTCGCCAGACTATTCTCGAACAATAACTCTACCTGCAATCTCATCTTTGACCTCCGCTGTCGATCCAACCTATTCTCACTTGGCACCCATCCTTCCTCCACCAGCAATATACAACTTTCACCAGCATCAGCATCACCACCAGCACCAGCACCAACAGAATAAACAAATCTCTCAATCATCTAGATCCACATCCACGTCCACATCCATGTCCACGTCTCCACCATTATCAGTGGCACTAGTCCCTACCACACCTCCGCCAATTTCGTCTCAACAGCTGACATTACCTCGCCACAATTTGAGATATGCAAGTCCGGGACAGTTTGTGTGTGAACATCCGATGGGTGTGTCTGGTAGGGTGTGTGGACAAACCTTTCGGCGCTCTTATGATCTTTCACGCCACCAGACAATTCACCTGAAGAACCGACCCTTGTGTCGCTGTCATTACTGTGGCAAGAAGTTCACTCGCATGGATGCTCTTCGTCGGCATGAACGGGTTCAAGGCCACACAAAGATTTCCTCTTCTTCTCCTGTTTCTTCTTCTTCCTTATCAATGTCAGTCTAATTCCTTCCTTTAAACTCTCCCAAGTTATATTATAATTACTACTATTACTATTACTATTACTATCTTTCTTTCTCTTTATTATTCTTCTTCTCCTTCTTCTCCTACTCCTTCAATAAGAGAATATTCTATAAATCGAATAAAGAAATAATCAAGAAAAGTGAAATTGAAGTAATTGCTGCTGGCCGGCTTCTATTTCTTTCTTTTTTCGTTTATTTATATTTATATACATATACATATTGTAATCAAAGTCAAAATGAACATTAGAAATTATTCTCAAAAGGATTTCCCTATATTTGTGCATATAATTAGATAAGCTATATAATTGTATTACATTTTTTTTTCAAGATTTTGCGTCTCCATGCCAACAACTATCAAAAAAAATTGTATATAAAAATTAGTAGTCATTTTACTTGTTTAATTCAAGAAAGAAAGAAAAAAGGTTATTTGTCTTGCAATCAAGTTTTTTTTTTCTTTCTTTGGCCTCTTCTGGACCCTGGTATTGATCAACAAAGGTCTCAAGAGACCCCTTTTCTTTTACGCTTCTTCTTTTTTTATATATATATTTTATATATGTTGGTAATAACTTGTTTAGTGTTATTCACTTATTCAACTCCTCGGATTTCTTATTATTAAATGAAATGAATATGCAAATGTACATTTTCTACATTTTGTATACCGACATATGTTTATAAGTTTGTATCTGCATTGTGATATTAAACAATTAATCAATCAGTCAAACAAGTTGATATCTAGAATGAGTATTTCTCGTATCAATTCAAGCTTGATTTACATTGTCATTTAAGCATCAAAAGAGTACTTTGAACCTTTTTTTTTTGTCTAGAATATTAACTCTAGGCAATTATCTTTTATTATTACAAGAAAAATTGTACATAATTTGTGTGATGGTGAACCCTTTTTTTGTTGTTGTTGTGAGTACAAATATACATATTCATATATCCAACACTAAGCCGCGTTATCCCTGTCACGTGTAGAACAAATTAGGAGTAGGAAAGAAAGACTAACAAAGACATATAGAGACAGAGAGAGGGTGGGGGGGTTTGAAGGTTCAACCGAGAAATGGGCCCACCAAACTAAGCAAAAACTCCGCCCAGGTTACTGGTTTCCTGTTTGCCCAGCCAAACTTTGCTTTCTCTCTCTTTGTATTTTTTTTTAATATATATTTTTCTTCTTCTGTTTCTTCTGTTTCCTGTACTTCTTTATTGAATTTTTCCTTAATTTTTTTCCCATTATACCACACATACATATAAATTTTTCTTAAAAGAAAGAAAGAAAGAAAGATATATATATATATAAATAAATAAAAAAATAAGAAAAGAAGAATTATGGATTACAACCATGAAGCACCTTACCCACCATCGCCAACACCACGACGTCAAGAACTGAATCGACCAAACAGTAATGCAGTCAGGGCAATGGTAATGGGATCCATCCTATTCAGAAACCCCTCTCACCTCCTTATTTTATTTTATCGTTTATTTATTTATTTATCTTCTTTTTCTTTTTCATCTAATCAATGTCTATTGTAATCACATTTACTTAGTCTGCTGAGATTGAGCAAGTCGTCACAAAGTTACTACGCACTACAAAGGCACTATTGGAAGCCTTGACACAATGGTCTCAGATGAATATGTCTACCAACGAGATCCTTGAGATTCACGAAACTCTAGAAATCCAGTTTTATTCTGTTTCAAGAGTATTTGAAGAAGCTAATGTGTCGATGGGGTAATTTTGCTGACCAATATATATCTATCTAGGATGATGATGATAATTTTTATTATTTTAATCAAAAAATACTAATACTCTGTATTCTAACATATCTGTATCCATATAAAGTGATTTAGGGTGGATACCAAAACAACTAAGAGAATGCGTATCTGGAGCTATGGAACAGGAACAATCGATTGTTACCTTGGATCAGCACCTGCCTCGTATTCGTGACGTGATTGTGCATTTGTTACATGGCTTAAAAGGAAAGCAGCAGCAACTTCGAGAGAGAGACCACGCAGCATTTTCAAGAGACCAGCAACACCGCACAGACTCGTGGCACAGCACTGTTCCCCAAGCAGTTTTGGCTAGAAATGCAAGTCATCAACGGGCTTATAATAACGGAGCAACGTCTCCTCCGCCAATGCCTTCGGGTCGTTTGACACCATCCGAATACGATCCTTACCAAGGCATGCCTCGCCCTTCAGTATCCACCGAATCTAGAATACGTTATCCTGGTGGAAATGGAAGTAATAGTAGCAGTAGCAGTGGGGGTATTGGTATGGGTATGAGTATGGGTATGGGTGGTGGTGGGTATCCTCAAAGAAGCGGTAGCGTTACCAGATCATACTCTCCTCCTGTCCCAACTCCATCTACTGCCATTGGACGTATCCCCTCACCTTCACAGTCCACATCATCCTCTCGTTCACACTCTACACGTTTTCCTCAAACTATAGCCAGCGTTGTGAGCATGGCCAACAACAACAACAACAATAATAATAATAATAATAATAATAATTCTGGATATCATGATGGTGCTTCATCCATTGCTCCTTCTCCTCCTCCACCTCCTCCTCCACCACCACCACCACAGCCAACAATTGAAATTTCATTACAGCCACAGCAAAAAAAACAGCAACCTTCTTCTGTACCACAAGGATTTGACGAGTCTGATCCCAATACTGCAGACGCCTTAGCTGCCCTGAAACGCCAAGAAAACCTTGCACGCCGTTCTTCGGTCAGAAGGGCATCGATGTTTCGTACCGGCGGAAACGAATATAACGTCAAGCGTGGATTGGATGCACCTCCTGTTCCTGCTTTGCCTAATGAGACAACATCCAAACTCTCGAATAAGCTGACAAGTGTACCAGAGGCAGCAGAAAATTTAGTAGAAAAAGAAACCAGACAAGGTAAATTTGTGTGTTTTTAAGAACTTTTTTTTAAAATTTTTTTTTTTGAATAATAATGTTTTTTTATTATTATTATTATTATTATTATTTTTTAAAAAAAATAGGCTTGACTTTGTATCTACAGATCAGCAAGGATGTCAAAAAGATTCATTACACAGGAGAAATCAGCGTGCCTGCTCTTCGTATGCTGTTCATCGAAAAATTTGGCTACACTTCTCGCCAATCCGACTTCCCTAGCATTTATATCCGTGAACCAGGTGTTCATGTATTTTATGAGCTTGAGGATCTTTCGGAAGTGATTGATAAATCAGTTCTTTCTCTCAATTTGAATGGTAAGTTCAAAGAACAAGAAACGCTTTATAGGTCTATTAATAAATTTGCTTTTGTATAAAAAATAAATATATAAATAAATATAATAGAGCGTGATGAAGAGCACAAGAAATGGAAGGAAGAAATTGTGGAAATTGTCACAAAAGCCATGCAAGACAACCAGAAACATGTTGTTGATCAATTGGATCGGGTCAAGAAACAAGTAGAAGATACGCCAAAGCACCAGGGCACTGTGCTACGCGACCTTGTCCAAAAGATGATAATCGAGCATCGGCCCACGAGTGTTTTGGAAGGAAGTGAAGGTGTCAATGGTGTCCTTAATGGTGCCGGGACCACTGCAATGCCTCCATCTGGTATGTCCCGCGAAGCTGTGGAACAACACTTGGCTGAGGTAGAATCCCTGCGCCGCGATCTGGCAGTGTTGCGCCAACTGCAGGGCGAGATGAAGGAAACCACGGCGGATGTGCTTGGTGGCCTGAAGGCCAAGGCAGTGAGTCTGCGTGAACAGGCCAAGGAGCCCACGACAGCCAATGTGTCGGCTGCAGCAGTCGCAAATTCGAATGCACGCCTGTTTATCGAAGAAGGCAAGGAACAGCTTCTGACGAGCTCAGACAAGATTACGACCCGGCTTGAGGATCTGCAGGACACGATTGATCAGCTCAAATTGGATGTCACGCTGCGCAAATCCAGCCCATCCGAGGCACAGATGACACATTGTTCTAATGAGACCAAGGCTCTTGCTCAGGAAATCGATCAATTTGGAGCATACATTGCCCGGGTCAAGCCGACCTGGAAGAAGACGTGGGAGCAAGAACTCCAGACGATCGTGAAAGAGCAGCAGTCGGTCAAAGAACAGGAGGGACTCTTGCTTGACATGAAGGATGATCTGGCGGCACTTTTGGAAGTGTTTGAGCAGCTAGAGAAGATCTGTGTGTATCGTGCCAAGGCTCGGCCGGTCCTGCGTGAGTTTAGAGTCGCGCCTGCCGAAGAAGGGTTTGAGGGCATGGCGAGTGTGTTCAAGCAAGTGACTACGATTGATGTTGATCATGAGCGCCGTCTCAAGGCACTTGAGCAGGCAGAGAAGATGCGACAACGCGAGATTTTGAATAAGGTGGATGATTTTGAGAAAGAGCTTGGCAGTTTTGTTGAGGCCAAGAAGCTCAAGAAGACCGGAGGAGCTCAAGAAATTGAACGGATAAGACAGCAGAAAGACAAGGATCTCTTGAAGGCAATGTACACCAAAAAGGCGGCGCCGGTTATTAATGACAATGACAATGACAATGATGAAGGTGAAAGTGAAAGGTCAGGAGGAGTACAGGAAGAACAAGAAGGACAAGACCAAGAACCAGATCAATGATGAATATTAAAAAGTAAAAGAAGACCAAAAGAATCTTTGCGTCTTTTTATTATCTTTATCTTTCTGTTACTACTACTACTACTACTACTACTACTACTACTATTATTATTATTATTATTATTTAAAAAAAAAAAAGAAAAATCCCCTTCATACGCATATTCTCTCAATCATCATCAAACTTATATCTACACAATGAAATATACAAAATATATCTAAATTTTACTATAATATGATGTTAAATTTGAATCGATTGAGGACACTTTGGATAGGCCAAATGAAATAGGGAGAGATGCTAGTAGGAGGAGTAAGAGGGGAGGATTTATCGGCTTAGTAAATAGATTTGGTGCAAGAGGTTTGAGATGACTTTTCATTCGTTCCTCGGAGTAGGTTCAATTATAGGTCCGGCATAAAAAATAAAAAATAAAAAAAGAAACAGAAAAATACGAAATAGCTACACAATCCTTATACCAACCATTGAGATCTTGTGATAGATTGAAGAAAAAAAAAACCAAAGAAGTCAAAGAAGTTAAAGAAGTTAAAGAAGCCAAGAAATAATGATCAATAAAATATAAAATATAAATATTTTGTACCTATAGTTTGTATATCTTTATCATTATGAAGTGGATTAGATAAGCTATATACACATACATGCATACACAAGCACACATGTATTCAAGCCTCGGAATATCTCTCCAGCCGTTCACCCACCAAAAAAATAAAAAAAATAAAAAAACTATAAAAATTACTCACACATTTTATTTATTTATTTATATATAAAAATAAAATAAAATACTAATATAATAATAATCTCACAAGCCTTGAAATTGGCTGCATCTCTTTCTTTCACTTGTATATTTATTTATCTTTTATTCCTGTCAATAATGCTCTTTACTCCTAAAAACCACGCCGAAAAGAATTCTTGGCTTCAACCCGAATCACCTGCTACAAAAGTTAAAAACCGGCTCTCACTCTTCCTCAAGCGAAAAAGTACAGACAGACCCGTCAGTCAAGCAACAGCAGCTCTTGAATGTCCTGCTTTTGAATCCACCTACTCTACTTCCTCCACAGCTTCATTTTCATCTTCGGCTTCCTACCGAAGCTCGCCTCCCTTGACACCATGCCTGGCTATGGAATCGGTTCCGGCTGAATTCAGTGCACCTGTTGAACCATTGACCTTGACTCCTGCCTGGGAGCTTAAAGATATGTCACTCGGATTCCAAGTTCGTCACTTACTTGGAACTGCCTTTGAAGAAACCGATCAAATCATTGACGAGACCTGGACAGAAAGCCGTCGAGAATTGACCAATACCCTGGCCACTCCATTCCCTCTCCAGTACAACTAAGAGTTGTATCGACCCACAACAGATTCTTTTATTTTTCTTTCTTTGTTTTTCTTTACATTCTAATTTCCTTTTATAATTTCTCTTTAATACTTAATACTACTCTTGATTCTAATTCAACTAATATTACAACAACTAATACAACTAATAATAATAATAATAATAATAATAATAATAATACTACTACCACTACTACTACTACTACTACTACTACTACTACTACTAATACTACTACTAATAACTAGATCGTGTAAAATTCCTTGATTATATTTCTTTCTTTCTTTTTGTATTTTGAATGGTATAAAAATAATAAAATATCGCTTTCAAGCCAATATTATATATATGAATATGGATATGGATATAATTTTCGATTTTGATTTTATTTAATCAAAAATCACATAATCGTTCGTGGCTTTTTTTTGGGAAATAAAATGTGCAGATAATATACAATATATCATTAGAACAAGGTTTATCTTGGTACTCATACATATCAAACAATTTCTCCTATTATATGTATCTTCACAGCCTTGCCACCTTTTGTGAGAAAATCTTTCGATATTAATTATTATTTTTTATATACTGTATCCAAGGATACTAAAGAATACAAAGAAAAAAGAAAATGGGAAATATATGTATATTTATTTATACAGCAACAAATCCCGCGTTCTTCGTTTCCCATTCTTTGGTTGAACAGAAAGGAAACACGAGGAAACAATCGGCGCTCTATTGATAAAAAAGATATATATATAAAAAGGGTCTGCTGCCTTTGACTATATAGATATGTTACACGTCTTGCTATCTTTTCTTTCTTTCTTCTTATTCTTTTAGCCAGATGTTTCATAACACGATTAGTCTACCTTTGAAGGGGAATTTATCTGCTTCTTCTTCCTTTCTTTCTTTCCTTTGATCATTTTGAACACAAGCCAAGAAGTGGAACACAGGAATGACGTCTGGTTGTATTTTACCCGCTTTATTCTTCTTCTTCTTCTTTTTTTTTTAATTCATCACTATTGTCTGTGTTTTCCCCCATCAATATAGAAACCATAAATGATGATAATTTCACAAGAGGTTCGGGGTTAAGAGAGAGAGAAATCAACTTATCACTATCCAGATAGACAATAATTTTACATTTGCCTTACTCTATCAATAAACACCAGAAAGAAACCCAATTTTTGTTTTCCAATCTACACATGGACAAATAGTTCAATGCCTATGAAGAACATGCGTATATACACACAAACACAATTCACTTGCTTTGTTTGATTTCTTTTATCTTTATTCAGGACAGTATTTATAATAAAAGCAAAAATCTATATAGTGAATTTATTTATTTTTTCTCTTCAAGTTGTATTAAATAAATGACAGCCACACTGCATTTCGTGTCTTTTTTTTTATTATCGGGTAGTTTAGTAAGATGACGAATAATTGCGTTTTAAGATATCTTCAACAAAAAAAACCCCATTTTTGGATTTTATTCTTTTATCATTGGCCAACAATACAAAAAAAAACTCATATTATCATTTTATATTATTCTGATAGTAACCTACTTGAAAGTTTTTAGGTAAAAGTGGAAAGCAAGGTAATAATTAGGATCTCAATTAATGTGAATAGAGTTTAATGATTGTCAAAAATCAAAATAATAATAATAATAGTATAGTATAACAATAAACAATAGTAACGATAGACATATTGGGATAAGATCATATATTTCAAATAAAATCAAGCAAGATTGGGAAGAAAAAAGGGTATATAAATACCAGTCATACGTGCTTTGGTTCATCTACTACAACACACAAACAAATCTAAATTCAAATGGTTCAAAATACCACGTCAATTGGACTGATTACAATGAATGAGGCCTAGAATTTCCTGGTATAAAATGTAAACAGATTTGAGAATGTTAGAATATATATATTTTGCTTTGTCTTTAAAGTCCAAGGTCTTGACCATGACAACTAAATTAACAGTCTTGGTATTAAAGATGTATCTATATTATGATTTTCTTGCATTAGAAATGTATTGTCGGAGATACAATATATTTTTCTTTTATAAAATTAAAATGTCTAAATATATTTATATAACAATTGACAGATTGTATGCTTAAATAGAGCCATTATATAATTTATTTATATATAAATATTTTTCTTTCTATAAATTTATTATATATATATATATTTGTTTCTTGGTTTTATTATTATTGTTTTGATTAGTAATCCAAACAATGTCTGAAGATAATGATTCAATCTGGGGATCGAGTGATGAAGACGATGTTCGATATGAACGTACAATTGCAGAAAAGGAATGGAATCGCATGCACCAAAATCATGGAAATGTAAGAATGTCAAATAGAGCTTTATTTATTCCATTATTTATTTTTAATAATAATAATAATACTTATGATGATAATGATAGGAAGGATACAAGGATGGTATTATAGAAGGAAAAGAGGTTGTTATGCAAAAGGGATTTGATCGTGGTTATGAAGATGGTCTTGGTATAGGAAGATCGATGGGATATTTACGTGGAGAATTAAGGTAAAAAAGAAAAAGAAGTTTAATGCTACAAAATATTTATTTATTTATTTATTTATTTTTATTGTAGTACTTGGATCTTGTTTTATCAACAGATGGTAAATAATCCAGAGGCTGTCAGAGTGTTGGAACTTCTTTTAGATGAGGTCAATAAGGTGGATGTTCATCATATCTACACCAAAGAGTATTTTCAAGACAACTCAAAGTCTGCCGAATACGTCTCTCCCCAGGATTTTGTAAAGAGCTTACAGGACAAGGTTTCTTCTACTTTAATTGCCTTGCAAGATCACTAAATGATAGTTGTATACATCTATACTGTTCACCAAGCCCTTACCCTGCATTACATTATATTAAATACACACTACTCGCATTAAATTACATGTACAATTTGTCTTTGTCTTTGTAACTGTATTTAACATTTATACTTGATACTTGATTCACATTCATTTTTATTATCATTTCAATATCTATCACTGACTGCGCCATCCAACACACACACACATATATATATATATATGTACAACAGTAGAAATCCATCGTCTTCTTTATGTCACTTCTTTTTTTGTTTTGTTTTGTTAAAAGTCGGTATCTTTCAACAGGTTTAATTTCATCTTCTCTTTTCGCTTTTGACATTTGTGAGAAAACAATTAAAAGAACTGATATTTGGGGTTGAGAGGGAACGGAGAGGTTGGGAGTTTTTCTTTCTTTCTTCTTGTTGTTTTAATGACGTCTTGGGGCTTTCTCAATCACCAGTCTGTCACCGGTGGCATAGAGAGTGCTGATGGCAGCCTGTCGCTTGACTACCTCGAGATCGTGTTCGGCCTTGCGAATAAACTGAGTAATCTTGGAGGGGTCTGTCTCTAGCTTGTTTTCGTGAAAGGCATCACGGGCTCTGCGAATGGTGTAGTCTTTAAAGTTGTAAGACTGGAATCTGTTACCGAACCGAATAAAGTTGCGATAAAGCGATAAGACGTGTGCACTTGAAGACATTATTTTTTAATTTAATTTAATTTAATAGAGAGAGAGAGAGAAGGAGGGAAAGTGAAAGGGTAATTATTATTATTTTTATTAATAATAATTATAGATATACATGGATGGTAATTTTTTTTTAACTATAGATTTTGTATGTAAGAGATGTAAGAGACAGAGCACTAGAATGCAGTCACAATATTTGATGACGATTTTAATTTTTAATTTTTTTAATTTTTTTTTTAAATACTTTCACTCACGGAGAATTTGACCGAAGAATTCAAAAGGAGAAAGTCGTACAGAACTTATACGTATAAGACAGGTACATACCATAAGAAATTTATAATTCACCAAGAACTGTATTCAAGAGAGTGTGGTTTCCCTCTAATGTTTCGTTTTAAAGCATAATAGAATGCATGTATAATATGTGCCAATACACCATCTGGAAGGTCAATGTTGTAGTTTGTTAGATTAGTGTGTAATCTGAACCCTGTTTCTTGGCAAAGACAAAGAAATATATATTAGTGAATAGGTCTAGCTTGATTGGATCTATATGCTTGAATAATGAGTCTGTATGTTACAATTATACAGACATTATAGTATTTCTTTTCTGTTCTGTAGCAATCCTAATCTACACATTCGACTTTTCTTTTTTTTTTTTTTGGTTACCATTACTCAAATTACCACCAGATGTACCTGTTGGCAATACCAATGACAGGATATTCCATATAATATTTCGTTTACTTGCAAGAAAATAATCTATAAGCCATGTATGTATATTAACTTGGAGAGATGGGCACTACTTGTTTCCCCCTTTTTCTTTTCTCTCTCTCTTCAGACTGTCCCTAACGGTTTACTTTTCTAGAAACCCGACTTTTTTTTTAAAAAAAGAAAGTGCTATAATGGTTTTGATTGATTGGCTGGAAAGTTCTGTTTCAGGAAGACACTGTATATAGGTATTATAAAAAATCCCAATTTACACATAGTAGAGTACGGTACAACACATGAATATGAGATACACATGGTATATATATATATATATATATTGTGTTTTTTCTATCCATTCATTTCATTTCATTTCATTTCATTTCATTTTATTTCATTTATTCGTCGCTTTTCGATTACTATATTATATTATATTATATATATTTTTGGAAGAAAAATAATTTTCCTATAATCCTCGTTAACATTCACCATCTTCATTTTACTTTATAAAAAAAAATCTTGATGAGCAAGATGAAGAGATGTATAAATTATATTTTATGTATGTCTTATGTATGTTTATGTATGAATGTGCTTATACACCAAAATATGCCTTATAAGAGAGATAGGTAGATAAAGGCATTTACTTGATCGCCAAGTCCAGGCTTCTATAAATCTTGTGACTACAAAAAGGACCAACTGTAACTGTAGTGTACTGTAGTGTATAAACAAACAAACAAACAAATATATATATATATATATATATACATATTATTAAAGGCAACAACATCTACATTGGACCTTGGCTTGGTAATGTGATTGGTGGAATATCTGACTTGCTCTATTCCATTACACATAATGAATATGGTAACGAAAAAAAAAAATTTACCTTTTTTTGGGGGACTGGGGATGACAAGTAAAAAGAGAGAGAGAGTCTTATTTATTCAGTCAGTTAGGTATTTCATTTAGGTAGTTGGTGGGTTGGTTAGTTTGGGATAAAGATAAAGATAAAGAGAGGAAGGAAAGGCAATATGAAGTGGTAAAAAGACTAGATTTGGAAGAATCACACGCGGTCAAATGGTTACATGTAAATATCAATTATTCAATCGATAAAAAAGAATAGTGAGCAAAATGAATTCAATCGAAATCTATTAAACAATTTAGAGCTAAATAGACCAATCCTTAGGCACAAAATATATATAGAGAGAGAGAGAGAGAGAGAATATGAAAAAGGTAAATAATTTGTGTTGTAGTCGATTGGAGTCAAAAAATAATAATAATTATAATTATAATTATAATTATAATACAAAACATATAAAACTTGGCGAATTGAAAGTAATACATATATATAAATTTTTATACTATGTATATAATAACAATAATTTTTTTTTTCTATTATTTACTTTTTCTCTTTTTCTTTCCCTTTCTTTCCTTTTCTTTCTTTCTCTTGACTTTTATTTTATTTTATTTTATTCTGTTATTTTATTTTTTGTTAAAAAGAATCAAGATGCCAAAAGATATCCAGACCTTTACCTTTGAACGCCCACCAAATTTTGATCAAATCCGAACAGTCATCCAGCGACGAACCATCACAAAACAACGACGAGCCGTTAAGCAAATCCAACTCACTCCTACCGCTCTCCCGTCTGGTCTGCCGTCTCCTCCAACAGAACTCATTGATTTCGAACCAAAACAAACCACCAAGTCCAATCTCAAGTCTCAAACCAAAATCTCAAACCAAAAGCCAAACCCAAAGCCCCAAGATCCTTCTCTTTCTCTTTCCCCTTCCCCTTCCCCTTCCCCTTCGCCATCCCCTACTTCTTCTACTTCTACTTCTTCTTCTTCTGATGCTAAACAAATCGACGAAACCCAGATCCACCAGAAGCTGGCTCTCTTGAGAGAAGAGAAACACCGGTTGTTCCAACTCTTTAAACAAAAGGCTGCCGTCCCACCAACGCCTACATTACCACCCACTCCACCACCACAGCAGTACCAGTTCCAGCACAAACAGAAAGAAATATTAATGTCACCATCACCTTCTTCTTCTTCCTCTTCTTCATCTTCTTCTTCTTATTCTCAATCAATCTTACCCTTATCACCATCAAATTCTACAATTTCATCGTCATCCACACCGTCTCCAAAAATTGCCTCTGTAAATCATCTTCCCTCCAAACGACAGAGACCATCTCGCTGGTCTCCCGTAAACCAAACCCCATTCCCGTCCTGCTATCCTTATCCCATTCGGCCTCCTCATTTCCCTAACCAACCCCCTGCCAGACTTGTTAGTCTCAGGGACCACTAAATATATATATATACTCTCTCTCTCACACTCACACTCACATATACATATAATAAAATTCTTTAAAAAAAACAAACAATCAATCAATCAATCAATCAATCAATCAATAATAATCAACAACAACAACAACAACAACAACAACAACAACAAGATAATAGCTGACTGACTGACTGACTGACTGACTGACTGACTGACTGAAAGGATGAAAGGATGAAAGGATGAAAGCAATTAAAAAAAAAAAAGTGTTTCAATAAATAACGACTTACCCTAATTTTACCTACATTACTTATTAGCAGTGTTACTCATTTATCATTTTTACCAATTACCCACTTTTTACTACCGTTATTTATCTAATGTATAAATATATACTTCTTTTGTACCATGTACCAATATATCTTGTAAAATTAATACCTCTTTGAGTTGTATATATATATATATTTATATATCTATATCTATTCATATGTTCATCTATCAGTGTATTGTGTATTGTAGTGTAGTGTATATATTACAACCATAATTATTTATCCAATTTTATTTTTATGTGTATATATATATATAGTTTAAATATTCATCCGGGTTGGCTTGGTTGCAACCCAGCAATAGTATCGAGAAAAGCTCTGATAGGCATCCCACTCATCAAGCACTTCTTTTACCGCACAGTCATACTCCTCAGACGTAATGTTCCAGCGTGTCACATGAAAGCTCTTTTTGTTCTTTAACCAAGCCTTTTGTGTTTCTCGATGTATAAATCCAAATTGTTTGAGTTCTACACACAACAAGATATATGTAAATATAATATCAATAATATCTTGAAAGATCTATAAATATACATATATATATATATCTTTACCTCCGTCTTTGGACCATTCACCAATCGGAAGATCGAGAGTACGAACCTCGGGAGGCCCAAAACCAGCCTGGACAATCCACTTCTCGAGAGTCTGGATGTAATTGACATCTAGACCAAGTGTAGAGTAGTATGATTCTAGATATCCATGAAATGTCTGTTGCATTGGTCCTGGGTTGTGATACCACAGATCAGATTCAACCAATTCGATTGTCCCGCTTGGCTTAAGCACCCGAAACATTTCCTGTAGCACCCCAGCCCACTGCTTGCCCTGGATCATCTGGCCCATGTCTCTCTGATGAATCCTAACAACAGAAATATATTTAATTTCATTTTTAATTTCAATAACTATTGGTAAAGAGGTATACATTTTTTTTTTCTTTTGTTTTATCATTCGTTGTAAAATTTAACTTACCGGTCAACGGAATTCGATTCAATGGGCCACGGAAGCTGGTGTATGTCGCTTTGAATATAATACAGATTTTTGGGGCAACCAAGCTGGGTGGTTGGTGGAAGTAAATCGAGTCCAATGACCTTGGCATCACGGTACTCGGCGGCCATTTCAAATGCCCATATTCCGTTACCAGTGCCGATGTCCAGAACAGTAGCACATTGTGGAGGACATGGTGCCCAGCAGTTTGTCTTTCGTGCTAATTTCAATAGATAATGCTAAAATGATAATTATAATATTATTATTATTGGCCAAAATGGTTTTGTATGTATCTAGAATACCAAAACATTCATTCATTTACCTGTCTTTGGAGTCTATCTAATTCGCGTGGATCATGCGGCGTACAATGGATAGATACAGGTGATGTAGGTTTCGATTGAGATGCTCCAAATAATCTTGACGCTGTTGTTTTTGATAATGATATTGATGTTGATGTTGATGATGATGCTTTTGATGATGATGCTGTAGATATGATTGATGATATTGATGCTATTGTATTTATTGTATTTGCTGCTGCTGCTGCTGTGGGATCATGATCAGTGCTGTTTGTGTAAGAAGAAGAAAAAGACCCCGTCAAGGAGTCGAGCCAGTCCTGGTTCCTAAAGCTGTGGGGGCTACTTGGGCGTGAGATCGAGAGTGGAGTGCAGCCAACGGTTGCAGTACTATGCCGCCTGATGTGCTTCTTTGGTTTTATTCTTCGTTCTCTGGTCTTTTCAATCGCACGACTGGTTTGATTACCCATCTTCTTTAAGCAATATACGTATATATAATTTTTTTTTATGATACAAGAAAGAAAGAAAAGAAAGAAAGAAAGAAAGAAAGAAAGAAAGAGATTTTTTTTATTGTTTTGTTTAAAATGAACAAGGGATCTGATGAGTGAACTAGGCTGTGATGGGTAACACTCACATTCATCACACGCGTACCTGTACACTTTGATGTACTTGGACGTACTTAGACGTACAAACCTGTATTATACTACACAGAATCACACAAAAAAAAAAAGAGAGAGAGAGAGAGAGAGAGAGAGATTGTGAGCTAAGAATCCTTTTACGCCAAATGACGTGAAATATAGACAGATGGCACTAGTCGTTTTCTTTGTGATTAGACTATAATATAATAAAATAGCTTGGTCTATGTCTATGAATTTATATGTCTGTATATTTTTGCTATCAAAATACAATACAATACAAAATATAATAAAAACATAGTAATAATTAAAGATAGAGGGAGGGAATTAAAGGAAACTATATGATTTTAATAAGCTTTTTTAGTATTGTATTCTATTGTTATACATAGAAAGCCTCGGAAGCACCATCCATTTAAGCTTAACTAAAGTAAAAAAGAAATTTATTATTATATATAGTGTACAACCCTTATCCATTGAAGGTAATGCTGTCATTCGACTCCTTATTTTGCCTTTTTGTTTCTTTGAATCTTGAGAACCAATCAGTACACAAACCCCATCTTGATAAATAACATAAAATACATTAGCGGGGTAGTTTTGATTTACAATAATCATATAATTACCATCATTTATACTTCTTTACGGTGATAGTGATGATTCTATAGAGAATATCAATAAACAAAACAAAACCAAAGAATTGTATGCATGGGAAAGGGAGCTGATTTAATGGTTTTAATGGTTTTTAGTAGTGTCTATTTTAGCTAGCGGGTGTCAAAAACAGGCCTTGTACAATGGAGCGCCATTGCCGTTCCCATCTCTTCGAGGCATATTCGGTCACCACATTCTCACGCAAACTATTCAGCAGTAAATCATCCTTGACAAACAAGATCTTTTTATATTTATTTATTTATTTATTTATTTGGTTTTGTTTGGTTTTGTTAGCAAAAATTATTAACCATGCAAAAAGAATATCAAATGTATTACTATTATCATTTAGTTGTTTAAAGTAAAAAATAAAATAAAAATAAAATCATACCTCTAATTTCTCGGCTAGCTCTTCTCCGGTTTGAAATACTAGTCCGTTCTTGCCATCTTCAACAAGCTCATGGAGACTGCATACATTTAAAGGTATCAAGGTTGTTATGCTTGAGGTTTCAAGACTAACTTTATAATTCTTTGTTTGTATTCTTACCATTCAAAATCTACTGCACAAACTGGCAATCCACATCCAAACATATCAACCACTTTCATCGGCAAATCCATGCCACTCGAACTAGTGTGGAGCGAGATACCGAGGTCTGCACTTCCAAGCAACAGAGGGTAATCATTCGATTCCAGCCAGACAGTAACAACACGCGTCTTTTGGAGTTTCATGCGAGATATCCGTTCTTCGTACACACTCTTCAGCGGTCCCTTTCCGGTAATCACGAACAGTAATTTCGGATAGCCCTTGTCTTTTTTGGCCTTTTCCTCATAGATCTCGACAGCCTTCAGAAGCAATCCGAAATCCTCGTCTTCTGTCCATGAAGTCGAGGACACAATAAGTTTTGGTCGGTCCTGTCTAGACACACATTCGTTTCCATTGAGTGTCATCAGAGTCTCATTTGGAGAATATGGTTGGCGTCCGAGGAATTCATTGGCATCAAGAGTTTCTTTTTTGACAATATCCTGAAGTCTAAATCCAACAAAAAACTATATATATATATTTTAATTAAATTATTATAGTTTTTTTTTAAGAAAAATAAAGAAACTTACGTCGTGTACTTCTTTAGTCGACAAGCGTTTGAAATGATAAGGAGGACTATCTTTGAATGTGACAATTTTGCCTCTATTGTATAAATCAATATATATATATGCATGCATGCATAGGTATTATAAGAGCTCTTACTTGACGTTCCAGTTTGTAAGTTCTTTATGCATTCGATCGGTCACTGTCAGATGACAATAGGCAGTGTTTCCAAAGTACTGTTCGTATCGTTGAGCAATCCGTACTATCCATGATTGGCCCAACTTGACTTTTAGAATAGAATAGCCAAAGTTGTGCCAATCAATCACAAGTTTCGCACCACGTAAACATGATGTCCAGCGAGCAATAGCCAATGTCGGAATAGCCGGTGGATTCTTTTTTATAAAAATAAATTTAAATGTGTGCTTAAATTATTATTATTATTATTATTATTTGGCTTACTTGTATAAAGATGTATTCAGGAGTTTGTGTAATACAATTCATAACCCAAGCCAATTGAAGAGCTATCCAGATTGCCTTGAAAGGTGCCCATAGAATATAAATCAACTTTGGGAACTTTTCAGGTAAACTAAAAGCAGGACGTAGGCGACGGACACGAATAGATCTATGGGTTGTAATACGACTAGTAGGATGTGTTTCTAAACAATATGTAAATAAATAAATAAATAAATACATATTTGAAATTTTCCTTACCAACATAACCAATAAGATCTACTATGCATCCTGCATCAGCTAATTGCACAGCATGAGAACGCATCCTTGGAGATCTTCCAATGTCACCCAACACAACCACTTGAACAACTGGTCGATGACGCAGAAATGAGTTTGAGGAATCAAACAGGTACAATCGCAATAGCTTTCCACCAAGGATGTAAGTGCACAGGATTACCAGCAGTACTCCTCCAACAGACACATTCCATGTCTCTAGAACATTCATTTGTTTGATTCAATATTTAATTATATTAATGTCAATAAATGAATGAATAACTACTATTAGTATTAGTATATTATGGTATATAAAAGGGTAACGCGCTTCGAATACACCTATTCGAACTCACAGTATATATATATATTCTCTCTCTCTTATACACTTACTTTTGGTAATGCTTATTTATTTATTTATTTAATTCAATTTTAATAATTAATTAATTAATTAGTTAGTTAGTTAATGAATGAAAAAAGGTAGTCACGACTATAGACCTTTATATTTCTTTACTTCCAATATCTTTCTTATTGTTTTGATCCCTTTTGATCGTTCTATTTGATGTGATTTTGATTAGATGCTAAAACCAGACTATATAATGCTATTAATTAATTAATTAATTAATTAATTATTTATTTATTTATTAAATAAGCAAGAAAATGAATAAATAAAATATATAATAAAAGAGAAAAGCAATAGAAAACAAATTAAAAGGTAGTTAAAAATAATTAGTACACATAAAACAAGCCCAATCTATACACCCACTTGTATGTGTAGGTGTGTAGGTGTGCAGGTGTTTATATATATATATATATATATCTAGATTGTAATTGACAAGAGAATATAATAAATAAATAATTCATTCATAAAATTATTCTTTTTTTTTTTTGGTTTGGTTTGTTTTGTTTTGATTTGATTTGATTTGTCTTCATGGCTTAAATGGGTTTGTAACATAGTAAAGAATATAAATAAAAAAATAAAAAATGAAATGAAATGAAATAGAAAAAAAAATAACAGGATGAGAGTTTAGAAGATGAAGGAGAAGAGGGAAGAGAGAGAGAGAGAGAGAAAAGGTTTGAAGACATAAAAAAAAACATCTTACAAGATTCCCCAATTTACTTCTTTTTTCTTCTTCTCTTTTTGTTGCCTTGATCTCTTTCTTTATCTTTCTTTCTTGTACTTTTTTTCTAAAGACGATGGGTACATCAAGAACAAGAAGTAAGATAGAAGAGAAAAAACAAAGAAAAGAAAGAAAAGAAAAGAAAGAAAAGAGGGTCTTGAAGTATGTGAAGGGGAGGGTTATTTTTGTATAAGATGTAAAGGAAAAATAGAGGGGGTGGAATGCATAAGAAAAAGAAAAACAAAAGGTGATGAACAAGGTTTGGGTGTGGCAATAGAAGTAAGAAAAGAAGAAGAAGAAGAAGAAGGGTTGGAGAGGATTATATATATATATATATATATAAAGATGTGTGCAAGTTGGATTCTTTTTTTTTTTTCAAAATGAAAAAAAAGGGGAGCTTAGTATTGGGGCAAGACTTGACCAAGGAAGCGTGTGAGACCATGGGCTGTAGAGCACTGGAGAAGGTTTGCCTTGACATGGGCGTCAATTTCAAGCGAAACATCTCTGGCGCTAGGACGAGTTCCGGGTTCTTCGTCCAACAACCAGGCAACCAGACCTCGCATGTACATCGAGGGGTAGCTGTAGGTGAAAGTGGGGCTGGGCTCGGTGGCGATAACGTCAAAGAGCTCTTCTTCGTCCTTGATCAAATAGTGGGGTGGTACACGGTCCATCATTTCAATAATTGTAATGCCAAGAGACCACATGTCAATCTTTTCTTCGTAGTATTCTTCTCGGATGACTTCAGGAGCCATCCACTTTGTTGTACCCAAACGATCACGGTTACGACGGGAGATACGAGCAGACAGACCAAAGTCAGCTTTTTTTTTGTTTTGTTTAAAAAGACATAAAGTGTTAATAATATCAATAATAATAATGTCAGTTCTTATTTACCAAGCTTTACTTCGCCATTCCATCCAAGCAAAAGGTTTTCACACTTGACATCTCTGTGCAAGAGTCCCTTTGAGTGGAGATAGGTCAGTGCCTTGAGAGTCTCGCAAGTAATATAGACCGTGTATTCTTCTGGAATTCCACGCTGGCAAAGCACAGCAAATACTGAACATCTCATCAAATCCATGGCAATCCAGATATCGTCTCTACACAGCGTAATCTCACGCAACTTGATCAAATTGGCATGACCGCTCGACATAATCCGCAGTTCACGCAGAATGGCTGCCCTGTACTCCTGATCGGGATCAAGTTTACAGCGTTTAATGGCGAGCTGGACACTTGGCTTCTTGCGATACGTTGCACGAACAACAGCACCATTGACACTAAAATAAAATAAAATAAAATAAAATAAAATATTTTTTGTATTTACAATATGTAAATGTGCACATACAATTATTATTATTGTTATTATTGTAGAAAAATATATAAAATAATAGAATAATAGAATAATATATATATATATATTTGGTATAAGAACGTGCATTATAGAGACCTCATGGTTTTATAATACGATGGATATAATAATAATGATAATAATATATATATATATATATATTTATGTATAATTGGCATGTTTAATTTACCCAGTACCGATCTCCTTAAAGTCGGTGTATCGTGCGCGTGGATCGGAGGAGCGGATGGAGACTCGAGGCAACATCTTACGCATCTTGACCTCGAACTTGTTCTCCGCACGAACAAGGGGTGGTAATTGAGGTACCTGGTAATGGGGGCTGGGAGGATACCATGGACGCTAAAATAGGATAAAAAAGAAAGAAGAAAAGGAGTTTTTTTTTTTTCGAAACAATACATATGAAAAATAAATAAATAGTAAATAGATATGAGTGGATGTGATATAAAAAGAAAAGAAAAAAAAATTAAGCTTGTTGCCATCACAACGAAATACATATATACATATATAAATATTACAATAGTTTCTTCTTTTCTATTTGAATTTTGGGGTTTTTGTTTTTGGTAGAATTGTAATCAAATGATCTGAATTTTGGAATATAGAATTTTGTATAGATAGATATGTAATGTTTATATGCCGTTACCTTTGTAACTTGCTTGCTTGGGTCATTAGGACGGAGACTAAGGCCAACAGGTGGACTTGGTTTAAGATAGGCGTTGCCAAGGATATCGGGGATCTCATAGCAACCAGGGGGACGCCATATATCCTTTTTTTTAAAAAAATAAATATATATATATATATATATATATATATATATATATATATAAGAAGAAGAAGAAGAAAATAATACAAAGCATAGATGTTTGTATAAAACAAGAAGAAAGGAACAATAAGCGTTAGTTGTCTCTTATATATATCTTTTCTTTTTTTTAAAAAATAATATTTCTCTTGTTGTAAAAGTGTAATGAACCTTGAGACAAGTGGATCGTGAGTCGGTTGTTTTGGCTGCATTGCTAAATGACGAAGTGCGTCTGAGATTGCCTGTCGATTTTCTCTTGGGATGAGCATGTGCAATTGTCAGGGCAAATGAGTTGGCGGCTGAACTTGCACAGTTTGGTTCTGATCTCGACTTTTGCATGATGGCCATGGACTATAATAGTTCCAAGTGTATATATATATATATTTCAAAAAAAAAAGAAGAAGAGAGAAAGGTTGTCCGATTGATTAATGCGAAAAAAGGTTGAAAGGTGGGTTTGGTTGTATAGGTTTGTACAAAGAGTTGCGAGTACGAGTACGAGTATGAGTACGAATGTGTATAGGTGTGGGTGTGGGTGTTTTGTATAAGATAAAGAAAATAAATGAAAAATAATAATAATAAAAAATAATAATAAAAAAAAACGTATGGTTAGATCAAGAGACCAAATGTTATATAAAATATCGTACCTTTCCAGACCGTAAGGATTGACGAGGAGAAGGGCCTCGTTTGTCAACTGCGAAATGCATTTTTAAGAGTTGTTTGGTCTTGCTTTTTTTTAATGAAAAGAGAAAGAAAGAACAAGTGTAAAAGAGAAAGAGAGAGAGAGAGAAGAAGGGGAGAGGGGGGAGGGCTTTATTAGGGAGAATGTGAGCGAATAAGAGAGTAAGGTTATTCGATCGGGGAACGAGTGGGGTGGAGTCTAAGTCTAAAGAGAGAGAGAGAGAGAGAGGGTAGGAGTAAGTCTAGGAAAAGGACAGTGATGAAAGGAAAGAAGGAAGGAAGGAAGGAAAGAAGGAAGGAAGAAAGAAAGAGTGAAAGAGGAGTATGTGGTTTTTTCTTTTTCTTTCTTTTTTTTTTGTTCAACGTGCAAGTGTGCTATAATTTATTTTTATTTTATTTTTTGTTGTAAAGATTTACTATGATTTCAGTTGGTCGATCGGAGAACTCTTTGTGGGTAGTTTTTTATATATATTTTGGTTGTGCAAGTGTGTTACCAATATTCAGGCTACACACAAGAGACACATAAAGGCACTCGTGCACTCTGTATCTTTTTTTTTTTTCAGAAATTGTTCGCGTACATTTTGAAATATATTTCGGAGTTTTAATTATTTTACATTTAAACATAGCACACATTTTACGCTTTTAACAAATTACAGCCATACACTTTTGTACATCAATATAACCATTAATATAAATGAATGAATCCCCATTTTATTTTATTTTGATTTGATTTAGTATAAATTCAACCAATATACAGCCAAAATAACCCACAAAATCAATTTTTATCAATTGAAGAATAAAAGAGGATTCCAGGTCAATAGAGACTAATTGTGCCTTTATTGTCTATAGTTGATTTAAAAGAGGTATTAAAAGACAAAAACAAAAAGGTCAATGTTCATTATTGTTCATACACACAGCCACAATAGTTATAGTTTAGCTATATCATTTTCTTCTCCTTCTTAAAATATTAACCAAACCTACTCAATTGGGATTTACCTGGTGAACAAGGAGCAAAGACAAGTGTGTCTATGCATCTACATCCACGTTTTGCAATCTTTTTTTGGATCTCAGACTTTTTCTTTTTTTTATATATATATTGAAATCATTAGTGTGTATTAAATATACATATAGTCTCTCCTGTATATTGGTATTTGATACATTTCTATATTTCTGTTGGTTTATACACCTATAAAGAGTCTATCTATATATGCATTAAATACGTTTGATTTGATTTATACATGGTTGGGTTATCTATCCTTTTTGCTCTAAATCATTTGATCAAATCTTTAATAATCACATCATTGTAATATACTTGGAACAGCCTTTAAAGTCATAGAATCTAGGGCTTTGTATTGACTGATTAATTGCAGTAATGGTTTGTTTGAATAGTAGAGAGAGAGAGAAAAAAAGAAAAAGTCAATGCAACACACACACACATATATATATGTATACACACAGACCTACACACAGACACGCACACAGACCCACACAAACATGAAAATAGAAATCTCATTATTTGGTACCTTTTTTCTTTTTACTTCTAATTAAATTAGGTTCTCCGCTACGAAGCCACTCTCCAAGCCGTCACAGACCCACTCCATATTAACTTTTTTTTTTATTTCTCTTTCTTTTTTTGTTTCCTCTCTCTGTCATTTTTATATTATATTTATAATATATATATACACACACAGCACATACATCACATACAGCATATCCCCCCCAAGATCTCTTTTTTAATCATAATGACAGACTATACTCCTGGAACACTTTCTAGCTCTATTATCGGCAACTCTGTCGACACAACTCTCAATGACCTCTTTCAAAAGAGTGTGAGTGAATTTAACCATAAAATAATAATAATTATCGTTCTACAGATGCATATAACTTACATTATTTTATATATATATAGGCTGGTCCAAGTCAATTGCTTACAAAACCAGCAGCAGTTTATGTCAGAACACCCAAAGGCATTAATGCAACCAAACAAGCAAAGGCCAAGTCAAAGACTCAAAATGCTCAGGCATTAGCAAAGAAGGCTGTCGAAGCTGCAAACAAGGCTCGTTCCCTGGCTGCCATGTCACCCCTCAAGAGAAAGGTACTAAAAAAATAAATAAAAGTATTTTAATAATTGTTATACTAATGGTCTTTCTGTTATTTTATTTTATTTTATTATATTATATTATATTATATTATATATATATATATATATAGAGAAACGAGTCTATCCAACCTGGAACAGTTGCTAAAAAGAGCGCCACTGACAAGAATTTGGCTCCTGAAACACCAGAAGAAAAGAGAGCAAAGGATGCTCGCACTGTATTTGTTGGAAACGTACCTGTAGAATGCATTGAAAAGGTAAAAAAATGTTACTATAAAAGAAAGAGGGAGTGAGTGAAGGAGTTGGTGGTGTTAATGACAGTGGTTATGTATTGAGAAAGGCAGAACAAGGGATCATTTTGTAGAGAAAAATGAAACCAACAATTATCTCTTTGTGTGTGGGTGTGGGTTGGGGGGTGGGTTAGGGAGTGTTTCTCTCTCTTATTATTATTATTATTATTACTATTATTAAAACGAAAGAAAATATCATCATCAAGTTTTATTAATATTCATTTTTTTTGTATAGGCTGGTTCCAAGGAACTCAAGGCAAAGTTTGCTGAATGTGGAAACGTCGAGTCAATTCGCTTTAGATCAGTGGTGGGTAAATAAATAGAAAGAAGAAAGAAGAAAGAATGGTTTGATATCAAAGAAACGGTTATTGATAGAATTTACCATTGTTATTCTAGGCATTTGCTGAACCCATGGCACGTAAGGCAGCCTTTATTACCAAGAGAGTGCACGAAGACCGTGAGGCTGTCAACGCATATGTAGTTTATAAGACAAAGGAAGAAGCCACAAAGGCATTGGATCTGAACGGTACCGTGTTTATGGGCAAGCATTTGCGTGTTGATCGTGCTTCCAACATGAAGGTTTGTATAAAATCAGTACTTTGTATATTATTAAGTATTAATTTGATTATATATATATACATATTAGCAACATGACCGTAAGCGTTCTGTATTCTTGGGATCGCTTCCTTTTGATTGCCAAGAAGAGGAGTTATGGACCTTTTTCAAGGATTGTGGTGAAGTAGAGAGTGTACGAATTATTAGAGACACAAAGACCAACGTTGGCAAGGGGTTTGGCTACGTTCAATTCACAGTACGTATCTTTTTTTCTTTAATATATATATATATATATACACATTAGATCATTCGATTGGTGATACAATTGTCTAATATTTGTGTGTGTGCTTATGTGAATTTATTAGGATCGTGCATCTGTAGAGGCTGCATTGTCTTTAGAAGACAAAACATTTAGATCCAACCACACTATCCGTATCCAGCGTTGCAAGGTATCGGCATCTGAGGGTGGTGTTCCTTCTGCACCAAGAAAGGCTGCTTCTGCACGAGGCACCAGAAGCAACGGCAGACCCCAGAGAGGCAACAAGATCACAGGTATTTCTGGAAAGCTGATACCTTCTGGAAAGCTTCACGAGGGTACACGTGCCAGTAAGAACGACAGTCAAAAGTTGAAGATGAAGAAGAAGAACCCAACTGCAAAGAAGTCAAACAACAAAAAGGCCAAAAAATAATGAAAAGATAAAGAAGAAATAAGCTTTACTCAAAATCCAATGCAAACCAAAAAGAAATCAAATCGATAGAAAGGTAGAACGAAAAAAAAAAGAGAAAACAAAACAAAACAGTACTTTGATTTGGCTTATTTGTTTTTGTTCTATTCAATCAATCACTCATTCAATCACTCATTCATTCATTCATTCATTTATTCATTCTAGATACTTGTTTTCCCTTCCCTCCCTCCGCCTTCTTTTGTTTTTGTTTTGCTTCAATTTGTTATTTTATTTATTCATATATATTTACTACATATCTCCCATATTTCCATCCATTTCTCCCACTTACAAATATAAAACCACGTACACACGATTTTCTCTTATTGACTTTAGAACATGAATAATACAATATTATTATAATATATATATATATAGAAAGAAAAGGAGAGAATTGAAACATGATCAACAATGATGATTATAAAAGAAAGAAACTAAATAAATAAATAAATAAATGATAGTGTATTTTTTTTTGGGTAATATCCACTTTCATTGGACTTTTTTCTTTTTTATTTCTTTATAAATATTGTTGGTATTTCTAGACCATATTTATTGATTGATGATGTTGTTTAAAGAAAAATAAGAAAGTCAAATAGGGAGGAGGTTAGGAGAGAGCAGAAAGGTTGTTAAAAGGGGTTTATATATATATAAAAATTGATACAAAATATGATCTATAATTGAATTGATGTCTATGAGTCTAATTTTTTTTTTATATTTGTTGCTATCGTTACTTGACCGTTAGTTGGTCATTTACTTGGTAATATTCTTTAATTGACTCGGCTTGACTTTGGTTGGGTGGTTACCACATGGTAAAAAAAATAAAAAAAAATAAAAAAAAAAAATATGCATTTCTTTATTTATATATTTATATATAATACTTGGTGTAGTTTCTCCTTTGATTCGGTCTATATTCTTATTATTAATGCATATTATTACAATTTCGATTACACGATTCCTACCTTATTGTTATATATTTTACGGCCTTTTTGCCACAAAAGGCATGCAGATTTATTTATTTTTTTATTTTATTTTATTGACGCGGAGCACAAGCGATTATTTTTATATATATATATAAAAAGGTTTGTTACCCAAACTCCCCCTCTCTCTCTCTCCAATACCAATACCAAAACTAAACTAAAGAAACCAAACTTTTCTTCTTCTTCTTCTTCCTGTCCCTATTATACAGCAAATTTACTAATATCATCATCATTATCATCATTAATAGTATTATTATTGTTTCTCCGTCTATCTCCTTTCTTTTGGACAAACCCGTCCCTTATTCTCCTTCTTTTAAATCAATATAAATAAATTATATTGAATGATGAGTATTTTGTAAAGATAAATTGAAACAAAATGATATTTATCTATTTATTTATTTATTTATTTATTTATTTAATAATAACAGCAATAATTGAACCGTCGTTATTTTGTAAAGTAACCTTGGTCCATGGACACTTTAGTAATCTATAGTATTAAATATGTATATATAATAAAATGATAAATAACTAAATAACTAAATACTAATACTGGTACTGGTACTGGTACTGGTACTGATGCGGATAATGATAGTAATAGTAATAAACTAAAAGGTCGGACTAGTAAAGCAACAGACACGGAAATTGGTATTTGGAATGGAATATATGATGACCGTATGCAATTTACATGGTGCAGAATAGAATAATGTGGAATACTTTTAGACCAGGCCATTTATTTAGTATTCAATTTCAATAAGACTAGCGCACAGTCCTTGTACCATGAACATGAAATATTATCATTGAAATATTAGATGCTTTGCTATATTTCTTTATTTCTTTATAAATCACCAAATCAATCCTATGTTTTCACAAGATGGCATCACACAAGCTGATAAGATTTAGACTATACTTGTGGTTAGTTGAGAATATATCTGATGATCTCTCTTTTAAATACATATATTGTAGAAAGGGTTTTGAAGATCCCCCCCCCCCTTTTTTTTTTCTTCTTCTTCTTGATAATTTTCATGGACTATCATTATTAATTATTTTATATTGTTTCGATTTGGTTTGGGTTGTTGACCGATTGTTCGGGAAAGCAAGAATAAATTATAGGGTTTTTATTTCCAGATCTCTATAAAATATATCTATGTACCAAAAGCCACTCACTCTCCCTCCCTCTCTGTTCTGTGGTGAAAGAGTCGCTAATACTGTCCTTATCATTACCAAGTAAGCACATATTAGCGCGCATTCCTATATTTTGTTGTATTGTAATTGTATTCTTGCTATATTTCACATAAAGAATACCGCGGATTTCAAACAATTATTATTATTATTATTTTGTGTGTGTGAAAGAACGGGCGAACAAATGTATAAAGCATATTTCTTATTGTTTCTTTCTTATTATTCAATAATAGTAATACAACAAGAATCTAAATTAAATGGAAACTTTTAGAAAAGAAAGAAATAATAAGATATATATATTTCTAGTGAGCACACGAAATTCAAACCACAAACAAAAACACAAGCATAGTAATTTAAATAATCCCAGCACGAGCCATCGCTCAAGTGTATTGTTATTTAAGAAAGAAAAAAAAAAAGAAGCAATAATGATGATAATAAAAGATCAAATCCAAAAGCAAGTAGACCAAAGAAAAGAGAATTATTATTCAAACAACCGCTCCACGTGCTTATCTTTAGTTGTACAACTTTGTGCTTATAAAATAATAGTATAACAATAACAATAGTAAAATTTGATTTTATTTTTTTCTTTTCTTTTCATCACTTGAGTTGTACCAATAACCACCAACAGAACTCCATGTGCCATAAGACATGGAAATTGTACAGAATAAAGGGATACAAGGTAATTGATCTCATAAATGGGGAATATCACGGACCATGTCTTTTTTACTTTACTTTACTTTACTTTACTTTACTTTACTTTACTTTACTTTACATACTCTGTTTGGCACTGCGTAGTAAAATTCAGTCTCAAATTCACAGACTGGCTAATTGAGTTTCTTCAAGAACATCATGCCATAAAAATGTCTTTGATCAAAAAGAATATATATATAAAGGTCTATTAGAATGAGAGTAACTCCACGCCAATGAATTCAAAAATGCACTCAGCTACTCATATATATATACAAGAATTAAACCCCCAAACTTGTATTTGTATGAACCATTCAATATAAAGCAAATCAAGGGCAATTCTTTATAATAAATAACCTCTTTATTAGGTGCTTTTCTCTCTCACACACACACTTATATATATCTTTATAGATATCTTTCTAAAGCTTTGATGTCTTGCTAAACTCTATGTTATCATTCACATTTGTGATTTTCTTGACAGCATTCTAAAAGAAAAGAGAGAGAAAGAAAAATGGTATATATAGTAAGAAATAAGTCGAGTTTTATATATAATCAGCATGACACATACCTGAAACTTTTGTCTTCCTTCTTCTGTATTAATAGGGTTGTTCTGAACGGCAGCCCATAAAGCTTCATAAGCCCTTCCATTCTTGACTCCAAGGGCAGAGTTGAGCTCAAAATCGGTAAAGTCAAATGCATCAGTCAATCCAATTGCATTGGGAGCAATGTTAGCCAATGTAGCACGGTAGTGAGCTTGAATTGCCCCCAAGTCAGCAGGAGCAATTGTCAAGGTTGACAAAAATGTGGCAGTAGAAGTTTCACAAATAGTTGAGAGAGCATACTATAATAAAATAATAATATGATAGTCAATATTAGTAAAGTTTACAAGTCTGGCTTAATTACTTGATTAGTTAGTTAGCTAATTTATCATTTATCATTATAAGCATCAGTATTAAACATAATAAACCTATTTAAATTACCAAGTTTGTCAGTTGGCGGATAACATTGGCCAATGGAGCATACTCGGATGATGACTCAAGTAATGCAGACCGACTAATCATTTGTTTCAGCACAGCATATTCGGCATGTGCGAGACATATATTCCAGCACTCCATATTCACGTCCGACCAAGGGCGACCAGACTCGAGCTGTTTGGCCAGATCAACTGCAAGACGGGCAGCACGGCGACCAAACAGAGTTAGCAGAACATCGTGATTCAATACAGAGGCATCTGGACCACCAAACACAAATGGGTTGTCGGTTCCATCCAAAAGTGTTTCAAGGTACGAAACAGTCGGAGAGGGTACCTTGCCGTTCTTGATCACGCCTTGAAGCTGTTTGAGAATATAACGACCGACTTGCTGAGATAGGACATAGTTGTCGCCTTCGTATGTGTTGGCAGGAACAAAGATAGCAAATATATCAGCGATCCCACTGAATATCGAGTATCCATGTCCACCCAATGCCTTTCGACATTCTTCTATGCCGTCTGCACCACGGCGAGTACACCACACCTTGAGTGCACATGAGCTTACGTGCAGCTGAGGAAGATTTTCCGTCTCTCCTTTAGCCAGTCCATCCATCAGCTCTCCGTAATCTCTGGCAAGATCCTGACCAGTAACTATACAGCCATAGGCAAGTGACAGTAAGGGCAGCAGGCGGTGCTGGACTCCAGAGTAAGACATGACTTGAGTCTCGAGAGTAGCCTTGTTCCCAGAAGAAGGAGAAGCCGGCTGCCCACCAAACTGACGGCGGATAGTGCAGTATCGAATGGCAATAATGACTGCCTTTGCTAACTGCCATCCCCCACTTTTCACAATGTCAACTCTGATTCGTACCATACTTCCATAAGACAGCTTGTCGTGGATAGGTGGAATATAGAGGCCTTCTCTTGTGACATGCGAAAATCGCATAAGCATATTTTCACGAGGAATTCGAACGTTATCAAACATGGCATCTAATACATGAATAAATCAATAAGATAGATAGATATATAAATATTTGATTTTGATATATCTGTTTAGTTTTTATTTTGTTTTACTTACAGCCATTATCTACCGTAGCAAATCCACCATATGCCTTGGGACCAATGTCACCTACAGTGACACCTTTCATAGGCTTATGATCCTCTATAAAAAAAAGATGTGTAAGAAAAATAAATGATACGGAAAATGTTTTACACACACACACACATATATATATATATATATTTGGATTGAATACTCACCAATAGATCGGATAGGAACAATGAATAAATGTGGTCCACGAGACTTGCCTGCAAGAATGAGTTGTGCCTGCAGAGTAAATAAATAAGTATATAGCCTTTTAATAATAACAATAATCAGTGGTAAATAAATAAGACTTGCTGTTACTTACTTGAACTACAGCATGAGTGCATGCTACTCCAAGGCCACCAATAAGCCATTTGGCAGCCTACAAGAATATACAAAGGAAAGAAGTATACAATATATTTTGATTACAGGTATGGATAAACCAAGCACACACACACACACATAGAAATAAATAAATACATAAATACATAATTTTATTTTTACACAATTTTACACTTACGGTCAGGTCTGGGGTATTGATCACAAACTCGTCTGTGATACGATCAAATGTAGCGGTTGTTTTGAGAGCAAGCACATTTGATCCATGAGCAAGTTCGGTTTGAGCATAGCATCCCAAGACAGCGTGTCTTTTGACAGCTCCAATCCACTTCCTGCTCTGTTCTGGTGTTCCAATGGTGTTTATCACAGGAACAAACGCTTAATAAGAATGATAATGATGTTAGATATCGATCCCTTGTTTGCTTCTTTGTTTATAAGATTATATGTGTGTGTTTGGATGTGGATCAGAATGATCATCACAATAAAATTCTTCAAGAAATACGCTACTCCAAAACTGGACTTATATCCATAATTGGATGATAAAATATTACCTTGAAAATGCAAGGTAAGCTTTTATACAGCAGAAAAGAGGTTCATTAAAAGCCAAAAGGAAAAAAAAAAGTGAGGGAAAGCCTGATTAGTACAAATCTATATTACTGACAATTGTAATGGCAATTGTACTAATTAAGCATTTCAGTTTTAACTTTATCATTAAGGTTACTACTATTACTATTACTACTACTACTACTACTACTACTACTACTACTACTACTACTACTACTACTACTACTACTACTACTACTACTACTACTACTACTACTACTACTACTACTACTACTACTACTACTACTACTACTACTACTACTACTACTACTACTACTACTACTACTACTACTACTACTACTACTACTACTACTACTACTACTACTACTACTACTAGCATATATATATGTATAAACCTCAAGTTACTCACAGGATTTCCGGTACCAATTCTGTTTTGAAAGTCTTCACGATCCTCATCGTTCCAACCGTGTTCATTTGACAGCTCCAAAAGTCTCTTGGCTGCATTAGTAGACCTATAAAGTCTCTATATATACACACACAAGAAAATAAAAATATATTAAATAAAAGTTATAACATATAATCGACCTTGTTACTTTATTTGATTTGATTTGATTTGTTGTCACCAAAGAAAAAAGCTCAAGCTTAATATAATATATACATATATATTTAAATTACCTCGTCTCGACTCAAGAAAGTGTAGGTAGCTTGTTCAAAAAGTGGTTCTTTGAGAAGAATCCTTTGAAATTCGCGCTGCTTTTCTGTATTTTGTTTGCCTTGGTGAAGGTAGTATGTCATAAGTTCAACTGGAAAGGTGGTCTGACGACGCGCCTCTTCAATATCAAGAGCCATTTGGTCGAGTTCGCTGATTCCACTTGACATTTGATGAATGCTGAGGAGATTACAAGAGATGAAAGAAATGAACAAAAAGAATATCGATACGCAAGACGTGTGTATTTGTATTTGTATTTGTATTTGTGTTTGAGTTTGAGTTTGTGAGATATATATATAATATATTAGCTTTGGGAATCCATCACATGATGGAATACATTTTTTTTTCTCCAGGGTCTGTGTATCCTTCAAGTTTGGGGGCGTACCAAATAAGAATAAAATAAAATAGAAACAAGTGTAAAGGCTTGGTCAATCTTTTGAACATAGCTTATTAGTAAGAATAATATATAAAATATTCCCACTACATTTCAGCTCTTGTTCATTCGACTATTACTGCCATATTTTCTTAATACCTTGAAAATAAAGTGTTTAAATTTGCTTACAATATTCAATAAATGTTTAATATATTTTCTTACATTTTTTTTTAAAAAAAAATATTATAATTATACTACACTACACTACACTACACTGTAGCTCAATTTTCCCAATACTAATGAATATACAGATCAAATACTATAGTGGTAATAACACTGTGATTCACTGATACTCCTGGAGAGTATTTCTTTCTTAGAATAAAGCAAAAGTCCAGAGTTTTATGTCTAGCACTGAGAATTCATAACCAATGGATCTGTGTAAACATGTATTCATGCATACGTATGTACATATGTATGTACATACTTAAGTATAAAAGTATGCAATTATGCAATTATGCAAGTATTTATCCTTTCAATATCTAAATCAAATCAAAGAAGCCAAAAGTAATGACAGCAACGATAATAATAAATAAAACTCAAGTATAGGGATTCGAGTATTTTATTCTTTGGCTTTAGTAATTTTGTACACTTCTTCCTTTTCATTTTCTTTCATTTGTATGGATAAATGTGTGGGCAGCTTTAAGATATATATATATAACGCCCAAAACAAACCAAAGCGAAACAAAACAGAAAGAAAATACTATACGCCTTCCCCTGATTACCAAGACAGGTTTGTAGGTCTGGGATCAACAGAAGCTTTTGTTGCTGCTTTTGTTGTTGCTGCTTTGTTGTAAATAACAGGAGAGCAATACTTACTACTGTGCTTATACACATATACGCATTATCTTTATAATATCACAAAATATGTATAATATATATTTTGAATAGACTATATATAAAATAGAAGGGAAAAGGGGAGAATGGGAGAATATTCACTTGGGCTTTCTCTCTCTCTGGTCACAAAAATGTATACCAGATTATGCTTATATGTTGTATATATTTAAATTGAGCTTTGCTTTATGTGTGTAGTTATGCATTTAGTTTTGGAAAGAAAGACATGAAGAAAGGAAGGAAAGAAGACAGCCTTAAAAAGCTACACTGGACTATGGGTAATAAAAGAAGAATATTTACTGAGGGGCCACTTGCTTGTGATTTGCAGTCCACTGGTAATAATACAACAGTGCAATTGTAGGTTGTCCAACAACACAAAATGTGATCCTAAGTAAAGAAGAGTAAAGAAGGAGAAGAAGAAGATTAATAAAGGTTATTAGATCATAATACATATATAGTAGATATATATATATATGTATGTGTGTGTGTATTTCATTTAGATTTGAATTCCATGTGATTTAAATGCACGGACGCCCATTCAACTCTATCTAATCCAATCTGATCCAATATAATTCAATATAACCCAACACAGTTCAACACAATCTCCCCTTGTTTGTTTTTGGTTTGTTTGATAGTGAAGAGCACCATCACTACTCCATTACCACTATCACTGCCACTATCGCTATTGATCTAGTTTAAATACTTACCAGAACACCGTGTTACCCAAGGCACTATTCTTGCCGCGCCACTTCTCAAGAAGACGTGTGAACGAGATAAGAGGAATCTGCCCCAACATTCCGAGAAACGCATATCCATTGATAGAGTGTGTCGGTACACCGACCAGAAACTCATGTAAGATTGCCGAGACCAAAAAGACCAGCAATTGGCAGACGCTTGGTGGAAGACCACGGCGGACCATGGGAATGTAAAAGTGACGCTTGAAGAACAGATAGACAGGTCGATTCCACAATCTCCAGTAGGTCGCCAGATTACCCGAGTTCCACCAGGCCAGATAGAATGTGCGATCACCAAACCGCAGCACTTCACTGAGTGCATTGAGAAAGGCGTGGAATAGGGCGTAGAACATCAGGAGCCAGATCACAACAGCTGTCGTGGACAATTTGAGAACACGTTCGATAATCGTAACCAGGTTGCGCTCCTCGAGGGCCTGGAGCGAATTGGCCAACGTTGGTTTTGCGTACTGCTCGGCCAGGACATACATCATCACAAGACAGACTACCAATTCACCGACCCGTTTCAAAAAAAAAGTTGTTCTGAATGCTGGAGTGCGTGGGTAAGATGGCTGATAGCAAAGCGTGGGAGCAAAGAAGAAATACAAAAGGTTTCTTGAAGAGATGTTCTTTGGATAAGCCGCATCGGTATCGTAAAACTCGTCTGGCTTTCCTTCCACATAGGCCTCACGCAATTCTTGATTGACCAAAGCATATGAAGACAGCTTGAGAAATGTGATCAGACTAATAAAGAGAGCTGAAGAACCGGCTACAATAATAATAATAATAATAATAAAATGTTCAAATACACACGCGAGAATCGAAATGTCAGCATGTATTCCCACACACACACACGCAATTGTAACTAGTTTCATACTATTTATTTATATTTCTCTTCTAATAATAATAATATATATATATTTAAATAAACAATTCTCTTACCCATGGGATGATATATTCTTGTGTAGACGATAAAGGAGGTGAACATCAAAAGAAAGACCAGATGTGTAACATGTGTGGCTAGTGCTACTCGTTCAAGGGTTGCCAGCTTTTTGACAAACTCGGGGCGGGTTTCCTTTGTTTCCCTTGCCTTGGTAGCCAATTTGGCCATACTGTACTCAACCAGGAGAGAGATGGCCAGACTCATTGGGACACTCAACCAAGCCAAGAGAAAGTAACCGTAATCTTCGAGTGGAACATAACTGTGGGGTAGGCGAATGAGCAAACCATACTTCATCCAATTCTCAATGACCAGTCGAATGTTGCTTGCACCCAGCACAAGCACTTTATTTTTTTTTAAAATAATAATAATAAATTAATTAATTAATTGTTTACTTTTTTATATATTTTATTATATATTTAAAAAGAAAATAATGATCATATATATATATATATGTGTGTGTGTGTATGTGCCTATGTAGGGTTTATGTACTTACTGCCTAGTCTAATAAAACCACTGTAGTTCTCGGGAGGAGCTTCTTTGGAAAGTACAGATGCCTTTGTGATAGTGTGAATTGGTATAGTGTGTGCTTGGTCTGTAAAGACTGCCGACTGTTTCTTCTTCTTATCATCATGTTTTTCTTCGGTGATAGTCGAGACTCTTCTGCTTGTGATATGAAGGTCGCGTCTGTATTTTGTGTCTGATTGATCATCTTCACTATCTGTGACAACCTTTACAGGTCGTCGCTGGACGGTAGACATGATTTATATTATTCTTACTATTAAATAAAGAAAAAACTTGTTTTTTTTCTATTATTTTTGTTATAAAAAAAATTAAAAATTAAATGTAAAAGGTAAAAGAAGAAGAAGGAAAAGAAGGTGTCTATGTATCTATTGAATCCTTATTATAATAATAATTAGCAGTAGCAGTTGCAATAGTATCAGTTTTAGTGGTATTGGTAGTAATGGCTTTTTCTTTTCTTTCTTTTTTTGGATTTTGGAATGGAGGGTTTTTATATATATGGCTGGTTTGAATGATGTGATGTGATATGATTACAGATATATATATGTAGTCCGGGGACTGAATATCCAAAATTAAAACTTGATTTACCATGTGATTTCTTGTTCGTTGTCAAGTTTTTTTTTTTTTTTTTTTTTTTTTTTTTTTTTGGTTTGAACTTGTCAAGGTCAGGTATTGTAATTAACTGATAACCAAGTAATATTTGATCTGATTTGATCTGTTTTGATTCTGCTTTTGCTTTTGCTTTTGGTTTCATTTTTATTTGTCTTTAATGTTAATCAAGAAATCCTTGGCGTCCAGTTAGTGCCGTACACCAAGTACAGAAAAAAAGAAAAGATTAGCTGGTTAAGTTGATAGTTCACATCACCACCCATTTATTGGCGTGCGTATCGGACAACGATCCTAAGCACGTGGAAATTGATACGTAGCAACGAGAGAAAGAAATAAAGAGAGGCAAACATGTCTGTGTGTGGGTGCGTCTGTGTGTTTGCATTACGTGCACCCAAGACCAAAAATTCTTATCTACTAACACACACACATATATATATATGTTGTCATGGATACACTTTTAATAGAGTAATTGAAGAGTATTGTGTAAATAGAATACTTTATGTCTATTTATTTCATTTTATTGGCTATAGATCGCTTGCTGTATATTCTAAAGTAGGGATAGTAGTAGAAGATGGATATTAGACACCACTTCTTTTTCTCCTTATGGCACACTATATAAAAAGAAAAATGTTCTTTCTTCAAAAGTGTTTCAATTTTTGTGACATGGTGTAGGTGTGTGTGTACGAAATATAGGTTTTCCTTTATAATCACACTTTACAACTACACTTACACACAAATACACAAACACGTATAAAATATTTAGCCAAGATTATCTTGCACTTGTGTACGAATGAATTATGCTCTTTTAACTTTTAATAGATGATGTGTGTACAGAATATAGAATAATAACAATATAATCATTGGCTTGTAAATGTGTTGTGAATTGGAATTCTTTGTCACTTTTTTGAGCGTGCTTTTTTTTACGGGGCTCCTTACAAGATCACCATTTTCCTTGTTTTTACTACTGATATATTTATATATATATATATATTCATTGTTGATAGATATTTGTTTTGACAGATATAAAAATATTTGATTTATCAGAAATTGGTTTTTTTTAATTAAAAAATCACACTCAAAAACACACGCGCACAGCAATTGTGAAGAAGTGAATTAGTGTTTATGTATGTTAATGTGTGACCAAGTGTGATTGAGTGTGTAACTGGGTATGACTGAGAGTATGAAAGAGGAATTCAGAGAGAAAGAGATATTAAGCAGATAACAATAATGGCGAGGGTGAACGTGAAGAAAGTACTCCTCCACAATTAAAAGGAGCCATAGTTTGTGCGACAATGTTGTCTCGCATATAACCATGCCTTATACTCAATTATTCGCTTACCAAGTCACCAAGTCATTCACTAATCCCAGGTTCAAGGATGAATGGTATTTCAATGACCCCAAAAGGAATTATGTCTGTTATTGTCTTGTTTATATATATATATATACATTGTTATTATCATTTGAAGAGTTGCGATTATAAAGAGAGAATTGCACATGCAAATTTCTATAATTTCATTATTTCAAAAATGGAACGAGAAACCTGTATTTTTGATCCGCTCACTTTTACCTCTCCTCTTGAAGGATCCTTTCCTTCTTTTGTGTACACACTAACTAACCTATGCATACATACAGATACACATGTACAAACGCACAATGTGTAAGTATACCTTTAAAAGAGATAAAGAGAAACAAAAAGGCAGACTTATGTATTGCAAGCATAATCATCATCATCATCTATTTTACCCACATGTATAATGTATATAGTGTTTTGTGTGTGTATTAAGCATGTAAGATATAAAAATCAAATTGAGTCATGTATGTATGTAATGCACTGCAAATTCTTACGGATTTGATTTTTCAGCAAAAAAAAAAAAACGGAAACAGAAAGGGGGTAAAATTTATCTTTCTTTATCTTTTGTTGTTTCAATGCCTATTATGTGATGATAATGATGATGTAACCGATCGTGTCAACAGTGTTTATTGCCTTTATTGGCTTCCTTTGAAGTGCATATGATTTTTAAGACTAAAAGAAAAGGAAGAAATAATTACAACATTCATTTTCGACCCTCCTTCCCCTTACCTGTTCCCCTGCTTTCTGTAAAATGTATATGTAATATGTAATTTGAGTATATTATATACTGTAATGTACTGTAGTGTACTGCACTCTGTATTAGTAGTAAATAGTAGTAATGGTGATAATTGCTTGCTTGCTTGTAAAATAAAATAAAATTATATATACATATATAAGGGGCAAAAATACCTATAGGAAAGATCGGACCGGGATGGACCGATTCACACCAATTTTGCTCCACTCATCTATGCATAAATAGTACAGTAAGTTTAACCCAAAAAGCAAAAGCTAATAAAGCAAAAAATAATAATAATGATAATTAGAAAAGCGCGGCAGTAAATTATCCCCCAATTACATTTACAGCCCGGAAGAAGTTTAACCTTGGTTCCCGATAATATATTTAATTGTATTATAAGAGTGAATATATGTATATTTATATACTTTTTAACCACTGTTGATATTGCTATTGCTATTGCTATTGCTATTGCTATTGCTATTGATAGTGGCATTGATATTGGCATTGCTACTGCTATTGTTATTGCTTACAGTGTACTACTGTTACAACTGCTATTCCGCTCCATGTGGTTGAAATGAAGCTTATCCAATCAATTGAAAAGATTTCATATATATATAGAAATGGCCCTGAATTTATTCTATATCATCTCCGTCATACACAGACTTTTTTTTTTTTTAAAAAAAAAAAAAAAAACACTCTTTTCACGATCTATTTGTGTGAATGTGTAGGTGAGTGTTTTTAAAGGTTACTAAGTGGGGTATACCAGATAGTGTATATATATATATATATTTAGATATCTTTAAGTAAATGACCATAAAATATATAATCTTACTCAACAAATGAACCTAATTGTCAGTTTGTATTTTATATATGTATTTGTTTGTTTGATTTTTTGATTATTTTATTCGAGACTGATAGCGCATATCTCTATCTCTTGCTCACACTGACACTATCCTCCCACTCATTTACATCCAAGCTTGAAATTCAAATTTGCTAAAAAAAAAAAGATAAAACCTGTCACAATTACTTTGTGTGTGTGTGCATGTGCATGTGCACAGGTGTACAGGTGTACAGGTGTGTATGTGTATGGGCATGCGTATTTGTGTGTAATTCAAAAGCTTCTGGTGAAAACCTTACTCTAACTATAAATTCAAATTAAGTATATTTCTGTACAATTAATTAGTTTACAGGTTCTTTTTTTTCCCTAATAAAAAAATAAAATTACATTACATTACATTATATATGTACATATGATAGATAGATAGATAGATATATACAGTAGGACCAATGCCAGAGTGCCTTCATTTCCCACAAAAAATGAACAGTCACTTTTTTTTTCTAAAAAAAAAAAAGAAATGGTAGTATTAATTAATGGGGGTACTCAGCCAGGTTGATCGATCAAATTCTTGTGTGAATCTTGGCCAATGGTATCAATTTGTAGTTGAGGACACCAAAAGACAAAAGTACAAATTTCGTACAAAATTCATAGATTTTTATAGCATTTATAGAATAATCTTTGCACATTCTGATTTCTTCTTTGAACCTGTAGGCATCTAGACTCTCGAAGAAGTCAAGTGCTCTTTCCCTTTACTCAACACCTAGCAATACATTGTCAACCTTGTGTATGTATTTATTGGCTTTAAGTGTTTGTTTAAGCTCCTTCGCGGCAGCCATCTGCTCCAACTTTATATTAACTTCCTTTTTGATTACTTCTAAAATATCTTTAATAAGCTCGTCTGCACTTGCTGATAAAGACTCTACCAGTGTTTTTTTTTCACGATAAATTCCCTGATTTTATGCGATTTCTTCAAGGCATCAATTGCTTGTTGCTTTGTACTATATTTTGGCATGTAAGATGGAGAGAAAGAAGTATTATATAACTGTTGGCAATAAATTCTATGATTTATTAAGGAGAAAGATAAAAACAGTATCGTATTGCATATAAAAAGTAAGGATTAGGTTAATCAGAGAGCCGTACGTTTTTCGATCAAAATTTGATTGAAATTAGATCGAAATTTGATCTTTCAAAAAGACGATCAAATTTTGATCGTCGCTATTACAATTTTTATCCAATAATATCGCGTTTTTTATTCAAAATTTGATCGATCAATCTGGCTGAGTACCCTCTATGTACTTGGACTAATTTTGCACTCTTTTTAAAGAAAGGTATGGTGAGTCATAAATTAGTCTGATTGGCCAAGTTCAAGATGAGCTCGTTTTGCCCTTTTTTTAACCTTTTTTTTCGAATTTTTAGTCTGTCCACACCGAGTTTGTGCTGGACCTGCCGAATTCTTTCAGGTTCAGGAAAGTGTGATTGCCTGTATTTTGTAGTATATAAACTTATCGCCAATACTAGAGAGCGGTTTGCTAAATTGAATGTCGGATAGTAAATAAGTTAAAAGGGCATCTTCCCAAATCTAAGGTGGAATTCAATAGCCAATCGTAAAGTTTCGGAAGCCTTGACAGCACCCTGACTTCAAATACAAAAAATCAAAAAAATCAAAGAATCAGATAATAAGACCGACGATTTGAGAGATGGTATGATTATCACAAAGACCAAAAAAAAATTGTATATTATTATTATTATGACGGTTATTAAAGAGAAGTATTAATGGGTAATTAGTAAGTATTAGGTAGTAAGTAGTAAATAGATTAAAATAGAGTTAAAGAAGTAGAGTTTAAGAAGTAGATTAACAAGATTAACAACAAAATGTGGTGTGCTTTTCTCCTTAACAAACAAAAGAGAGAAATGTAAAGATAAATAGAATGAACAATTAAAGTGAAATCAATAAATAAAATGTAAGTAAAATAGAAGGTTGTAGAATGAGGAAGAATTAAGTTGTAGAGATGAAAAGTATAAAGTAAAAAGTACAAAAAATATTAAGAGGTATTATGTCCCTTATTTGGCGAAATAGTGCATAGGTGGGATGGATGACTGGGACACAGTAGGTGAAGAAGGTTCTGAACAGGTGGGTGTCGATGTACTTGAGCAGAGGGTTGGGACAGGTGACGCAAGACCATCATCCTTTTCATCTGTAGGTAAACCGTAATCAAGACGTCTGAGTCTAAGTGGAACTCTGTCTGTCACAGGTGTATCCAAGGGAAGTACAAAGATATCCTGGAGTTCACCATCCATGTCAATAACAGCCGACTTGAGAACTTGTTGCTGCTGATTATATTCTTCTTGTCTCTTCATCAATCTGGATTCTTCATCGTCCTGTCTCTTGAGTCTAAAGGCCTCCGAGTCTGCTGGATTACCCATATATTCAATACTGCGCACAAATGCACTCAGACTGAGTTTCTCGATACCATAGTAAGCCAACCGAGTCCGGGCATTGGGTTGGATGCTGGGCAGGTAAGGACGGGCAATACAGAACGCGATTAAGGCGTAAATTGAACCACCCACGAGATCGATCATGTAGTGATGAGTCAGGTACATCGTAGCCCACCACATCCACATGGTGTAGGCAATGCAGACAGGCCACAGCTTAGGGCAGAGATAGAACAAGAAAAGCATCTCGATAGTAGCGCAGCCAGAATGCAACGAAGGAAAGGCACCAAACACAAGAGGTGAATTTCCAAAGGTTGAGCCGTACAACTGGAGCCCAAGGATATCATCGATACGGGACAGGCCTCCTGCTTCACCCTTGATCGAATAATCAGCTGGAGATGATCCGTAGATGTTTTCGTACCCTGTAATTTTTTTTTTCAAAAAAAAATTATATATATAATACGTTAGTTTATGTACGACAAAGCACAAGAAATATAGAAGAAGAAGAAAACTTACAAGGTGACGCATTAGGAAAACAGAGTTGAGTCAGGACTCCAGCAAGATTCATGAATCCAAATGCACTTCCAAATACTTTGAGACAACTGGGAGGGCCAAAGACAAAGAGAAGAAGAGACAAGACAAAGGGAAATGCAAAGTGGATGACACCATAGGGCAACCAGGCAAGTAAGTCCAAGGTCCAGTGGGTATGCTTTGAGATGATTTCTGAAAGATTGGCTCCGTAAAGGATGCGTTCGAGGGTCGGTAAGATGTTGACAAAGATGTGTTTGGGGCGATAGTCAAGAGGGATGAATTGACAGGCATAAAAGGTGATCAGCCAGGTGAAGATTGGTAAGGCGGGCAGGACGAAGCGACGGACATATGGAATGGTGAGGGATGTCATGAAGAGGCAGGCGAGGATAATTCGGACAGCAAGAGGAGGCGCTTGAATGATGGCAATGTCGAGTGCTAGAATGGTAATTATCAAAGGATACCGCCAACTAGACCAGGTCCAGTGGCGTCTGATAGATTGCATGTAAAACACAAAGACATTAGTCAACTCTGGGAGTGTGACTTCTTGTGATGCGGCCTTCATCACAGTTATGTTTTATTTATACAAAAGGTGATAATAAATAAATTGAAGAAGTAGAAGAAGAGAAAGTCGGCAGTTTGATGATTGTGACTTTAGTAATGATGAAGGTATTAGTGGTAGTGATGGTAACGGTATCTATGGTGATATGATTATGATGATAATTGTAATGATGGTCTTCCTGAGGAGAAAAAGAAAAAAAAGAAAAAAAAGGTCGATACAATCGTGGGCTATATAAACATTTTTTTTAATTTTTTTTTTATAATCTTTAATTTCAAAAAAGGGAACTCAAAAAAGAAGGTGCAGAAGTCGGAGACATTTGTTCTAAACTCATATACTAAAAAAGAAAAAGAAAAAGGAAAGAATCTGAAATACAACAAATAGGTATAACAGTACCAAACCCATAGTAGATTTGTGTGCCTTTCTGTGTCTGTGTCTGTGTCTGTTTTGGTTTTTGGTTTTTGGTTTTCTTTTTTGGTGCCTCTAGTTTTTCTTTGTGGAGTATATTTATGTGTATTGTGTGCACAAATCAAATAACCAAATAAAAATGAAGACAATGTTATGTGTATATACGACATAAATAATCATATGGGAGTCATAAATCACATACAAATTAGAATACAAAAGTGATAAAATATCCTCCGTCAAAGGTGTACGGTCGTCATCCGGCGCGGTGTTTACCCAGGTACATCTTTAACCGAAAGCCGAAAGTACAAAGGTATCACGCGACTTGTAATGTAATGTCCTTTAGTTGGGCTGGACCTTTTATATATATATATATTTTATCTAACCAAGCTGAGCATATAGTTTTCCTTTTTTTTTTTTAGATAAATGTAAAATAATCGGCAGCAATAATGACAACGGCTAAAAAAGACGCGTTTATGATACAACATTGACCACATATGTATCATTAGCATTTTGTATCTTTTTATTTTATTTTTAAGCTTTCTAGTCGTTGCCATGATTACATATTATACTTTTAAACAGTATAACATATACCGCATACCATACAAAATACAAAATACACTACAGGAACACAGGTACAAAGATTCCATAAACTTGAAACCGCGAGTTCAGTCTTAACAGATATATATATATATAAATATATTTGATTGCTTTCTTGGTATATTCTTTCTTACCTTTCTTATATTTTGCTTAGCTTTTTCTTGGATTTTGCTTGGCCTCGTAGTATTAAGGAGATTAACTATTATTATCATTCTTAAAATAACAACAGCCAAGAATAAGAATAGAAATGTAAATGTGAATGCCCAGGGATTTTGACAAAAAGAAAAAAGAAAAACTACTAATTTTAATAATGATAATGATAATGATAATGATGAATTTAAACTTTTTCTTAACTTGACTAATTACCCTTCAAAACCCACGCCTTTTGAATCAAATCTTACTATTCTTATCATTCCAGTCATGTTGTTGTTGATGTACCTCTTGTTGATGATGTTACAATCATAACTACAATATGTATATCCTTCGTTATAAAAAGCAAAATATATCAAAAAAAAATACTTTTGAATTGTTTATACATATACAAAAGGCGTTTATTTTTGCACATGTATACATACAACTTGTTTGTTATCTGTTTCTAATATATATAAATAAAATAAAGGGTTCTTTATGTGTGATAGCTTGTGTTTCACAATCTGTTATATATATATATATATATATTGTAACTGCGTACCTGAATAGCATTTCCGTTGCACTCTATCTATGAAACAAATCTGAGAGAGAAACATAAAAGAATAAAATATAAAAAAAATACCCTATTTTACTTTTTTTTATTACAATTTAATGCCACGGAGAACCTTTTACATTCAACAGCAAACCTCACTCAAAAAAAAAGTCAAATAGTGAATTTACATGTACATGTGTATTTTTATATATAAGAATTTTAATTTCCTGTGAATTATCTTTTTTTTTTGATTTATTGATGTATTTATCCTGTGGCCTGTGGTGCAACCCCATACCAGACGTGTGTTGTACTTCTACACTCAGCCAAGAATCTCAAAGGTTACTTTAGACACAAAATCACACGGAAAAATAAACCATAAATACAAACAAACAAATAGCTAACTAAAAAACTAAATAGACAAATCGACATATATAAATATTTGTAGAGCTAATAAGATAATAAGATAATAATAAGTAGTTGCTATATATGTACATCTACGTATATATACATACATATATACACACATACATACATAAATATACGTGTAAATGTTGTGTATCTGTATGTGTAGATATTTAATGGGTATAATCTTCTCTTTTGTTAGTGCTTAATATAATTATATATAAGCTTATATGTAAGGCGTTACATACAGCTAGCCTTAATATCAATGACAATACCAAGTGAAAAAAAAATGATATAAAAAAATCAAGTCGGGGAACGTAAGAAATTATACACTGCAAAAAAATCAATAAAATCGATAAAAACTCAACCTCCACTTCTCCCTCCTTCTTCCATTTCCCCTTCTTCGCACCCCGAACCAAATCTCAATTAGACTTTGTTCAAGGGGACTCCAATTAACTCTTATATATATACTTTTTTATGTATTAATTATATTTTTATCATTATCCTTTTTGTACATAAATATACATATTTAAATACGGGCCTAATATTCTCCCAAAATTACATATGTATATTGAATTAAACTTTTATTTTTTTGGAATATTCAATAAAATAATAATAAAATAAAAATTTTCATTGAGAAAGAAATGTTTAAAGAGGAATTTGGAGTAACCACACGTGGGTTGAACCCATAAATAATCATTTCTGTGATGCCAGAATAAAAATCCCTTTTCTCCCTCTTTCTTTATCATATATATATGTTATATTGTATATTTTACTTTCAAAGACCGGAAACTGGGTAATCAGAAAAAAAAATAGAAAAAAAAAAGGTTGGTGATAATTATTATTTAGACTTCCAGAAAATACAAATAAATAGATCAAATATCAATTAAAAAAAATTATCACATTATTATAATTAGTTTATTTGTTGACATGACAACAGTTGTCATGGGGATAAAAAAGAAAGAAAGAAAAGTCTAAATAGATTTTAAGTCATTCTGTTTAGATAAAATAAGAGTGGAATAGAGAGAGAGATTTGTAAAAAAATAAAAGTAATGAAAATTATGCTTTTTACTTTTTCACATATTTTGTTTGAATTTTTGAATTTGTTTGAATTTTTTTTATATATTGAAAATATGAACATTTTTGATTGCTTTTTTGTTTTTAAGGAATATGAGTAACGCTCTTGTCTTTGCGCTGTTGCTTGAACACCTGGCGCTGTCGAACCTCTTCGCTCTTGAATGCTTGTTGTGTAGACTTCTTTTCTTCTCGTCGGTTCTATATCATAGATTTTTTGTTAAATTTGGTATCAATGTTTTTGCTTTACTTTATTGCATTGCATTGCATTGCATTATTTTCATATATACACATATATTTACCTTTTTAGCATCTTTGACAGCTTGCTTTCTTGCTTTTTTATCTTCCTTTGACTCTTCTTTTGATCGTCGTGCACCCAGATTCAAACGCTCTTCCTCTTCCTCTTCTTCCTCCTCCTCCTCTTCGTCATCATCTTCGTTATCTTCATCAGCTGTTGCTGACTTCTCTTTCCTCCGCTGCTTCTTTTCTATTTCTACCAGAACAGGCATGCCGGTCTTGGGATCGATTGTGATCTTCTTTCTGGGTCCTCGGTCAGAAATCAATTGTGGGTGGTTCTCAAGGTTTGAGTAAGTAGAGAGTACACTCTGGCAATCCCACGCAGCTCTTTCACGCTGGATAGGACGAGCCCACAAGTTCTCTCCTGCGGTGTCCTTTTTAGGCTCTCTAATCTTAGTAGCGGCAGCGGCAGCAGCCTCGGCCGCTGTGTTTTCATCATGCTCTGACAGATGGGTCGCAGTCAGGGTTTTTCGAATGTTGGTCAATTGTTCAGAAGTATCGCCCTCCAACTTAAACTGCATTTTTCTGCCAACAATCTCGTACTTGTCCAAAAAGTCATCCAGAATGTCATCAAAATCAGCTCTTTCGACAGCAAACTCATCGTAAGGATCTCCATCTTCTCCTGAATCATTGTTGTATTCTTCTTCAATCTTCAATTATACCCAAAATCAAAGTAAAGTGAGATAAATGTAATTAGCACATGTTAGGAACATCTTACTCAATTATATATATATATGTTACCTTTTCAAATCTGTCATCCAACAATCGAAGCTGAGTGTTACGGTGCATAGCAGAAGAGGACATGGAAAAACCAGTGCCGACTGTTTGTCTGTCGTGATGATCATCATCGTCATCCTCATTATCAGAGTCATGACGGTTTTGGTTTTTCTTGAAGCTATTGATTGACGCACAACAGTTAATATGTGTACCATTTAAACTATCCTTACTCCTACTCTATTCTTTTTTCTTTTTTAAAAAATGTACAATTTCGATCAACTTACTTTCTGAAAGCAGCCTGCCAGTCATAAGTACCAGTATTATCAAATACTTCTTCAATTTCTTCTCCTCCTCTATGTATTCCTCCTTCTTCGTCACTATCGTCTTCCCACTCTTCTTCCTCTTCGTCTTCAGGTTCATACACCTCTCCTTCGGCATTCAGATTGTCAAAGAAATCTTCCGTCAGATCGTCCTCTACATATTCTTCATCCTCCAAGGCTTCCAAAACTTCACGGAGACGAGGATCCATATCAGGCTGAAGACCTCCATTGAGACCAGTGTCTCGGTTGATTCCGGAGATCTCGACATCCGAAGGAAGTACACCAGCAGGTAAGTCAATGAGTTCTCTGTTCTTTGAACTTTGGTCGTCACGGAGCTGCAACAACCCACCGCTTGGCTTGGCCTTTGCTTTCTTTCCGGGTGCTTCGACAAACACAGCCTCGGCATCGCTACCGATCGTTCTAAGATGCTGCATGTAATCGTATTCGGCATCGTCGAAATAGATTCCGTGAAGAGCGGCCTGTCCAACTCGTCTATTATTTATTTAAAGGAAGTAAAAGAAAAGAAAAATATTATTGTTATTATTATTAGTAAATTATTTTGGTTCAAATGTAGAATGGTACACCAAAAGATTAGATTTCTTTTCTTAAAAAAAAAAAGGGTGAACTTACTGATCAATCTCATCCTGAGTAAGTTTTGTAGGTCTTTGGTTGACAGCTGCCAATTCTTCCTTGGTTTTATACTATAATTTCAGGAACTTGAAAGGTTAATGTATTTGTAATCGATCGATCGATTGTAAACGTCATTGTTGTTGTTTATTTTGTTTTCTTTTTTGTTTGTTTGTTACTGTTTCTTACTTTTTTAATGTTGCTGGGAATTACTTCCTGAAGAACTAGTTCAGGTGCGTCTGCATCGTTGATAAGAGGATCTCGTTGGGATCTATGAACAACATGGAAATGCTTTGCTGACTTTCGATCAATAAATGTCTTTTTGCCCATAGTTGTAAAAGAGAGAAGATATGTATGTCACAAATAAGTTTGTAGGATATATATATATAAAAATATATAATATATAATTTTAAAGAGTGGAGTAAAAAAAAAGTGTCAAGTGGAGTTTGTAAAAAAACAAAAAAAAAAGATAAAGATTTACATAGTGAAATTCATATATAGTGCGAGTAAGAGAAAGAACAAGAGAATATGTGTGGCTTGTTTCTCGAGAAATTCACTTTACACATTATGATTGGCCTAAAGTTTATGTAACGCAGTTATTTCCTAATTCGATTTTAATTATTATTTTTTTATTATTTTTTAAAGTGCTACTTACTGCACCAATCTATGTCTACCAGCGCAAACACACCATCACTACTACCACTACTACTAATAATATTGCTACTAATATGATGATAATGCTACTACCGATATTAACTTTAATATAAAATCTATTACAATCATTATCAATAACACCCATCAATTTTTACTCAATTTTTACTCAACTTTCACTCAATTTTTACCAGCCCAACACAACCATTTTTTTTTAAACTTTTTTTTTGTACTTCCATTATTCTTTTCTTTTCCCCCTTTAATCCCCTCTCTCTCTCCCCCTCTCTCTCCCTCCCTTTCTTTTTTTGGTCTTTTATTCCAAGTAAAATTATAACACCATGACCGATTCTCCTACAACTCCTACCTTTGTTCTTCCTCAGGGCATCAAGAAGCCTAATGATGAGGCCTACAAGAAGCAGTTGGAAGAACTTAATACAAAGATTGACAAGCTCAAGCTCCAGTCTGTAAGTAACTTCATCATCTGAACATTCATTTTATCAAACAAACCTTTCTTTTTACCTTCTCCCCTCTCCACACAATAATGATAATAATATAAAAGTAAAAACAAAATAAAACAAAATATAATAGAATAGAATGAAGAAGAATATATAGAGTTTTATTCATACAAAACGCGTTATTTTCTCGTACATTTTGGTTATATACTTTATTTTAAACTTATTACAATGTGTAAAAAATACCAATATAATGATGATGATGAGAAAGATGATTATAATGATGCTAATGATGATGATGATGATGATGATGATGATGATAATACACATTATTTCTAACCATTAAAACTTAAATATACTTATATTTTACTTTATTTGACTTACATGTATGTATGTGTGTGTGTGTGTATGTTTATGTATATATAGGAGGCCGTCAAGGAAAAGATTAACAAGCTCCCCGGAAAGTCCGATAACACTCGCAAGGACGAGCTCAAGGCCCAGCTTAACGACCTTCGCGAAAAGCAGGCCGAAATCAAGCTCGGTAGACAGGCTGTCTATGAGCAGCTTGATGCTATCCAGGAATCTATTAGAAAGAAGGTACTTTATTTTTGTGTGTATATATGGGTTTGGGTTTGAGTTTGAGTTTGAGTTTGTTTTTGTTTTGTTTTTGGAGTTGCCCTGAGATTTCAAGAATTATATTATATTATTGTTTAAAAAAATGGAATCCCTGGTCATTTATTTATTTGTTTGTTTATTTATTGATTAATGTGTGTGTGTGCGTAGGTCAATACCATTAAGGCCTTCCAGAGCAAGGTTCCTTACAAGAGCACCACCGAGTTAGATGAGCGTATTAGGTAAAATAATCGTGTTAAAGACTTTGTAGCGCATTTTAGGAAAAAAAATCTATACGGAAAGGTAGAGAGATCGAGTGATATGATATGATCCTAATAATCTACACAAAAATATTTAAAGTGAGCTTGAGACCAAGATCGAGAGTGGTGTTAGACTTGTTGAGGAAAAGAAGGTAAGAACTTGACAACTTTTTAATTTTATATATCTATTATTCCAATGGAAAAGGAAGTAGTAATATGAGAAAGGAATACAATAAATGACATGGGCATAGGCACGGTGAAATAAAAGTCCAAATAAGTGAAATGCGCCAAGATTGGAAACTAAATGTAATATATTTTCTTTATGTTTCGCTTATTTGGTTTAGATGCTCCAAGAGATCTCTTTGTTGAAGCGTAGCAGACAGCAGGTTGAAGATCTTGATGAGCAGCAGGCTGCTATCGACCGCGAGAAGACCATCCACGCCGAGATCAAGAAGAACATTGATGACGGTGATGCCAAGAAGTACAGTGAGCAGTTTGAGACCCTCAACGCTGAGTACAAGCAGCTCAATGAGGAAGGATTCAAGTCACGTGAGGCCCGTAACAAGCTCTTTGATGAGCGCACCCGCCTCAGAGGTCTTTTGGACGAGGAGTTCAACGCCCTGCGCACCTTGCGCGACGATCACCGCAAGGCCAATGACGAGTACTACAATTTCATCCGCCAGTTGCGTGAGCACAAGCGTGAGCAGGAGCGTCTGCGCAAGCTCCAGGCCGAGGCCGAACAGCGCAAGGAAGTTGCCGAGCAGGAGCTTGAGCTGGCTTCCATGCCTGCATTTGCCCACGAAATTGCTCTGTGCGAGAACTTGGCCAAATACCTTGGTGGATTTGTCAACAACGGCCCCATTGCTGCCTCTGCTGCCGCTGCCGCACCTGTCAATGCTCCCGAGGGTATGGTTTTGCTCAAGAAGACCGATCTTGAGGAGACTTACTTTATGGGTGGTGGAAAGAAGAACAAGAACAACAAGAACAAGAGCAACGGTAACAGCCCTACTGGTGCTGCTGGTGCTGATAAGGCTTCTGTTCTTCCTAAGAAGTCTGACGCACTCAAGTTGCCCTTGTCTACACTCGAGGACTTTTTCCTTGTCAAGGTTACCGTGCCAACCAAGATTACAGAGGTAGCTGTCACCCTTGAGAAGCTCAAGGAGCGAAGAGAGTACTACTTGTCTGAACAGCCCAAGGTGACCGAAAGCAACAAGCAAAAGGCTATTGCCAAGATCGCAGCAATGGAGAAGGAAGAAGAGGAAAAGAAGGCTGCTGAGGAAGCTGAGAAGGAGGCCGAGAAGGAGGCCAAGAAGGAAGAGGCTGCTAAGAAGGCTGAAGCCAAGAAGGAAGAAGTCAAGGAAGAAGAGCCAAAGTCTGAGGAATAAAGAAAACCCACACACTAAAAAAAAACAAAAACAAAGAACAGCTTTTCTTTACTTTACTTTATCTTCTTTATTATTATTCTTTTTGTATTCTTTTTGCTTTTCTACTCTTATTTCTTCTTCTTTATATACATTCCCATGCATAGACAATAATACAAAAAGGTGCAAGGCATATATACACATACACACATACAAAAATTATAAAAATTATAAAAAAAAAGAGCACATATGTATATATACATATATCTCTTTACTATCTCTATTTAATCATTATTATGCACTATTGAAGTAAACTTGAAAATGCATGCTTTGATTTGCTTTGTTTGATTGGTTGGTTTGTTCTTTATTTGTTTGTTATTAAGTGAGTGAGTATATACAGGTGTGTAAATAAGTAAAGAAGTAAATAAATAAATATATGTATGTGTATGTATGTATGTATGTATGTATGTATATGTACATGTGTGTAATCATATATGTATATGTAAGTTATGTATCTATCTACATATAACTATATATAACTATATGTAACTTTTCCTTTCTTTCCTTTTAATCCCAGTGAAAATAATAGTAATTAAAGACCCTCGCTTTCTTCCTTTTTGAATCTTAACCTGGTTATAGGGTTCCTTCTTGTGGGCGTGGTTACAAATTCAGTGTAGTTGTTAGCTCTCAATAGACATGTCTTGTTGCAATTTAAAATAAGGTCTCTGTACATGATGTGCAATGAATGTGTTGGTGTCTGGTGAAAAAGAGTCAATGGGTGGTACAGCCATAATAATTCTGAATTTGGTTTTGGTTTTGATTTTGATTCTGATTCTGAGACATAACCTCTCTTGAGAGTACATATGCATCTTTGCACTCCATCGAAGGATAGTAATTCTTTGCTGTCATGATCAGTCGAAACCCATGCTTTAGATAGAAGTCAATGGCGACACTGTTGCATGTCTGGACATGTAAATAGACCGAAGTTATTTTTGGGTTATTTAGTCTAGCTGCTTCTCCCAAGATGTGGCTGATCAGCAAATGACCTACAAAAATTCAATAGAAACAACAATTCATCTACAGCATAATAATAACAGTGTTTTTTTTTGTTTGTTTGATAAAATAATAGATATACATAATTCTATTGATGTAATTCATTCATCACCACAGTCACCATGACTACACTACCACCCCAGCTAATACAATCATTCGCATCTGCATTATTTTCTTTGCATAGATTTGTATATATAACTTTTCTCTCTCCCTCTAATATTATATATATATATATTATAATTCTTCTATATTTTCTTGGACGTACCCAAACCCAGCCTTTGGAAAGCCTTGAGAACACCAAGTGTTTGTATGTAGACTGAGGATAAAGATGGGTCCAATGGGTTTTCTTGTATCCGGCAGCAAACGCTTCCCACACAGACCTTATTGAACATAACTATAATATATATAAAGAGAGAGAGAGAGAGAGAAAAAATAAAAATAATGATTGTTGAATTACCATCATTCCAAATTACTATTACTCATTCATTCATTCGTTTAAATCTTTTTGTTTCTTTGTTTGTTTTCTTATTTACCCATTTGTGCAAAAGGACCAGCCTTTAACACTAGATCATAAAACTTCGTATTGTATACTATTGGAAATATCTTGACATGAAGCCTGACAAGTTGGTCAATGTTGCGTTCGGTAACGTTTGCAAGTGAAATTGAACGTGGTAGAGCTTGAACTTGGAATGAAGACATTTATTAAGAGTTTTTCTTTTCTTTTTCTTGTTGGGTTGTGTTTGTATGAATATGAATATATAAGAGAATATATAAGAAAAAATATATATATAGGTGAAAGAAATCTCGAGAATTGAAAACTGAAAACCAGCAAATTTAAGGTAAGTCGGAGTTTGCGAGTCACCCGCATTTTCTCTCATTCGGTTTTTCTTTTATATATATATATTTATAAAATATAAGCATTGGCCAATTTCATTGCCAGTATTTGTAAATCAGATTTTGACTTCCTTTTATTCGCTCTCTTTTAATCCAACCAAATGAAACAAAATAGAATACATATAAATAAATGATCTTTTACTGTCATCATTCTTTCAAGTTACTTGTCTCTGTTTGTTTAGCCTACTGATGGCTTTATTTTAATGCAGATCTTTATATGAGACGTATATATATATATATACAATACACTCAAACATATTCCAATAAAAGGACAATGTTAGTTGTACGTACTGATGATAATACCATTAGTGTCAGTAGTAATGACAGCACTAGTGAAACAGAAGATTGAACAGCCTCTCTTTCTCTTTCACACACAAGCACAAAATGTATCTCTCTCCCTTGTTTTTAATATATATATATATAATTCTATTGTTATATAGTATACTTTTTGCTTCTATAATATTACACCTTTATAAAGAGGCTTAATGTTCAATATTAGTAATTTGCGGAATAGGATAATTATATACGAGAGTTTTCACAAAATATTATTCAAGTCCTCTTCTTCCTTATTTTAAAATAAATAAATACATAAATAATAATTGGTACTACAAGAAATAAGGTGGTTCGTGCTGAGAAAGAAAAAAAAAAAAGAACAAATCTATAAGAAAAACAGACCACCAAATTCGATTCTCAAAGTAAGGTTCAATTGCTTTTATTTCCTTCTTATTATTTTTATAAAGAAGTACTCTTTAAAGCTTTGATTGGAAACTCTTATTTAGATAGAGATATATATATTACTGTTAGAAAATCTAACACACAGACACACACATATATATATATTTGAATTTACTCTCCCTTTTATTCATGTTGGACACTTGCTGTTGTACACCACATGTTTAACTCATCAATACACACACATATATAGATAAATACTTAATTCATCATCACCAGCATAATCATTTTGAATAAATATGTATACAAATGTAACATCTTGTTTCAATTCTTTCTTTATTGATTATGGTTGAGTGTAACGAATACAAATTTACTTTATATATCTGTAGACTAGATATTCAAATAAGTACCAATATATTTAGTGAGTACTTATGTATGTATATATATATACATTTTGTATACAAGTATCTTAATAAAAATAATAAGTTTTATTTCTTCCAAAGTATACATATAGTCAAAGGTACAAAAATCAAATCAAATCAATTTCGCCTTCTTCTTCTTTACCAAGACATATGTACCGCTTGAGCTAATACAATATTTTTGTATCACTGAAAAATCTGGATAATAAATTTTTTGAGGTTGAGTTGGATTTTGTGAATACAAAATTGTCAGAATGTAAAAAAAAAATCTAATAATAAAGGTTTACCAACCAGGTCAAAAGACAGGAGAAGAGTATCGATTAGGGTAGATCATATGGGACCAGTACTGTCATGACACTCAGGTTTATCCAACAACTATAACTGGATGCTATATTTTATAGATAAAAAAGAAGAAGAGTGTGGCGAGAGTGAATAAGTAATATAATAGATTTTATTTTATCAATACAATTAAATAAGAAATAATTAAAAGCTAGGACCAAGTCCTTGGTTTTATTTGTTGACTTTGAGATATTTAAATCTCGTATATAACGTATCAAAAGAACAGCTTATTTCATTCCATGGATACTATACTTTGTTGGTTTGCTTAGTGAAACCAAGAAGAAGAAGAAAGTAAGAGAATTGCTCTCGAGACCTTTTTTGTTAAAGAACTTTAAAGTTAGATATACATACGTTCAATACATCTGGTGTGGTCATTTCAGAGAAAAAACAAGAAAGTTCAAATGGATCTTATTGCCCAAGTTTCTTTTTTTTCTTAATAATAATGATATTAGTAATTCATGTATTTATTGATAGTTGCATGAATAATAATAATGATGCCTGTCTTTAACAGTAACAGAAAAAACTTTCTGCACCAAATCTCAACTTATTTGTGAATAGCAATAAAAGAGTTTACTAGTTACTGCTTAATTTTCTGGCAAACTTAATATTCCTTTAGCTTATTCTTGTTCTTTTCCCTTTCTTTTGGCTTTCCCTTTGGCTTTCCCTTTGGGTCTACCTCTTCCGTTTCCTTTTTTCTTTTCCTTTTCTTGCTCTTTCTCTTGCTCTTGCTCTTGCTCTTTCTCTTTCAGTTCTTGCTCTTGCTGTTCTTGTTCTTGCTCTTGTCCCTGTTCTTTTCCATCTTTCTGTGATTTGACGAGAGCCTTGTATTCACGCAAGAGGTGATTATCTGTTCTTCCGGGCATCAATCGAGCAATAAGAGACCACTTCTGTCCATGTTCTGCTACTAATTTTGACAAAATATTCTTTTCCTATTTACATAAAGTAAAGTAAAATTATATAATTTGTATTTTGTATTATGCATTTGTATTTGTATTTTTCACAACTTACCTCATCATTGAGTGGATCCCGCTTTATACTGGGATTCAGGATATTAACCCATCGCTCTCTGCACTGCATATCCGTACGTCCTGGTATGTGCAAGCAAATCTTTGCCCAGTGTCCTTCACCATAAAGTACGACTGCACTCTTGAGCGCCACATCCTCATCTCTTGTCCAGCGAGTCCGCCGAATGGCCGGATCGATTGATTTTCTCCACCGTTGCAGGCACTGCTGCCCAGACTTCTTTCCCATCGTGGCAGCAACCTGTTGCCAGTTTCCATCTCCAACCACAGCCACGGCTGCTCTGAGCGACTCGTCATCCTCAGCTGTCCAAGACTCTCTTACTCCCTTGTATTGGTTCATCTGGTAACGCGAGAAACACTGAGAAGGTGTCCGATGATTGTCCATGCCTTTTGATATTAGCTCCCATTTTCCGTCAGACCCATGGCTTTGAACAAGTGTTTCAAGAAGCAAGTCTTCCTCCTTTGTCCACGGTGTTTTGTGAATAATAGGATGTTCCTGATTTGTCCATTGGATGAGACACTCTATTGGAGACTTTGAATGCACCTATACAAATAACAGTAAATATATATATATATGTATATCTACTACAAGTGTGTATATTTTAATTTTCATTTTTGATAACTTACTACTTTACTGATCCTACTCCAGTCTATTAATTCAACAGAGTGCCACTCTATCTCATCCTTATTCATACGCTCAACTTCAAATACTCTCCAGTCTTCTCCACTAATAAACCCAAAATCCCCAAGGTAAAACAAAAAGAACGATTAAAAATATGAATAAGAGCAAAGTAATCATATTACACTTACTTGCGTACATGTTGTTGTGACAGTAAACGTTTAACCTCAAGGTGTACTCCTTCTGATAACTTTGTTCGTTCATGATGGTACCCTTATTTGATGACATTGACAACAATAATCATAATGTTATTATATGGCTGTACCCCAGATCCAATCACTTACAAATTCTTGATTTATCCCCTTCGAATTCTGGCATATTATTTTCAATGGAACGCTGAGATGGCTCCTATAGAGAATATTATTTGTTTAATAAACTCACCCACTCACATATCCATTCATACTTTTATTCACAGAATAGCGATTAAGAGAAAGAAGAAATAAATAAATAAATAAATAAAAAGAAGTGCTTACTCCTATAATTTTATCAAGTGATTCAAGGTGACTCGGATAGCGTTTGTGAAGCTCTAATCGATTCTTTTCTTCTTCTGCCTCTTCAATTGCGAAAGCTCGAACATCTTTCTACATATTTCACACACACACACACGGACACATATATGTATATATTATTTATTTATTTTATATGCACATGCATGTATGCATTATATATTAGAATTATTTACTATTTACAACTTATTGTCATAGATACATATATATTTACAAGAAAATAATAATCAATCAACCGATCAATCAATTGGTCAATCAATTTCAATCAAGAAGGAAATAAACTCATACACACTTACGGCTAATACTTCATTAGCATCAATTTTCTTTTTAATGTGCCGTAGTTGAGCCATGACACAATTCTCCATCTCCACACTCAATTCTAATGCTTCATCAATAGCAGCCTTTTTATCTTTGAAGCTAGAATTGTTCTGGATTGGTTTGAACAATTCCATTAGTGCATCCACCATGCTGTCAGCATCTTCTTTTTCTTCTTCTTCTTCTAGGTCTTCTTCTTTGTCTTCTTCTACTTCTTCTTCGTCTTCTTCTTTGTCTTCTTCTACTTCTTCTTCGTCTTCTACTTCTTCTTCTTCGTCTTCTTCTTCTTTGTCTTCTGCTTTGTTTTTTCCAGAGTCTTTGTCAGAGTCATTCTCAGTTTTATTTTGAATTCTTGCTCTTTTTGTGATTCTATATTCTTTCCTGGATGTGGAATGAGTAATTTTACGTGAACGAGTATCGTGTGAAATAGTATTGGTGGCTACTGGAGTAGTTGTAGTCAGAGGAGAATCACGATGACGAATGGTGGTATCAGCAGTAGAAGGGGTTTTAGTAGCAGTAGTAGTGGTAAGTGGAGTATTATTATCATTGTTGTTATTATTATTAGTCGGAGGAGGACGCCGACGACTACCAGTTTTAGTAGTAGTAGTAGTAGCAGTAGAGCTATTTGACTGAAGTGGTGAAGAAGTGTGAGTAAGAGGACGATGAGTAGAACTTCTGGTGATTCTTTTGGTGATTTCGCGTTTAGAAATGACCATTTTGATATAATAATAACAATATGAAAGAGAAAAAAAATGCAAATTTATAGACCTATCCGAGAGTTGATAGAATTTTTTTTTAAACTCAATGAAATAGGAAATTTTTATAATGCATAGTTGTTAAGCTTTATTTTCTTGAAAGATTGTTGTGTTATCTAATAATTACCGAATATTTGGGGTGGACAGACTAAAAAGACGAAGCAAAGACCGGAATAGGATTAGCCAATAATACGGCCTAGATTTCTGGTCTTTGTTTCATCTTTGATCTCTTCAGTTTGTCCACATCAATCGTATTATTTTCTTATGTCTTTGAAAAGTTGAAATATAAGCACGTGACTTAGACTCTGCCTTTAAATTCTCTGCAAATCTTACCATTTTACGACCACATCACTTAAAGCCTACTATCCATTCAATAAACTGCTCAGCTCATTTTTACATATTAATTGTAATATATAGCTGCTAAAATTTTCATAGCAAAGATGTACATAAAACTTGAGGGGAGGTGGGGAGCTCTATTTCCAAAAAGTGTGCTAATTATTTATTAAGTTATTCCTTACATAGGTCTATAAATTAATCACAATATATATATATATATATGTGTGTGTGTGGGTAGACTTTGAGTACCAGACGTGACATAGCGAAGGTACAAATATTAAGAGAGGCAAATTGAATAGTAAGAAAAAGAAAGTCTTTATCGATTGATGTATATAAGCATATTATTCTATCTCTTTAATAAATAAAACTATCATAGTATGTACCTTTGCTAATCTTAAGATATTAAACTGAAGTCAGTTCCAAATACTTCGAACATTACTTTAACTTTCTTTAATAAATAACACATACATTTTTTTTTTCTAATATTGATATACTAATCCAAAATCAATCACAAATACTTTAATTTAGATGCGGTATAATATTTGACAAAAATTATAAGTTGGAATAAGAGGGTCAATTACTTATTATCAAATAATAATAAAATTAAAAACTAATTGAAAACTTGCAAAAAGGCAAAAATAAGAAAATAAAATAAAATAATTAATTTAAATTTAAAATGCCCAGTCTTTTTGGTAGATTACAGGGCATTTTTGGAACTCAAACGATCTAAGATGTTTTTAGTAATTTAAAAATACCTGGGAGCGTGACATTTTTGTGAGGCTAGCAGTTCTCGTCCACAAAAAAAAATGCGACGGTGTTTCAATATTTTGTTTCTCCTAATATCGTATAATCAAAAAAGCAAAATTTTCTCACTTCGGACTTAGCAGCGTACTTTAGAAAAAATCATACTAAACTGTCTATTTTTTATGTGCTACAAATAAAGTAGCAAAAAAAAGTCGGCAAATGAAATTAAATAATTGGATTTCACATATAATATTGCACTTTGATGTGTGTGTGCATGTGTTTTTTTTTAAAAAAAATAACTAAATCCTTTTGACTTTTTTTTTACTTTGTATTTATATATAGTTATTAAATATAAAATAGAGCTCTACATCATATATAGTACAAAACAGAGTATAATCAATGTGAATAAACATAGCTATCTTAAGACTAAAGCAATGAAGACTATTTTATTCATGAGTATTTCAATCAAAGTTATTATGCTTGAGGGTTTTTTAGTCCAAAATATTAGAGGTACTCAACAGTTTTTCTTTAATATTGAACATTGTTGGGTGGTAATTAAAGTATCGTTACATTGAATTGTCAAGTATTGCAAACTAATAACCCCCCCCCCCCCCCCCCCCCTAATATTGCTTTCTTAAAAGAATAAAAACCTTTACGCCTGTCTACCTCTTTTATACACTGCAACAATTAGAGCTGTGTGTGTTTGTCTTTTTCTTGTGAAACTCACAGATACCTTTTTCGAGACTTGTGGCCACGACTGCTTTAGCTCTTAAAAACATCAATCAAAACGAAATCCAAGATTCTGTTAAACGATAATTAAAAATCCCCTTTCATCTTATCTGTAAATTTTGCTTACATTCGTACAATGTTAGCAACTTTACTCCCATTTGAAATTCTCGCAATGACGGCATCGTTTATGACCCAAAGACAAAGATTCACCTGCACCACAGTATGCAAGTCATGGTCCAAAGCATTTCAACACTCTCTTTGGTACAGCATAGAGATAGTCAGTGAAGAAAAAGTTGTCGCTATCCTCAATCCACCAATAACTCAAGAAAACGCTTATAAAAACAATGGAAACCGTGTTCGAGATCTTACTCTAAAATCAAGTCTCCTTCTGACTAATGAGCAACTGTCTCAACTTCAAAGCTATTTCCAAAAACTTCTCATTTTCAGAGCCGGTTTTGGTAGCTTGGACCCAGATGTCCTCAATACAACCAGCAATTGGAAAAATTGGAGCTCTCTTGTAGAGCTTAAAATGGCAATCATGTGCATGGATAAAAACGAACCAGAAGATAAATTATTTGAGCTTCTAGTCCTCTTACCTAATCTAAAGCGACTGGATTTCACGGAATATTGCACCAAAGACACACATTACTACACATGGGAAACACTCGAAGATATTCACTGTGTACTGCCAAAACTTGAGAGCTTGTCTTTGGACATTAGATTAATCAGTACGCCACTAGATAACATTAAAATGATGATCAACATCTCGCCAGCAAGCCGCCTGAGATTTTTGGAATTACGACGACATATCATGAATTTTGGATGGCTATATTATATTTCTTTAAAATATCCAAATATTGAAAGCATATTATCAAGTCCTAAACTGGGAGTACGTATGCCTGACCTCAGTGTATCAGACAATGAAACAATGATGCTGTTAAAGAACAATACCCATGTATTATCTCATCTGAACAAAGTTGATATTACTCATGATATAGCGTCAAGGGATTCCTTCCAGTTACTTTGTGTAATTTACAAAGATCTGTTTAAATCGGTTTCAAACTTGAAATGCAATGTAGAAGTTTCTGGAGATCTCTTAGAGAACCCAGTAACTGTTGGAGTCGAACTTATGAATTCATTTCCAGCCTCACTCGAAAGTCTACATATTGAAATCACATCTCCTGGTTGTCTTGAATCCTACAAATTACCAGCTTTTCAAATATTTCCTCACCTAAAATATCTAAGGATCAACATCTTCAATTCCACGGTCAATATCGACAAAATACTGGATAGCTTCCCATCTTTGACCCATCTACATATGAAAGGAGAATTTATTACTCTAAGTTCACCTTATGCCAGAACCGAAAAACTACATGGGCTACGGAATCTTCAACTTCAAGATGCAATAGCAGATTCTGTCATATTCAAATATATTTCCTATCGATGCAGGGACCTAGTGGTTATGCTCTTATACGACTTGGATATTGTTGAAAAAAATAGTACAAAAGCATACAAAGTATACATGGATATGTCGTACACGCATTTTCAATCATTACTATTCAACCAAGTCAGATTCTTTGTTACTACTGAAACCGGAAGCTTTGATGAAGACAGTCCAACAAATTTGTTTGTTGTAGAACGACTAGTCCGTTTTCCACAGTACAACAATCCTAACCTTAGAGAAATCCCAGAGTTTTACAAAAGAATACCAGGACCTGATGGGACTATGATATGGGCACACTTCTATCATGATAAAGAGGACATATATAAACCGAGAAAGATGTCTATACTCAGCTATAAAGACGGTCAAGCCATCAAGAAATCATTTGCTTCAAATATTATTGTACCCGAAAATCCAGAAACTGTACATAGTCGCCGAAAACGATATTCTGGTGGGTTAGTCTTGCAAAGGTTTTGGAGAAGTGACATTCCAAAAGGTTGTGCCCGAATGCGGTGTGGATATGTACGATTATACTACATCGATCGAGTTTGTGTTAATATCGAGGCCAAAGAAATATAATATTTGCACATATAATCTTTTTTTTTTAAAAAAAAAATTAACTTTGATCAAATTCCCATTTACCCCCTCTCTCTTTATACCTTTCTAATCACTCTTAAAAAATATAACTAATATGAGGCACTCATTTACCCAAAAAATGTTATGAGCTTCACGCGCACATGTGTTGAGTATTTTCACACTTTTGCATTGTAATAAATCATAATTAAAATAAATATAATATACATACATATGTCAATATTCTTCTGATAGAAATTGTGGATCATCTGAATTAAATATGCTGTTAATTTCTAGCTTTTTGTTTTATTCAAATCGATATTTATTAAACATAGACCTTTTTACCTCTAAAGCTTATATATACAAAGAAGCACATACAGAAACATTTGTTAGTAAATCTAAAAGTATATATTGAATGTTTCTTCCCTATTACTCTAGTTTGAAGATCAAAACTACACATATCAGATCCTCACTGTTTTTGAGAATTTAGTTACAGGGTAGAAGAAAATATGGTACTTAAATACTTTTAGAGGTTCTAAGTAATAATAATACACCCCTTTAAGTTGAAGTTAATCGAAACATCTACTTGAAATATTGATACAAAACTTTTTTTACTTTTAGACATATGTTTACTAATAGTAACATCTTTCAAGACCATTACTTTTATATATGTCATGTCTCAGGACATTTGTCTCAATGAATCTTGTGAAATTATCATATCTCTTAGTCTACGCATCTTTAGAATAATGAGCTATATTTTCTTTAAGTAATATTATATGTTTAATGTAAAGCAATTACACATTCCCAGACTTTTTATTGCTGAAAAGTATTGTATAGTGCTGTCAAGTGACATGGCTAAATTTTGAACAGGATCAGTTTTTTGGTCACTATCATAGGATTCTTTCTTATATGGCTAGTATGTTTTAGCCACAGAATCGCTTTTTCATTTCGCTTTATGTCAAGTTTTCTTCTTATTTTTTCTTTCACGACAGCCAAATTATACCCTATTTTTATTCTTACCAAAGCTATTTTCAAATATTTGCTATTTTGTTCATACTGTTATTTAAGTACCTATGCCCAAATTACTATTATTATACAAAGTATTCCATTCACCCACAATAAACTTATTTAAGAAATCTATACAAACCTAATAGAATCAATTGAATAAAGTTTATCCATCACATACATTTTCTTCTTTATCCGAAGAGCACTGCTAGCTGTCCCGAATGTTATGAGTATTGATCTGATCACCCTTTCTTCTCTAAATTCTACTTTCTAATAAAGGTGCATCTTCAACCGTACCAACCAATATATTACATCTCATAGTTTCTATACTTTACACATTTGATAATAGTGCTTTGTATACGGGCTGATAAAAAATACAAATTCTATAAATTATGTGATAAATTATAAACTTGGAAGTAGAATGTTTCAATATGTTTCACTAAAATGTTATACAGACACACACACACAAGCACACACACTTTGAGACGATCAACACACTAATTATGATTCTATGTTTTCTTTTTTTTATCACAGTGTCCAATGTCCCGTTTCTAGTCTCGTTTTGCTTTTAAGCACCAGTACTTTTTAAGCCCTTTGCGATTATCGGTTAGGTAAATAAACACACATACACTTTGACACGATAGATATATTAACTTTATACTCTATTTTTTCTTCTATTTCTACTTTTGCAGTGATCCATAAATACCCCGTATTCTATCGGTCACGATATATCAAAAAGAATATACGTAAACATTTTAATGCAAGATGTGTATATCATGATCTTTAACAATGAGTCTTTGGGTTCATTTTCAATGCCCTCATTGTAGACGCCTTATTTATAGGGCTTGTCTTAATATGAGATTCTGGTTTTATATTGAGTACACTGCACTATTTGGCTAGTCTAGCCTTTGAATTCGCTCAAGGTACTATGGCCTAAAAGTGGTCTGTATCTTGCACGAATTTACCTGCATTTAGTGCAGAGGAGAAGAAACCAAAATGGGATTTCGTATTGGACTTTATTGTTTGAGATGGAAAAGCTCCAAAGTTTGAACCGATGTAGTATTTTGACTGCCCTGAATTGTGAACTAGTGAACTGCTTTTCCAGATATACCAACAAGTCAGTAGCCCTCACTCCCCTGGAAAAGGTTGTTGGAGGGTGCAATCAACTCACCTTGTCTTGAGTTCTTGTCTTTGTGTTAAGCAGCTTCCAACGAGTCGGGTTGTTTTTACAAACTCCCTAATCCCAGTGAAAAGTTTCATCGAAGACTAAATATATTTTTAAAAAACCAACTGATCACAAGTACCGTCAGGGAAAGTATCTCTTAGTGTAGAGCATACCTGGTGTTAAAGATCTTCCTGAGCCAGTCATATGAAGGCGGAAGCTGGATGAAATCCACGTCAGTTTTTCTGTGTTGTGCGGCACATAACATGAAGGAGACTGAGTAACGCAGAGGTAGCTTTATGCCATTTTCTTAGGACGTTGGATATTGGCACTTCAGATTTTGTCTTTCGAGGCATGTCAAGATTGTCACAGAAAGGTGCAAGTATAAGGGTGTATCACCTGGATGCATAGAGTTTTTAAATTCGTTGAGCATCTGGACATGAGGTAATGCAGGTAGATTCCAACACAATCGCCTGTATTTTACTGCTTCCTGTTGAAATGATCTCTGTACGTTTCAAGTTCTTCTCTGCTTAGTCTTTGACACTTGTAACCCGCGCTCTGGTAAACAGAACTGAACATGAGGGAAGAACCCGAAGCAAAGTTAAGGTGTCTAAGTAAATGCTATGTTGTCCCACTTGGGTGTCTCAGACATCTATCTTGAACAGTTTGGCATCAAACCATTTCACCGATACTTTGCCGTCATGGTAAATTTGATGCCATGCCGAGTAGTCAGGAATGAGGGTTGTTGAGAAGCTTGGGTGTAAACTTGAGTGGATCGATCTTCAAGCGCAGGTCTTGAGAAAAAAAAACTTTACTATTTTTACTTTTGGGATATATTGAATACATTTTAAAGATAAATGTTTATTTTTTATAAAATATAACTATATAACAAGTGTTTGTTATCTAATAAAATTTGATATTGAATCTAAATATCCACAAATAAGCACATATTAAATGAATCTTTCTGTAAATAAAAGTCAATGATTCTTAATTATACAAAATAATCTTATGATGTAGTGTCCAATAAAAGCTGCTCTTTATAAAATATAAAAAATATATAGATTGTTTTTTATAACAGCCAGAAGGTAAAAAAAAAAACGTCGGTCCTGAGAATATTTTACGTTCAAGAAATTACAATAGACATAGATTGTCTACAGATGTAAAAATAGTAATTTTATATAGGCAATTTAGCGGCACCACTAGAATTGCATGTTTATATATATGTATAAATTGGTGATTCCGTACGGTATATTGTAGTAATACACAAATCTACTATGATACACTTTAGTTGACGAAAGCATGTATCGATGGGCTTTATCGATCTCCTGAGGAGTTTGGTTTTGCTACTTTGAGAGTAGCACTGATTGTTAGTAGATTAGTTTCCATGTCTATAGTTCCTAGAAAAGTAAGCATGCTGTTATTTTAATAAAGAATGAGAATACATTACTAAAATGAACAAGATGGTACTGATTAAAGTCAACTGGAATTTCCCGGGTAGTTCACTATTTCTCTATATATATATATATATCTACGTATATATTAAATAAGCACAAAGAATCTAGGGCTGATCTGTGCTTGTACAACCAAAAGCTATCCAAAAACAAAACTCAAGTGTAGATAATTATATTAGCTTTATTTATGCTAAAGAATTCTGTGGGAATAGCTCGCAAGGAAACAGGCTATCGGTGTTTAGTTCCAGATGTTTTCAGTCGTCTGAGGTAGGCATCTATTGTCATGGAAACATTGAAATATTAGTAAATATCTGGGTGAGACTTGCGTGGGAATTGTTTGTATTCAAGAGAATTGAAAAAGAGAAAATTTCTTGGTTAAAATGATGGGTTCGATTGGTGTAGTCTTTGTAATTTGTAATTATATTTACAAGCTTGAATTTCCCAGGTTTTAATAGAAGTTCAAGTTCTTATTTTATCATGTGATAATTCCAACGCCTTGGATCCTTCAACTATTTCTAATCAGATACACCTTTATTTCTTAATTATTCATTTATTTTAAAAAGAATATTAAATTAATAAAAACCAAAATTTGTTAATCATGATTCTTTTTCAATCACACGCAAATCATTGGCTATTGTGGGATGCTGATCAATATCTTTACAAACAAAAAAATAAAAGCCAAGAATTAACTCTTATAATTTACACTTTTGACAATTTTAACCATTAGACAGAAAACAGAAAAAAAAAGTAATGGTGTAATATCTGGTGTTACTTGTATTTTTTCTTCTTCTTTTTTATATCAATTAACATGTTTGGAATTAAAGCTTACTACATATAAAATCTTAGCCGATCCTTCATTTTATTTATACTCTTCTTTTTCTTTTTTGGGTAATACATATATATATATATATGGGCACGCTATTCTCTTTCTTATTCAACCATTGAGTAATCTAATTTGCCTCGTAGTTCTTTAACTCATAAATTCCTCAAAAATTGTAAAGAGTCTTGTGAATTGGTGTAAATAGAATCGAGAGTGAAAGAGAGAGAAGATCCATGTATATGTATGTATGAATATATATGATCTGAGGGATCACACATACACATTTTCATTTTGAATAAAGTAGATATATATATATTGCGGATTTTACTTTTTTTTATGCACTTTAATATCCGCCAGGTGACGTGTGGAGTACCTTGTCAAAAAAAAAAGCCAACAAGGCAAGTCTTAATGTGTATAGATCCTACAAAGCGATCATCGACTTCCAATGCAAAATCTCACAACACCAGACGAACCTACTCTGCTTTACATCGGCAACCTTGATCCCCGTGTAACTGAACTTACACTCGCAGAATTGTTTTCTCCATTCGGTCAAGTTAAAAATACCAAAGTGATCTCGGACAAGAATGTAGGTTGCTTTTTTTTATTCTTTCTTTTATTATTGTTCCCTTTTTTTTTGGTTTCTTTTTTCTTGTTTTCTTTACTGTCAATAGAATTACTTAAAACCCCTCCGAGAATTATTACTACTAGTATTACTATTAGCTCTGTCTTTAAAGAAAGAGAGAGAGAGAGATAACCGAAAGAAAATACAGTGGAACTGGAAAGGTCCAAATCAAAAATATATATATATATCTTTTTCTTGATTGTGTATTGAACGGGAATGAAAAGAACAAGGGAAGGAAGAAGAAGAAGAAGTTGCAGTTTTGTTATTGATGATTTTTTATGATATTTCAAAAATTATACCATAAATTTCTCTCTCTCTCTCTCTAAATACATTATTCTTTGAACCTGAAAGCTTATTCCATATAACTCTGTCTTATTGTAATTTTTTACCCTTTACTGTATATTTAAATATTAAAAATTGTGCCTGAATTTGATGTTATTTTCGACGGGCATTAAACTCTTTTTTCTTTCTTATTTTATATTATATTATAAAAAAAACATTGTTTCAATTTTATGAGGATACTAATCCATGAATGATTATAATGATGGTCTTTTATAACTGATGCACACACACAATATATATATGTATATATATATATATTATTTCCAAATTGTTAGCTGACACACAGTGGACCTCGTTATGGATTTGTGGAATATGTTCACCCAATGTCAGCTCAGCAAGCATTATTAAAAATGAACGGAAGTTTGGTCTTTAGCAACGTAAGTTTTATTACTACCAATATCGGTACTATTGCTATTGCTATTATAATATTTAATCATACTTTTGCAAAATAACAGGAGATCAAAGTTAACTGGGGTATCCAGCGAGCCCAAAAGGAAGACAATACTAGCCAACACGCAGTTTTTGTTGGCGATCTTAGTGGTGATGTTAACGATGATATGCTTGCAAAGGCATTTGGTGTCTTTGATAGTATCACGTATGTTTATGCTCGCTCCTTGATTTATAGTACAGTCATACAATATAACACCACACTAATACGTCAAGCCATCTACTCTATATCCCTCTCTATTTTCTTTTTATACATACATAAACAACAACAAAATATGTGCGTCTGATTTAAAAGTGAAGCACGTATTATGTGGGATCCTCAATCTGGACAATCTCGAGGCTTTGGCTTTGTAGGTTTCCGTGACCGTGCTCAAGCTGAACAAGCAATTGCAACTATGAATGGAGAGCGCCTTGGAGCTAGAGCTATTCGTGTCAATTGGGCTAACCAAAAGAACCAGGGACCACAGAGTAAGTACAGATAATTGTATACATATATACATACATTTTAGAGAGTGTTTTTTTTGAATCATATAATTAATAAAGAATGTGATATTGTTATTGGTGCTTGTTATCATTAGGATTAATCACAGGACCATTATCAGCCAATTATGAAAAGGTGTTAAATGAATCGCCCGTAAACAACACCACAGTATATGTTGGAAACATTGTTCCCTACACACAGCGTAAGTTGTAAAAAAAAACTGGTAACTAAATATACATATACATATAGATATCTATGCGTGTGTGTAATATCTGACTTCCCCCCTTTACTTGAGTAGAGCAAGACTTGTTACCATTCTTCCAGTCATATGGTCAGGTTACAGAGATCCGTCTCCAACCTGAGCGTGGTTTTGCTTTTCTAAGGTAAATTTATTTACTGCTTCGTTGTTAATTCAAATCAACCAACCAACCATCCAATGTATATAATTTTTTTTTTTGGAAATCTAAATTAATTGTGTAGAATGGAGAGTCACACAAGTGCTGCTGCTGCCATTGTTTCTCTTCAAGGAATCGTTATTCACGGTCGCCCTGCCAAGGTTTGTCTCTATAATGAATTACAATATATATTAAATAATATTTGTGTCTGTGGATATATTGTAATTAGTTGTCATGGGGCCGTAGTAGACCACAAATTAGAGATGACAATAACAATAACAATAACCGTCAATCAATCTACAATCAATCTACCCCAGCCAATGGGTACTCACATGCACACACCTCAACACCAGCATCTGTACCTTTAGCTGCACCTACAACTTTATCTGCAGCTGGGAATGTACCTACAGCTACAGCCACAGTTACAGTTACAGATACAGCCACACCCAACCACGCACAGTTACAGTTACAGCTACAGTAACAACTTCTGGGCCTGCTCCTGCTCCTGCATCTGTAGTTGTTGTACCAGCCACTAGAGTTCCAACCACTACTACTAATCTAGCAGCCGTAACAGGATCAGAAACCAACAAATCGTCTGGTCAACCTAATTGGGATCCTTTTTATCCTCAGTATTATGAAAACCGAGCCTCTGTTCCTCAATAAACAAATAAATATAATATAATATAATATAATATAATAAATAATTACTGTGAGAATTACACATTTTAAACTTTCCATTTTACACTTTACACAATACCAAGCTTAATTGATTTTGTCTTGTCAAAGTTAAATTATTATTACTATCGTTTGTTTGTTTGTTTGTTTGTTTGTTTGTTTGTTTTTGGTTAATTAGAACCATAATCATAATCATAATTACTATCCCAATCATAATAGCAGTGGGAATTCTCACTGAATTTTGATTTTCTTTCCCTTCTTCTCCTTCTTCTTTTGCTTCTCCTGCTTCTTCTTCTAATAATCAAATGTGACCAAATGAGTAAATGTTTCTTTTGGGGGGAGGGGGTATAAATAAATCATTAAGTTTTTTGGGATTTTTTTTTAATGTGGGAGAGGAGTATGTAAAACAAGGCAAAGAAAAGGGGGAAAAAAAGGATATGCAAATTGAATAGAAAGAGAAGGCTATATAGAATCAACAGAGCGTGCAAGTGATATTGAGTGAGTTGGTTAGTTAGTGTGAATGGGTAAGATTGAAATTGAGATTGATAGTGAGAGAGTGCACAAGAAAAAGAAGAAGAAGAAGACGAAAGAGATATAAACAACGGAATACAAATGAGAAATAAGATTCCCTTTTTTTTTGAATGAGGGAGTGTGGAAAGGGCTAGTGAAGAGAAAGAAATGAAGGAGAAGATGTGAATGTAGAGGTAGAAGAGGTATAAAGTAGTAATAGTAGTAATAATAATAAAAAAGAAGGCATTTCTTTATATATCTTTCTCTTCTTCTTCTTCTCTTTCTAGTCATCCAGTGGTTTCTGGGCTAAAAAGGCATAGAGACCAATGAAACTCTTGGTGTTCATCATATCTTTCTTTGGTGCACAGACCGCCGAGGGTTCAGGAGACGATGGGTTGTCAAACGATTGTCGCATAAGAGGAGCAATTCCTTCCAAAGTAGCCTCATAGACATTGTAGTATGCATCACCAATCAGGCCACCCCAACCTAATGGGATTTCTCGATATTCGCTTTGCAAAATGGTCATTCTGGCATCACTAAGCATCATATCAATCTTTGCACCTGATGCCTTGTCTAGGCCCTTTAGAACACAAAACTTATCGACTAAGGACACACACATGGATATAAAGAGATGGATAAGCATATAAATATATAATTAAAGAAATATGAAAATCCACTTCTTTAGGTTGGATCAAAAAAATTTGGAGGCAGAATTTATAGAATACAATTTTCAATTCTACAGTCATAATAATAATATTAAAAGCCAAAAAAAAAAAAGGGCAAGCTTACATTTTGATACTTCGGTTTTGATATCGTGCAGTAAAGATGCCACGGTATCTTTCTTTCTTGAAAATTCATCTTCTGGATGTACTTTTGTCTCTAATAAAGAAGAAGAAGAAAAGTAGCAAACGATGTATATATAATCATTAGTACAATTTCATATAATATATATAAATATATAAATATGTAAAAGAAAAGGGAAAAGATCATTCATTGATCCCACAACCTGTGATAATCTCTATCAATCTCTATCTCTCTTTTCGTATGTATATATATACTTAAAATAAAAATCACAAACCTTCTGATGTTGCAGAGTAAATATCACTTCCTCCTTTTGATATCTATATATTTGCAGAGTAAGAATCTCTTGTGGTAGCAGCTGTACCAGTGTGTAGTATATTTGTTAAGGTTCTCACCGTCATATCAAGGTCAATGCACTGAAACATTCCTCCGTCTTTCAAAACTCTTTTGATTTCCAGTATAACCCGGGTCCATTCATCTGACTTGAAGGCAAGTGCGACAAATCTGTACAAATAAAGAACAAGACGTATATAAGTACTTATTCCACCAGTGCTGCTTTGTTGTACTACAGTCGTGCAAACACTAAAAGACGCACAGAGGGGAAAAAAAAGGGGGGGTAGGGTGAAGATAGAAATAAAGAAAATTTCTTATATAATAATAATGATATGTTACCTCAACTGTACAAAATCTGTAATAGAGAAAAAAAAATGATTAATAATTAGCGGTAGACAGACATTGAATGATTTACTAAAACTTACCAAAATATTGATCTGGATAAGGTAGTCCATGTAAAACATTAGCTCTAGTAAAACTCAGGTTGACTGGGCGGATGATTTGGGGCCACATAGTAGACATATCTACACCGGAGAAATGGCAATTGGGGTATTCGAGACTGGTCTGACAAAGCCATGTTGCTGGACCACAGCAGACATCCAAAATGTGTAATTCACCGCCCTGAAAATCAAGTCTCTTTGTGGCCTCCCTCATGATATTACTAAAGAATAAAAAAAAATTTACAATTATATATATTTCATTACAAGTTCACCAATAGAAATCAATGCTGCTAATAAGATTACGTACTATTGCTGCTATTGCTGCTATAGCTGCTATTGCTGTTATTACTGTAATTATTATTATTTAAAAGATTTCTTTTTTTGGGTTAAAATAATATGAATGAAAAGAAAATAAAAATGGTGCTTTATTTCTGCTTTCGTTCTTTACCATCCCAAGAGTTCCTTTGTCAAAAAGTGTTCTTCGTGGAGTCTATCGATTTCTCGGTCGTCCATAGGGAGAGGATAATTGCTGTCTTGTTCAGAATGATAAATACGGCCTTCGACTATCCGTTGTCCTTGTGCTGTCGATGTACGTTTTTCGGGATAAATATCACGCGCTGGTTTGTTGCGATGAGAACGCCTAACACTAGACGTTTGGCTTGATCGAGATAGACCACTACCCATATTTATTTTATTTTGTTTTTAGTTTACTTTTATTAAGAAAAAGAAATTATACAATAAATGGGTATATAAAGTAAGAAGAAGTAAGTAAGTAAAAGAGAAAGCAAAGAAGAAAGAAGTAAAAGGAGGGGAAGAGAGAAAGAGACAAAAAGAGGATGAAATGTAAGTGTTTCCTTTGTGCCCTGTGTGATTTTATGTGTACAAACTATACCAATCATCAAAAAGAGAAATAGAGTTAACCTATTTTAGATCAAGGTAACAAATAATATAAATATATTTATATTATTTATAATAGACCGATATATCAAGGAGGAAATTTTTATATATTGAGCAGAATATCAATATAGAAGTGAGTAGCCGTGTAAATAAAATAAAATAAAATAAAATAAAATATATTACATCGATTTCTCCCTCTTTTGTTTCACTTGATCAAAAAGACCTTTGATTGTGTCTATTAAACCTACTCTATCATGTACATCAAAGCTATCAGATTAAAATCAGATTGCAGACTATCTTGATCAGATCGACCTCTTCTTTTCATTTATTTTATCGTATCTTTATTTCTACGAGATTTTCTATGGCTAGTTTGGTTATTTCTTATTTCATCATCGTACTACTACAATTTGTAGAATCTAGATATAGCATGCTCTAATGTACTGCACTGTACTGCACTATCCTGCACTGTACTATAATGCAATGCAATGCACAGTATACATATATATTATGTGATGAAAATCTTCCTGTAGTGATGTGAATCTAATCTGAAAAAAAAATAAAAATAAAATTACCTACCACAGTAGGAGGTGGCAGAATTTATAACTCCGGCATAGTTATATCATATACGAGATCATATATATTTCCTATGAGTCTGGAGTTATAGATTCTGCCAATAGCATGTCAGCTTCTAGTAAATTAAAATCATTTACAGTGAATACTATTTATGGAATTTCAGATTACTTTGCACCTAGTCCAATCAAATGCTTTAAACATGGTAGATCTACACTTTTTTTTTAGGTACCTCTATTCTTATAATTAGTTCAACAAACCCACAGTTTTATACTGGAATTTTATGGCTTTTTATTTATCAGAATAATAGAAGTTAAGCATAAAGAAGTAGGCAAAGAAGAAGTACTAATTTATATGATACTTGGTAGCCGTTTAAGCTATAAATTTGATATATGATATACATATATCTAAAAAAAAAGACAGGTATTCTCAAAGTACTAAGATATTGATAAAGACATGTATGTTGCTTAATTGAACCTTTTTATCAAAGAGTATACACATTTTCTGTGTTCAGACATGACTATGTCTGATTCCTATTTTTGAGAAACCAAAAGACAGATTCCCTGTGATCCTCTCAATTCATTATTTCTCTCATGAGCATGCAAGTAATCTTGACAAAAAAAAACTGTGCATTATACAAATACTCTTCTGTAACCTCTCCTCAAACCTCTCTTGATTGTCAACTTTACTAACTTATATTTTATCAATACTAGCCTTGATAGCTAGTAAGCGTGTTTCTTTTAGATGCCTTTAACATTCTAGACCTTTTTTCTTCGCTAGGATACACCCAAGATACCGCTGGTAAGCTATTATTAGGTTTGAATAATTTTATCGTCTTTAATTCTTATACTGGGTCGAAGAAGTTGGGAAAAAGATGTTTTGCATTAACTGCAAAAACACGGTGGCGTAAAAAATAAAATAAAATATATATATAAAAGAAAAAATTAGTGTTTAATTAAAATTCAACTATAAAAGAAAAAATAACTTTAAACGCCGGAAAACTTGCAACAATTCACTAAAATCGCCTATTTTTCTTTTTTCTATAGGGTACTGATCAGCGTGCTTTAAGCCAGAAAATATCGTGTGAGCTTAGACTGGAAATGAAAATGAAGATATGATAAAATATGGAAATATCTTGCGTAGCACAACTGTGCGATAAACGATCCCCATTTGCAAATGTGGATTTATTGGTGACTCCCCCTCCACAAGATAAGCTCATTGGTCAAAACACATCTAGAATAATAATAACAATATATAAATAAAAAAACGCGCGCAGGCACACAGGCACACAGGCACACAGGCACGCACGAACTCACGAACGCATGCACGCACAAAGAGAGATATTATATAGCTCAAATATTCTCGATTAAACATTTTAGGAATAAATTCTAAGATGTGAACTGTGAATAGTTTAAATTTGTACATTCGTTTAATAATAATAGCTATATAATTTATTTTATTTTACTCTTATATATATATATAAAAGGTTTAGAAAGGTAAAGAAGAAGAAGTAGTCAATTAATCAGTAAGAAAGGAAAGAAGAGAGAAAAAGCAAGGATAAGCATTAAAAAGTAGAGGTAGATTAAACGATTAAAAGAAAAGGAAAAGGAAAAGATATATATATATAGAAAGAAGATGTCAAGGTCAAAATATTGCATGGATTAAAAATAAAATATTCTTCTTTATCTTCCTTCCCCTTAATGATTTTGAGCTACTTGATAATCTGGATACATAAATGCTCTGGTGTCAGGTATAGTCTTTTCCGTAGACGTGTACAAAGTATATAATGCCGCACACTGAAGACTGCTGTACTGCAAGGCCATAATAGGAACATTCTCTCTGTCCCAGATACTATTCGAGAAATTTCTGTTACTTGCAGATTCGAAATCATCCTTTGCAGCCTTTAGTATCCCGAGGTTGGGCCAATCCTTGATGTACTTCTCAGCACACTGAAGAAAGTTTGGCTGGTGTCCATCTGTACCACCAAGTTTGAGAGACATATCCAATGCACTTCCAAGCTTGATACCCAGCGTTTCTTCAATAGTCTTTGCCATAAATCCAATCGCCCACGTAACACGATTCACTCGAGGATGTGTGAGCAAGTATGCAAGCTCATTGTTCTTCTTTGTATGGAGGGCATTGTAAATATGCTCCACCAAAATGGTGTACGTATTACCGGTTGGGAAATGTATCTGCAACGCCTTAAGTATCATTCCGGCATCCATGCGACGGTTGCGCGGCACATACGCATAGTAAGTAAAAGCAATGGTCAGCGGAGAGCTCGGATCCGGAAGTGACTTGGGAATGTGCGCAAGATGTTTGACCTCGTTTATTTTGTACAAATGAAGATACGTTCCGTCCACCAAATAAAAGTCCTCTACAAAAATTTCATCATCAGACGCACCAGCATTTGCTCCTGCTCCTGATGCTCCTGATGCTCCTATTGATCCTGCTGCTCCTGTTATCTCTGTTGTTCCTGCTTTTGCTGATGACGATGATGTTGCCGTAGTGCCCATTCTATTTGCCTTCGCACCCACTGCCATATTACGATCAAGTCCTCCACCATCACTATCAGAGCTCAAACCATCATTGTCCGTATCGGAGTCCGAGTCAGCATCATCAAATGCATTATAGAACCTTGGTCCCTTTGGCTTGTATTTGATTTTAGGTCCTCCTTTTAGCGCCATCTGCATCGTATTTGGTCTGACCGTAACATCATCCCAACTGTCCTTCTCTCCTCTCCGCTGATCTCCCGAAGTACCAATAACCGTATTAAACTTTGTAGATCCAGTCGGTCGATTGATGTTCTTGGCCGCCTCTGCCTTCTTACGTTCATAGTTACTCATGTCCAGTCCCATATCTTTGCCTTGTCTCCAGTGAGTAATCGAATTGTCCATCAACTCCTTCCATTTCTCATCATCAATTTCTCCTTCCACGGGCTCCTGCCACTCGAAAGATCCTTGTCCTCCATACTGGAAAGCTGCCGATTGCGCATTAACTGCAGAATTGTCAAGTCCCCTTTTGACTTTTACCCAAGCAGGCTCAGCATCTTGTGAGCTTGCTTTACCAACCCCGCTGTCGTTTGAGCTATTCGATTTAATATTATTTTGACTAAAGTTAGATGGCTGAATAGTTTGAGGTGGTGCAGAGTAAGGACGAAGGTTACTCTGAGTCGGGTTTGTAGCAGTTAAAGAAGCTGAAGTTGAAGGTGAGACAGGGGCAAACATGGAATCCGAAACGGATGGAGTCGAACTAACAAGTAAAGCTGCTGGTTTATTTATTGATTGTGGTGGTCTTTGTGGATCGGGTTTTTCAGAGTAATGTTCGGCCAAAGGAACCCTTTGTTTAACTGGGAGTGGATTTGTTTGAAGCTGAAGAGAAGCAGGTCCTTTTTGTGCCTGTATTGGCCGTTGTTGTGGTGATTGTGCTGACTGTGGCGATTGAGGTTGTCTTAATTGTGGTGACTGAGGTTGTCTTGATGGGTATGATTGGTTTGTTGTGGGTAAAGAAGAAAGACCTAATCCACTATTCTCAGATCGTCGGTTTGATGAATTATTTGCCAGTGCAGCCCATCCACTTGGATTACTGACCGCTGAATTGTTCGTCAGAGGACCCCATCCACCAGTATTTCCACCAACGTTACCACTGACGCTACCACTGATACTTCCGCTGACATTGCCATTGCTGTTAGTATTTTGTTTATTAGCAGGTAAATTTCTCGTAAAATCTGACCATCCGCCTGGCTTTATGACAGGTGCTTTAGTGTTCTTTCGACTTTCTTCATAAACGTCGGGTGCAAATTGATATTCGTACGAATCTTCGCTATGAGAAGCCTCTAGCTCATGATAGTTCGTCTGTTCATCCGAGACAATCCGACGATCCGATTTGGTATGACTTAATATATTGTCAGATCCATTGCTTGTAGGCTGCTGTGGGGAAATCTCTGCTGGTGCTACATGATCGGTCTCAAAAGATTTCTTTGTGGGTTGTTCTACAGTCTTCTCAGATTTATTTTGAGCATTTTCATTTGATTGTGTCTCTCCATTGGATGGTACCACAGAGGTGCTGTTTTCGGATGTCCTTTGAGCAGGCTGTGGCAGTGATGGTTTGGGTGTGTTTCTTATGTACACATTATTATTTCCTTCGGCAAAATTGGAGGCTCTTTCACGATGCCATTTGTCCAATGCCTTTCTGTTGTATTCAAGTGTGATCGAGAATGGCCAAAAGTGCTTTTCATTTGTTTCTTCGTGCTCGGTGATCTCGAATAGAGCGACAAGGCTTACGACATCAAATACAGCGTACACTAGGGCACTTGGTGGAAGTGGATCTTGCATCCAGACGCAATTTTCTCCTGTAAAATGGAACATTTCTCCCAGCTGTTTCGCCTTTTGGAACTCTTCATAACCTTCCCAATCCTTAGCAAATCGAGTAACTCCATTGGCTAGACTGAGGTTTTCAACCACGATTGAACGCAATTTGGCCTGTAGATCAAGGACCGATGTCACCAGCAAGCCTTTAAATGCATTTTCAATAGCACGTCCATCGGCATTAAAAGCCCACCCAACTAGGTTAATACTATTGTCAGTCAATATTGGGCCAAGTAACTCCATCGCTACTCGATTTCCAATTGTGTTGATCATAACAGCGTATCCGCGCGTGCGTGAAACTGCAATCTGCAATAACTTGAGTTCAGGCGAACTATTCTTTATTCCGAGAAACTCGCAGTCTAGCGCAACACATCGACTTTGGCGGATTTCTGGTATGATTTCTTCAAGCTCCTTTCTGGTGGAAATGGCCTTGCAGACAACAACACTGTTATCGCTCAATGTAACGTTGACTGTAGAGGAATCAACGATTTCCCAATTGGAATCATAATCTGAATTGATCTGTACAGGTTTTCGCTGCTTTTTTGGCGAAGTATTGACGTCGCGTGGGGTTGGTTTGTACTCCATCATTGCTTTAATGTCTCGTCCATGGCGAATCAGTTGTCTAAGTGGTTCTGTGGTGGCATCTACTAGTGCATGGTCTTTGTTTTCGTAGACTGACAACATACTCAATGCTGCCTCGCAAACATTGATTGTGTTCTTCCAGTAGGTATGTACAGACAGAACAGTCTCCTCTGTATTGGTCGGACTAGCTTCTGAATCCATATCCTTTCTGAATTTCCAAACGAATATTCCAACAGCAAAAAAAAGGAGAGATACAGAGTCTGAATGAATAACAAATAAATTATAGGGTAATACAATGCTACAAGTTTACAAGAACTCTACAGGGACATGACGTCATTTGACTTTCTTCATTGGAATCTCTCTCTCTCTCTCTTTCTTTCTTTTTTTTTGCCTTCTCTTTTTGGGAGCATAAGGACGCGTTTGGGGGGTGTGGTGGGGGGAGACAGAGCGAGCTAGAAGGGGGAGAGAGGCGGAGAGAGAGAGAGAGAGTTGAGCTTTCTTTTCTCTCTTTCTCTCTCTCTCTCTTTCTCTATTTCTCTCTCTCTCTCTCTCTCTCTCTCTCTCTCTCTTTGCTCTATAGTCTTTGCTGCACCATTCTTTTCTTCTCTCTCTCTATTGCCCAGAGCAGCCTCTTATCGCTTATCCATTGGATAGAACTTCATCACCAGGTTCATTACCTGCAACACTAAAGTCCATTGAGACCTCTCAATCAGACCCGAGATGCACAATCCTCGACTTCGAGACAACGTGTCTACCGTCAAAGCATCGTCTCCTCTATCGGGAACTACGAGAAAACCAGCAATTACAGCAACTACGACAGCTAATACGACAAATTCATCCTCCTCCACCTCTCCTGATCACGTAGACCAGATTCTTGTTCAAGTGCGACGGCAGGTAATATATGTAGATATATGTACAGAATATAAGCCGAGATATCTATAAATATACATAAACACATTCAAATATATATATATATATATATACCAAGATATACAGAATGGCTCACAGCTACCATTACCACAAAATAAAATAAAATAAAAGAAAGCCCTTGGAATCCAGCCAAAGTCTATGCAACTTAGCAGGAAGAGCGGAGTCTGACAAAACCAAACTTCTTTACTGTATAGATTGAACGATGGGGAGAACACGCGAGGTGGCATATTAACCTAGTCTTGCTCGATCCCCCGAACAGCAAGCCAGGATCACCCCTACCTCACAAAGGACTATCACCCGTGCCTCAGAAGAACAGCTCACCCGGCGGAGACACTGGTGCGCGACTCCAAAGCCTATTTCAAACTCAATACGGCACCGGAGCAGGTTCACCACAGCCGCCGGCTTTGAGCATCTTTGGTGGAGGAGCTACAGGAACCCATTCACCGGTAAACACAAAAGATATAAAGGAAATCAAATTAAAAGGATATAATGAAATTAGCTATAAAACTAGGAATAGCAGCAACACAATATATACCCCCCCCCCCAACACACATATATATATATATATATATATAATTATATGGATCATTTATCAAGCACACACACACACAAAAAAGTTTGACCCAAAATAACAAGTGCTGTAAAGTGGGGTCGAATTGGATTGGATTAAATCTGGGGGTGTTTTTTTTTTGTCTTTTTGTCTGTAAAGTGGTGTATATTAATTGATATTTCTGTGGTGTGTATATGTGCACTATGCTTTTATTTGAAGTGGGAATACAGTATACCATCTACAAGTTACTCTTATACAAGGCCCAACCTAGACGATGCTCAGCAAAAGGTAAGTTTATTTGTCATTATAGTACATATTTAAAACCTAGTAAGCTAAATTCATCTTTTTACCTTCTTTTTTTTCTTTGGTTTTATTTAGCTTCAAGACGCGTACGATAGACAGCATCACCTCGAAAGTATTGTACAATCCCAGGCTGATCAAATGAAACTGCTTGGAGATCATCCGCACGATACTGAAAAAGCTATTGAAACAATGCGAACCGTGTATTTAATGACAGTAAGTGATGAAATTAATACCACATCAATCTTATTGTTGTGTCACCAGGAAAACGAACAAAAGCTGAGACACGCTCTTGAGACAAGAATGCTGCAGACCGAAATTGATACACTCGCTCGTAAACTACGAAGAGTTGGAACCACTTTGCGTACAGTCGAGAATATAGAACTATCAGCAGAGGTAAAGAAAAAAAGGCTATACTTTTGTACAGTAAATCAAATATATTTATATAAAAATCAAACAATTTCAACAGGAAACTAGTATGGACAGTAAATGTCTGTTAGAAGAACGGAAATTGATGATGCGGAAATTACACCTGGCTGAACTTCGATTATCCGCTCGAGATGCTGAGCTAGACTACCTGCATGAAACTCTACGGGCCTACAATGCTCATGCTGCTCACCATGAGCCTCCAATATCACGCCAGTCACCCACTCTTCAGAAACAATTTCGAAAAGGACCTCCTTACCTATTCCAGCAACAATACTCTCCTAAAATTAGAAGCGATCTTCGACCTCCCGCACAACAATCCCACTTGATGTCTGGCCTAGACAGCCTGGGAATTCTCGCCGATCAGATGCTCAGTAACCCTGATTTTGAAAAGAAAGAAACCCAGGGCGACACAATTGCAGGCAAAAATACGAGCACGGACCTAGAAACGGACACCGACACAAATTTTGCACAATCGTCTCCCACAACCTGGAGTATTCCTGCAGAACCTCGTCATTTTGATCTCAAACGCTCTAAACGGTCGATTGACTCTGCAAATACTTTAGTTGCAATGCCTTCTCTAGCCATCACTTCCTCTGATGGTCGAGAAAGTAATCATGTTAACTACGAGACCAGTAACAATAATAGTCCTATTCATACGCATAATCATCATAATCATAATCATCATAGTAGTAATATTAATAACAATAACAATAACAATAACAATAACAATAATAATCATAATAATCATAATCATAATACTACGGTGGATGTACGAGGATCTCCAAGTGATAGTCATTTCACAACAACATCAACAACAACAGCAATAACAGCAGCAATACCATCATCATCGTCATTGTTATTATTATCATCATCGCCATTATCATCCCCATCATCATCATTATCATTATCATCATCAACCGCAAAAAAGGCGCGCTTGGACAGCGTTACATGGACGCTTGAAGATGATCTGGCTCTGCGCCAAGCCGTAGATGGATTAGGCACCAATCAATGGGAGAAAGTTGCTGCTACGATTCCAAATAAAACATTACAGCAGTGTCGGCAGCGCTGGAGTGATCTCTGCTTTCAGCTGTCGTCTCCACCACAACCACAACCACAACCACCGCCACCACTATCACTATCACTGTCACTGTCATTACCACAATCATCATTGCCTGAAAATTTCTCGCCATCTCTATCGTCGAGACCATTCAATGCTCGACGTACACCTTCAATTGCTGCTTTGTTAGACTCGAATGAAGACATGCAAATGAGGCAGAATAATTATTCCTTCCGTCTTGGCTCTCCTCTATCCCGACACGAGACTAATCCATCTTACTGTCGATCACCACCACACCCACCCCAAGGTACAGGGCACATCCAGGAGAGACCCTAGAACGATATGCCAACCTTACAACACTCCTCCAACTCCAATTTATTTTTTATATATTTATTTCCAACTCTCACTTCCTTTACCTCCCTCTTTTTTTTAAAAAAAAATTCTTCATCTTATTTCATCAAAGTTGTACATAACTGCAATCTGTCAAACTACCACTGTCACTACAACAGCTGGCGCTACTACAAGAAAACTATCAAACAAGCTGATTTCCCGGTTTAGCTTGCTTCTTTTCTACCTACCTATCTATCTATCTCTATCTATTTTTATAAATAATCTTTCATTGATAATTACATTGTGTAGTATAGGCACAGCTAGTATATCTTTTTTCTTTATTATATTTCTTGTCTCGTTTATCTATTTTTCTCTTTATTATTATTTTCCATTGTTTTTTCTTCTTCTTCTATTTTCAATACAATCAAAATGCTTTAGTCAATAAGCGCAAACAATGGTAATCTTTAAATGATACAAGAATCTGTACAAATGACGATCATGGACTGCTTTTTTCTTATTTAAATTGTACAACTCTTTACAAAACATCATTCAAACGCCTATATCTGTTATCTTGCGTCTCCCATTATTATTCCTATTCTTCTCTTTCTTTCTTTCCCTTTATCTCTTTAAAGCACCCCCCCTACTCTTTTTAATGTCTGACCAAGAGACCCCGCTTCTGGGTCCTAGGGCAACACCTTTTGGCCCGAAAACCAAACAAGACCGTCTGGCCGGCTATTCTACTCATCTGGGTATAGGATTATTTACAGTCCTCGTACTTTCAGTCTTGATTAGACTCCCACTGTCAGTATTTACAATTCACCCGGTATTTATGACCATATTTGTGGTATCCATAAGTGAAGGTAGTTTTTGGCCTATTAAACAATAAATAAAGAAAGATAAACAGAATATCTATATATCTATATCTATATTTGTAAAAAAAATATTTTTTATTAAATAAAAAAGAAAAAAGATTAATAAACACATTATATGTATATGTATCTTTCTTGCTAGGCATTTCGCTTCTTCAGCCAACTCATACTCCAGAGCAAAAGGCACAGGGCTTGAAGAAACATGCTGCAATTCAAACGATCTCTTACGTGGCAGCCATTATTGGATTCACGGCAATTTTTTACAACAAAGTTATTTCCAGTAAACCACACTTTACATCGTAAGTCAAAATAAAATAAAATTTAGCTTTTTCTTTAATAAACGCATATATGTATATTATTTCCATTGATTAATATCTTTTTTCTAATTTTCTTTAACAAAATTGATATCTATCTATCTATATATCTATATATATATATATCTAGTGGCCATGCACAGCTGGGCGTATTTGTGTTTTCATTTTTGTTTGTCCAGGTCCTGTTTGGTATCATAATTGCCGTCTTGCCGAGAGTATATGGTGATCAATCAAACGCAAAAAGCTTGTGGAAGTACCATCGAGTGTCTGGATACCTCTTGCTTGTTCTTATCTGGACTACAGTTCAGCTCGGAGTCCGTGCTGATTATATGTTCAACAACCTTTGGTCACCGCAATTGATCTGGTTGCACTGGCTTGTGGTTGTTCTGGTTGGATATGGTGTATTGAGAAGAATACGATTTGGAAAGTGGGGTCTCTAAGACTAAACAAAACAAAACAAAACAAAACAATTTTTTTTGTAATTTGATCTATTCATTTCTTTTCTTCTTTCTCTATGCTTTGAACAAGAAAGCCGATATTATTATTTCTAGTAGTAAAGAAGTCTTGATGTTTCATCTTTCAAACAAACAAAAAAATACACACACACAGATATATACACGTCCCTAGAATATTTGTGTTTGTGTTTGTGTGTTTGTGAGCATACGTAAATACCTTTATGCAAATATGTACAAATATGTATGTACCTGCAAGCACACTCTGAAACACAAAAAAAATACTATTGATACCCAAAAACACCAATAGTGTCAGTAACAAAATTTCGGAAAACAAAGCGAGAAAACAAACAAACAAATAGTTACAGTAAGGCTGAATTTGATCTGTATCCATGCCCTGACAGTATTCGGAATTTTGATCCATAAATGCAAATGCATTATGCTATATAAAAAAATTGATAATAATCATAATAATAATAATAGGCGCATAAAGTATAACCATAGCTCTCTTTATCTATCTATCTATATCTCTTGTTTTTTTCAAGCAAAAAAAAACATCTATGAATTTAATTCAAGAATCGCTAGAAATATATCTCTACGGCACAAATGCAAACTTGCGCAAGATATTCAGTTCAATTTACTTTGAGTACCGAGTTACTTTTTCTTTTAGACTTAAAACGTAAAGAGAAGAAGAGATCTGGGTGGCAAGTGGTATGAGTACCAAAAAAAAAACCTAACAACGTATATGGCTGTACAAAATTGAACCTATTTTCAGTGCAACCCAAGTCGGACGAAAGTTTGAGAGCTTTAATTTATAATTATCTTTCTTTCTCAAAAGGGAGTAAATAAGAAACAAACATATTTTAGGTTGACCAAGTAAAGTACATTATTAATTATTGAAAAATAAAATCTTGTATTTCCTTGTTTTTGAGCTCTTCTTTACTCTTTTCTTTTTTAGCATTCACCATCTGGTTTCCCATGCTTCAATATCCTTATATGTGTTATCCAAAAAGCAAGAAATTAGTGAACCAAAGCAGTAATCTATACACATATACTTTCACTATTAAAGAAAACACATATATTCTACAAATCTGAAATTCTGGCGTAAAACCTCGATACCCAAAAAAAAGCATTCAATTATTCCGCACAAATACATGGATAATTGTGAGTGTGTGAGTGTTTTTTCTTGTACAACTACCAATACATTGTGAATGTGCATTCCATCTTACGACATCCTATTCCCTTACATGCATTAATATATACGCAAAAAAAAAGTGTTTGTAGATTGGAAAGCGAGTCTAAAGGAAGTTTTTCTGTCTTTGGTTTATTTGTGACAAAGTCATATTCTTAAAGACTTGTGAATTGGTTTCCAAAAAAAAAGATAATGGTAGTAAATATACAACAGTACATTACTTTGTAATAGGACTTTTCGATATTGAGATACCAATCTACGAGATTGTACGGTTTTGTAGTGTCGCCTATATATATATATTGCAATTGTTAATTAGACTTGTACAGTTGGCGCAAAGAGGATGAGTAGAAAAAAAATATAGTATTAGTATTATGGAACACTTGCTAAAAGACGTCATTTGATTTCTTTTAATTGATTATATTAATATGCCTTAAAGTGTACAGAACTTCTTGTTAATAATATCATTCAAGAAAACTTGCAAAACATAACCCTCAAACTCTACAAAAAAGTCTTGTTCATCTATAAAAGACAGTCAGATATAGATAGATAGAAGGAGATGTCTGCAAGGTTGTCCCAGACTACTTGTACTAGTAGCTTGGTTATTTATTTATTAGAGCTAAAACGTTACTTTTGCAACATTATAAAAAAAAATGCATCCAAAAATTCATCTCATTTTTTCTTTCTTTTTATTCTGAGCAATAATTCAATACAGCTGCATATCAGTATGCCAATTAGAAAAAAGAAAAAAACAAATTGCCCAGCTTATATATTCTATTATACTATATTCAATTAAAGAATCGATATTTATATAACAAAGAAGATGTTAAGCTGAGATTTTGTACCTTTCATATCCTTTCTTTCTTTATTAAATATATATATATATAAAATAGGAACTGTCCTAGGATTTCCAAAAACAGAAAAGCAAAAACAAAAATATCGGTATATCACGATTATCGCAAAACCGAATATCACTAAATCGAGCATTGATCGTGTAACCTATGAATATTTTAAAAACACGTGAGTAGATGGATTTCCTGTTTTGGGTCAAACTATTTTATTTATTTTTTACTGTCAGAATTGAACTGGGATTGATGCTTGATTGTATTGTCTAATCAGAAACGACCAAAATTACTACAGTAGTTTAATGACCAAACCACAGATAAATTGCTGCTAACTGATCAACTTACACGTTAATAATAATCTATAGATTCTCTATGTAAAAAATAAATAAAGAAAAATTCCATATAAAACACCTCTTAGAAATCAGTAATATTCATATCTCAATTATACTAAGCAGTAAATAAAGTCCATATTTATATGATAAACTCTTTCATATTCTCTTACTGTGTGACTTCTCGCATATTACAACACTGTATCACGTGTAGAAAACTTATTTTATTAAGCTATTTGGAAGGAGCAAAATAAAATAAAATAAAATAAAAAGTGCTGTGGCTACATAAATATATAAATATATGTCTCTTTTTTTTGAATAAATAAATAAATAAAAAACCCCCCCCCCCCAAAAAAATAAATAAATAAATTCCCATCCAAAGTATTAATGTTATTTCGTACGCCATGAATCCCTTTGAAAACATCGTCCCATTTAACCCTCAACTATATGAAAGTGGCAATGTTCCTCCATCAACAGACCGTCTATTCTCGTACAGTGGCTACACTGCTGGTTTGATAACAGGGATGCATCAAAATGTCGGCCCCTCCGCACCACCACCACCACAACCACCACAACCTATGTTTCATGGCATGCCGCCTCGACAAAATATGCCTGTATCTGTTCCAGTACCAGTTCCTATTCCAGGACCTATTTCACTTCCAGAGGCCACTGGGCCAACGAATCCTAATGAAGTTGGTGCTCGCTACTCTAGCATGTATGCAAGCACCGGTTTTGACATGCTTTCCATCCTTGCCCGTGTTGCAAACAGGTAACAAAAAAAGCAATAATAATAATAATGATAGTAGTAGTAGTAGTAGTAATGAACTCCTTAATTCTTCTTTCTTAAAATAACGAGAGAAAAGGAAAGAAATTATAATGATGTTCATTAAAACTAATATATCATCACTCAATTGCAACATTATTCTCAACATTATACTTTTGCTTCTTTTACTTTTATTTTAATATTATCATTGTTGTTGATGTTCTTCATCTAGGCCAAATCCACAGATCAACTTGGGACCTGTCGATTTATCCTGTTCTTTTGTTGTAGTAGATGCTCACCAGTATGACGCACCAATCGTCTATGCTTCTCCTACTTTTGAAAAATTGACTGGGTATACCCCAAGTGAAGTGGTTGGACGTAACTGTAGATTCTTACAGGCTCCGGACGGAAGAGTTGCCCTAGGTTCTCGTCGCAAATACACAGACAACACAGCAGTTTGTCACATCAAGACTCATATTTCTCAAGGAAAGGAATCCCAGGCAAGCTTAATCAATTATCGTAAGACAGGCCAGGTAAATAATAATAATAATAAAACAAATGAATATATATATAAATACTGTTTCTCATAATTTTCATCTTTGTTTCTCTCTCTATATATTATTTACCATGATTATAAAACAACAACAACGAAAACAAAAAAAATAGCCTTTTGTAAACCTTTTGACGGTCATTCCGGTTGCGTGGGAATCAGACGAAATCGATTACTTTGTTGGACTTCAGGTTGATTTGGTAGAGCAGCCAAATTTAATATTTGATAGCATGAAGGGTAGTTAAGGTATTTTCTTTTCTTCATTGGGAAAAAGGACCTTATGAAGAAAGTGGTTGCGAATCTACTGATCTGGTTTTTTTATTATTATTATTTTTACTTTTATATATCTATATTTATATATATATATAACTATACATATGTGTACGTGTATTGTTGTATCGAACACCTGTATATGTCTATGTATTAGACGGTACATATATGGTGAACTATCGTAGTCTTGTCATACCTCAGTCACTTCAACCCAGTAAGTTTATGAACGCCCATAATACGAGATCCGAATCTGTGGAAGATAAGGAGGGAATGGCGTTAACAACCAAAAAGAAAAAGAAGAAGAGGAAGAAAATAATGATTTTTTTTAAAAAATATATATGATTTAGATAACCCAATGAATCAAATCGAAAATCCTTCCGAAGTAGTTCAGGAATGGGTCAGACCTCCTTCACCAAAACCGGTCGCACCAACTATTCCAAACGAAGCACTCATGGATGTAGAGACCTTGATCAAGGAAGCAAGTACAGACGAAGGCAAATCGAGAAGATGTTGGCATGAGCTGCTACTTGACCAAAGTCCGGATTTCATCCACGTTCTTACTGTCAAGGGAATCTTCCTCTATTGCTCCGAGGCAACCAGACCTCTACTCGAGTACGATCCCAATGAGCTGGTCGGCAAATCTCTCAAGGAAATCTGTCACCCCTCTGACATAACCACTGTGATGCGCGAACTGAAGCAATCTTCGAGTGACGCAAGTGAGCCGGTAAACCTTATATACCGTGTCAAACGAAAGAACTCGGGTTACATGTGGATCGAGTGCTATGGTAAATTGCGGAACGAAGACGGAAGGGGCCGTAAATACGTAGTGCTTTCAGGAAGAGAGCGCCCAGTCTATCAATTCCCTCGCAACTTCCTTTCGCTCAAGAAAAGAGTCCAGCCCTTTGACCAGCAGCAACAACAGAACAGTGGAGCCATGAGCAGTGGTACAGATGACCACGAATTCTGGGGTAAACTTAGTCTGGACGGACTGTTGCTTTATGCGAGTTGGACGTGTGCAAACATTCTTGGACTACCACCTTCTCAGGTTATCGGGACGTCGTTGTATCAGCTGATGAGAAGCAACCGAACCACAGACCTGACTCGTGCGTTGGCAGAGGTCAAAGAAGGAAAGATTGTCTATCTCAGACATGCGCTCGTGAACAACACTGGAGACGAAATCATGGTCGTTTCTTCGTTTTACCCTGACGGAATGTCTTCTCTTCAAGATCAGCCTTCATTTGTGCTAATGCAGACAAAGGTGATCTTTGATGACATGGTGCCCGTAGACGAGCCTGCGTTTATCTCGACAGACCCAGATGTGAAGAAGAAGGGCCGGGCTGATGCAGTGCCTGTTCTGGGAGACAATGCTGATAGCACTACAACCACAACCACCGCAACCACCACCACTACTACTACTATTGCTGCTGCCCGCGCTCAAAGACAGCCTTTTATGTGTGTTGGCGAGAAAGTCATAGAGGAGCTGGATATTCAACGTGACGCTAACTGGCAATACGAACTTCACCAATTGCGCATCAATAACAAGAAACTCCGTGATGAACTTGGCCTATTGTTAACAAAAGCCAAAAAGAAGGTAAAACAAGAAAATAATTATATAATATAATATAGTATAGTATAGTATAGTATAGTATATAGTATACATGTATAGTAATTAAAGAAGAAGAAGAAGAAGAAGAAGAATAATAATAAAAGAAAAGAAAAGAAAAGACCAGCTTGATTTAACTTGACATCAAATCAAATATTCAAATTTGTTTCTTTGTTTAGAGTGTGGAACCTATGGACAAGATCTGCAGTACATGTTTACGCAGATTGCCAGGCTCAACTGAATTGCTTGGAAATAACTTGGATACTCCCGTATTTTGCAATACTTGTACTATGCGGCGCTTGTAGTTTAATTTTCTTTTCTTTTTTCTTTTTTTGTCTGAGATTAAATAATAATAATAATAAATAATAATAATAATTTTTTTTTTCAATTAAAAAAGCAAAGCCTCCCAATTTATATTTTCTTTACCCCTTTTCTTCACAATGGCTTCAATTGGTGTAAGTAGTAATAGTAAATGAGCACTAAGGCACCTTCCTCCTGTCCCTCGCCATTATTACCTTCATACTCCACCTCACAACCATAATTATGATCCGGACCCCCTCCCTCTTCCTCTTCCTCTTCCTTTTTGGATCCAAATGTTTTCTCTTGTCTCTGCTCACTCTTATACACATATAGACTATCTCCACCTACCCCAACAACGCCCGCGCCGCCAAGGCCGTCATTGCTGTAAGTTACCCCCTACAGTATCTAAAGATCATAGAATTATACTTTAAGCATGCTGACTTAACGCGTTACGACCTTCAAACCAATACAGGGTGCCTACAACGGCGTCAAGGTTGATCTCAAGGACTTTGACTTCGCCAAGGATGTCACCCCCGAGTTCCTTGCCAAGTTCCCCATGGGTAAGGTCCCCGCTTTCGAGAGCTCCGAGGTCAACCTCTTCGAGTCCTCTGCCATCGGTTACTATGCCGCCCTTGCCAAGGAGAACTCTGGTCTCGTCGGTAAGACCGCCGTTGAGAAGGCTCTTGTCATGCAGTGGATTCTTTTCGCTGAGAACGAGATCGCTGCTAACGTCGGTGGCTGGGTCTACCCCCTCTTGGGTTACCAGACCTACATCAAGCCCAACGTTGATGCTGCCCAGGAGAAGGTTAAGCGCGCCATGGCCGCTCTTGACAAGATCTTGTTGACCAAGACCTACTTGGTTGGTGAGGAGATCACCTACGCCGATATTGCCGTCGTCTGCAACCTCTCCCTCCCTTACACCCTCGTCTTCGACAAGGCTTTCCGCAGCGAGTACAAGAACGTAACCCGTTACTTCACCACCGTTGCCGGTAAGGACCACTTCAAGGCTGCTCTCGGTGAGGTCAAGCTCTGCGAGACTCCCCTCAAGTTCGTCCCCGCCAAGAAGGAGAAGAAGGAGACCGCCAAGAAGGAGGATGCTCCCAAGAAGGAGAAGAAGGAGAAGAAGAAGGAAGAGGTCGCCGAGGACCCCATGGATGACACCCCCAAGCCCGCCCCCAAGGTCAAGTCCGCCCTTGATCTCTTGCCTCCCTCCAAGTTCGTCATGGACGAGTGGAAACGCATGTACTCCAACAACAAGACCGATGTTGCCATGAAGTGGTTCTGGGAGAACCACGATTCCGAGGGTTACTCTCTCTGGCGCGCAGACTACAAGTACAACGATGAGTTGACCCTTGTCTTCATGTCCTGCAACCTCATCGGTGGTTTCTTCGCCCGTCTCGAGCGCGCACGCAAGTACGCTTTCGGTTCCATGATCGTCTGTGGTGAGAACAACAACAACAACATTGCTGGTTACTTCCTCATCCGTGGTCAGACCATCCCCGAGGAGGTCTACGATGCCGCTGATTTCGAGTCCTACAACTTCACCAAGATCGAGCCTTCCCAGTACGAGGAGAAGAAGGACGAGATCTACAAGTACATGGCATGGGAGGTCGAAGGTTGCCAGGATGGCAAGATCTTCAAGTAAACGGATCTAAAATCCATCTTGAAAATCAACCTTTTTTTTTTTACAAAAAAAAAGAATCAAAAAAAAATCTCTACAACATCAATCTTCAACAACACCAATAAATTTTCATTTGTAGCTCTTTTGCTTAATCAAAAACAAAACATACCATACCATACCATACCATACCATACGCACTTATAATGGATCTCATATTACATATATATATATATGTGGTTTTTTGAATCAATATTACCTTTTTTTTTTGTCTTTTGTAAATATGTATGTTCTTAATCTTGTAGACCAGATAGTTCCAATGGTACTTCTTCGTTAATACATATATATATATTATGTATTCTTTGAGATTGATGACGCGGCAATTTGCTTCCTTTGTTTGTTTATTTATTTATTTCTATTTGGGACTGTATTGATATTAAGGGGGTTGGGATAGGAGTTAGAGAGAGAGTGTGTGTGTGTGCGTGCGTGTGTCTGAAATATTGCTGAGCATAAATCAGTATATGGGAAATATCTACTCGAAAAATATATGTATATAAGAAATTGACAGCTTTTGTGTACAAGGTTTAGACGCACAAAATTTGAGTCAAAACATACGCAATATTATATCATCTTACGCTTGTTCCACAAAGTATTAACATGTCTTTGATACTGTACACAGCCTATAAGAAAAATTAATAGACATTTCTGAAAACCTTTGATTCATTAAAAAAAATACTGTCTTCTTTTCTTTTCCGTTTTATAAACTGATTTTGACACATTATATATTTATTTTCTTAAAAGAAGCCAAAAAGGTTGGGGTTCACTATAGCTCAAATATTGATAGTAAAACTTGATACAATGTACAAACAACTATTGCTTTATCATATCAAGAGGTATATCAACTATTCTTATTTCAGAAAATACAGAGTGCTAAAATAGATAGATAAAAGGCCGTAAAGATATTTTTGAAAAAGTTCTTTGTAAGAGAATCAATTGGCTCTCACTAATTCAGTCTAATTTACATATATATATATATTTGATGTTGATTTAATGCTAAATTAGTATCCTGTCTGTTTAAGTAAAATTAAAGGTAATCTAAGCTTGTTTTCTTTGAGAGGGGAAAAGAAACAGGAAAAGTCGACAAGTGAAAGAAGGTTTATATAATTTGGTACAACAAAATTGAAGTTTCATTTAAGAAAAGATGTTGGTTTTTCTCTATAAATGACTTGAATAAATATTTAGACCCTTGTATTCTTCTTCCAAAATATAAAGCATCTACTTAATGTATTCATCAGGTATATTGAATGATACTGATTGGGACTGCTTGTCAGTCGATAATACGTTTGTATATTACTCAAAGGATAATATATATATATGCGTGTGTGCGTGTGTGTGTGTATGTGTGTAGGTAGCAAGAGTGCTTAATAAGCCGTAAATAGATGGCGATAACCGCCTACTATTTGGTCTTGTGTACAAACATTATGATTTCAAAGTAATGTAGTCAATCATAGGTTACGCTGTACACTTACAACAAAATAATAATAATATTTGGATTTTCAGGGCTAAATTCCTCATGTAGCTTTATTTGTTAGTGGTAATGGCAAAATACTTGAAACTTGAGAAATGAAAAGGATCTACATGCATATTAACTATCGAATACCTGTCATGTCTTACTTTCATTGCATTACAACCTTTATATTACACTCCGTTATTTGCAACCCGTTATTACTTTCTCTCAAGTTGCTATCCAGAGCACACGGACCAAACAAAGCTCAAAGGGTTAAAGACATAAAAAGAAATTTGGACTACTTTGTACTATCAAAGCCTTTTTGTGTCTTTCCAATACCTTTCTGTCTTATCCTGTACTGCACTGTAATGTCCTTCTTTACCAGACTTTCTATCTCCACGGGGTGATGTTCTAAGCAAAAGTGTTGTCATACCTGTCTTAACTCCTCTGGTGCCCTCAAAAAGGACCAAAGACTCAAAACGCACCTGTCTAATAATAATCACACCACCCTTTTTCATATCATGTATTGGTAAATCTTCCGTTATCTTTTTTATTCTTTTGATTATTCAACCATTACATTAGCATGTTCTATTGTGAATCTTGGTTCACCAGACCAACCAATGCCATTAATGATTACCTTGAAATCAAAGCATACTCACAAGAGTTGAGACCCCTGACTGTTTTAAACTGGTGAGACTTGTTCACCCAAGAACCAAGGAAGTGAGGATAGTAGAGTTCAAAAAGAAGGGGGAAAGGGGTCCTTGAAATAATGAATGATTTATAGACAAATAACAACAACAATATGAAAAGAATAAGAAAAAAAATAAAAAAATAAAAGAAACTCTAGCTAAAAATTCATTACAAACATTCTAAAACACCTATCACGTCATCTTCGCACACCGTTTATTGCTTTATTGCTTTATTTCTATTTTTCTTTTCTTTTTTTTTTTTTTTTTTTTTTTTTTTTTAAAAAACTTACCTTTCTAGCCCTTAATACTTCTTGATTTATTTTATATACACACACATTATACATTTATCTATAGAAATATCTGTAGATTTTCATATAATTATAATTATTAATTTTTTTTATATATAAAAAAGAAAAACATTCACACTTATACTCTTAATACTGACTATGATTCCTACTATCAATTCACAATCTCAAAACCAAGAGATCTATCCTGGACGCGTCCATAATGTCTTGTCAAGAATGCTCACTGGTCTCAGGGATAGATGGAAGAATTCACTTGTCATTGAAAACCAACTTCCATTATTTGCATCGGTGTTTGTTGATGTAACTGAGCCCATAGAGAATCCTGAGCCTTTTTCATTTAAAGTAATTGAGAGTAATTTTTTTTTATTTCTATAGATCTTGATATTAGTTGTCAATTTTATAGTCTAAACATAAACCATTTGCTTCTTTCTATATTTCTTTCTCTATACATCTTTTATATATATATATATAAAATTGTATATGGTTTATATCAATACACTCAAACGCGTCAATTTTTTTTATTTTTATTTTTGGGTTACTAGAGCCATTCATTTATCGGAGACAACATGCTTAAATCAGCGGTATCGTTGTATCTTTCAAGGAAATACTCTTGGGCAGACCATGCAGACCTGGAGAGAATGTTGATTGTGATTTTTACAAACTCAAAATTTCAAAATTTAATCGGAAACAAGTTCAAGCTCGATGAATTTTGCGACGACACCGACCAACGACAAAGTGTCCCAGACATAGTCAACGGCTTTGTCGGTGTACTTTACTTGCACCATGGAATCCCCACTCTCGAGAATTGGATCACACCCTTCCTTGATTTGCTCTGTCCCTCCCTGCTGAAGCCTCTTCCGAAAGTGCTGTACAACAAGCTATTCGGATTGACCAACAAAGAAACAGAAAGGATCGTTGCTCAGTCGGCATATGTCCAGTTCACAGCCTATGTCCAGCGTGGAAAGGGCGAAATTGTAATAAACGAAAGTACAGATCCACTACTTGGACAATCACTTGAATGGGGAACCGACGTGTTGTACAAGCTGAATCCTACATCGGAATGGTACATCCATTCTCGTCAGGCAACCAACAAAAAGAGGGCGCGCGATCTGGCAATGCAAGACATCCTATCTTTCTACAAATCAAATCCCAACCTGGCACACATCCATCAACTACCCTCTGTTAACTCTGATCGGTCTACTCCCAACCAGCTGAATATCTCACCCGATGACTACACTGAAGACTTTGAATCCAATTTCTTGGCGCTCTCGACCCCGCCACCTGTCAAGCGAGACGTTCGACAGGTCGATTCTCTGAGACACAAGAACCGAACGTTCCTAGAAGCAGATGTAGATGAAGACGCGATGATGATTGCATTGATGGGCGATGTTTCAATGGCTGAGATTAAGCAAGAGCCGGGATGTGAAAATACTAATATTTCTAAAAACGGTGTGCACAAGAGCAAGAAACAGAAAACCAAAGTATCACTACTTGGAGGCTCAGCCAGCCCAGATTCGATCCGCCCACCACCAGTCTATGAACCAGCTGATCTAGAGGCAATAAAACAGATCCTGTACCAAAGCCAGAAGCTAGAGTCAATATTGAGAGAACAGAGTCGATACGGACACCCTAAATCACACATTCAACAAATCAAGAATTTCTATGGCTATAATATCGACATTTCATACGAAAAATCTGGGCCCTTGCATGGGCCTGTATTTGATGCCACATGTCGGTTCAAATTCCAGGGTTTCACCATCATTACTAACGGAAGAGCATCAAAAAAGAGCGAGGCAGAAATGCAGGCGTATGGCGATTTACTTGTGCTCCTGAGAGAATAAATAATAACAATACGAATATTCAAAGGCAAAAAGACAAAAGATAATATATAATATAAATAAATGGAAGAAGAAAAGAAGAACAAAAAAGGCAAACATTAGCATCTGTAATATTTTTTTTAAAAAAAAATTAATAATAAATATATATATGAATTCAAATTCAAGTTACTATATCAAAATATGCTCTATCTCTATATGTTAAAGTACGCGTCCATTATTTCCTAATCTCTCGGCAATTGCTATCCTACGTGTCCTCAAACTCAATATTATGGATGGCAGAGTATATTGCCTACCAGAAATCTAACATTCCTATTAGAATGATACAAATCTTTTGTAGACCAGATTTCGGCAGTACATCTATTGTCTACTCATTTGGTTCAATTTTTAGAGTAACTCCAAGTCCAAATTGATAGACTGATAAAACAAGCATACTGTCAATTTATTTCTTATAAAGTTTAATTTAGTTTACTTGAGCCATGTGTCAAAGTATCGTTCCACTTGACAATATGTTTTTTTTTATTGCTTACTTTTTTCTACTATTTAAACCCGTAATTATTATTAGTGATATAACTAATGGCTATACATGCATGTCATTTGTTGTTATGCAATGTATTAACTGATTCAATGCACAATGAAAAAAAAAAAGGCCAATGTTACTTCCCCTGAAAAACCCAAATCAATAATAAAAATAATAATAATATATGATATATGATATTGGTTAAAAAAAAAATCAAACAAACAAACAAAAGGGAAGATTTGAAATTATACGCCTCCTTGCTCTTTGGTGATCAAGGAGAAAATTATATATATATATATATAAGGATATTATCCTATCATTTCTTTGTTTTCATTGGATGACCCCTATAATGCCACTTACAAGCACACCGTCTCAGACTTTTTGAATTGCCAACCAATAAAATATTTCTATTTTAGTATTTCTTACCTTATTTGTTAATCAGCGTAACACTAAAGGCCAAATACTGGAAATTTATTGGCTTAGAAAACATAAAAAAAAAACCTGTGAGGCGCGTAATTTTTATATAAATATATATATATTTATCTTTCTTTCTTTGAAGGGTCGGTGTTTTAATATCCGCATCCTACAGTGGCGTTGCTTTTTTTCTTTTTCTTTTTTTTTTCTTTTTTCTTTTTTCCTTTTTTTTTTTAATATAATTCTACTCTACTTTATATCATGGAACAAGGTACAATTTGTATAGGTTATTTAAAAGCTATATTTTTATTTTGTAAAAAGGTTCAATTGTACTTACCCTTTTTTTTTATATCTTTTTGACACTGATAATATGAACAGTAAACGAACTTAAGACTGGACAGGTGTTTGTGATTGGTACCGGCGACGCGGGTGAATTAGGTCTTGGAACCAGCATGCTCGAACGCATGAGACCCATGCCAGTCAAGGCACTTGATGATAAGTCAATTGCAAACATTGTATGTGGTGGAATGCATACCATGGCTCTTACCAAGGATGGCAAGGTAAATAGTTATATTAATAATTAGGTATAAAAGTAAAAAAAAAAATCTAAAATGACTCGGCATTATGTATATGTAAATGTAAATAAAGTTGTACAGCTGGGGTTGCAATGATGAAGGTGCACTCGGTAGATCTGGAGAAGAGTATGAGCCTGGACTTGTAGAAAACCTTGAGGATGTCAAGATTACAAAGGTTGCCTGTGGTGATTCCATTACATTAGCCTTGTCCGACAATGGTCGCCTTTATTGCTGGGGAACTTTCCGTGTAAGTCAAATGAGTAGTATGTAAGAGAAAATATAATGAATTGAAAAAAAAAGGGGGGGGGGGTAATCTTTATTCTTCTTTCTGGTGTTGTTATTTTACAAGAGTATATATATATATATATATATATATATGTATGTATGTTTAACAACAACAGCAGAGAGAAATAAGAAAGGATAAGAAACTGATTTTTACCTTGGACATTTGACTTGTAGTGCGCTTCAGGAGCACTCGGATTCTCTCCTACCAAAGAACGCCAGACTACACCTATAATTTATCCTTACCTTGCCAACGAAAAGTTTGTTGACATTGCTGTGGGTACCGATCACTGCCTTGCTCTGTCTACATCCGGTCGTGTGTATGTATGGGGTAATGGCCAGCAATACCAGCTTGGCCGTCGTATCCTCGAACGTCGTCAACGCAACGGTTTGATTCCCGAGACTTTGGGCTTGCGCAAGATCCGTGCCATTGGCTGTGGATCTTACCACTCGTTTGCCATTGACCACAACAACCGTCTCTTTGTCTGGGGCCTGAATAACTATGGCCAATGTGGTCTCGACAGCAACGTTGATATCATTACTACACCCACAGTTATCTCAACCCTCGAGGGTAAAGGAGCCATCAAGAGTGTTGCCGGAGGTGAGCACCACTCGCTTGTGTTGATGGAGAGTGGCCATGTGTATTCTTTTGGTCGCGCAGACTCGTCCCAGTTGGGTCTTCCCAAGGACATGGTTAAGGAGTTGTCTGGGCAGGACGGACATGCGTCCGAGAGTTCCTTCAAGATGGCTGTCGGAACACCTACATTGATCCCTGATCTTGAGAATGTCGATAGCATTGCATGTGGTGGAAATCATGGTGTGGCAGCCACAAAGGATGGCCTAGCATTTGCTTGGGGATATGGCTCACAAAATGAACTCGGTAATGGTACTGGATGTGATGAGGAGACTCCTTCCAAGATTACCGGGCAGAAGTTAGAAGGACACAAGGTTATTCGTGTTGCAGCAGGTGGCCATTTTACTGTCCTTTTGGCAACTTTATAAATAAATAACAAAACAACAAAACAACAACAAAAACAGCAGATAATAATAATTATAATTATAATAACAATAACAATAATAATAATACTAGTAATAATATACATCTTTATATGTGTATGTGCAAGTGTATTTATATATATAAAACACTTTACTGATGGGTGCTTGTTCGTTTGCCTATTTTTTTTTATTATTATTATTTTTATTATTTTGATACTTTTTTTTATGTGCTTTGAGATTCTTGGCCATCTGTCACACTGAGCTGGCGTTGTTGGGTATTTCTCTTTTGTGAAAACTCAAATACTTCCGTTACTGCTTCCTTGAAGCACTGGAAATTGTAATCGATCAATCCATGCTTTTCAAAGTTATCTTGTCGCAATAGACAGATTAGAACGAGCAACCTATTTCAATTAATAAAACCATCAGTTCAAGAACTCTTTTTTCTCTCTCTCTCTCTTTTGTGGTATGTAATTATTGTATGTGGGTAGAAGGAGGAAAAAAAAAAAATAATTATCCACATTACCTATTGACTTCTCTCATGTACAGAACATCTCCATTGTCAAGTTTAATCAGACTTGACGCCTCTGCTTCCATAGGCGAGGGTGCTCGATTGTGCTGGGCCGCATCTGAACTACTACCTTCTGAAGCACCACCACCTCTTGACCCTCTATCCATACTTGATCCCCCAGAAGTTGGAGACTGCATCAATTCCCGACCATCCAATCGAGTATCATCCATGCCAATCTCTGGACTTGAACTCTGTGTTCTATCCGCCACACTTAAATATCAAAACAGTAACAATAGATACAAACCATGTTATTTCCAATCAATATCATAACAATTAGACATTCACACATATAATATATATATATATATATATATATATATATATATATATATATATTGTCTTTGCTCTTATAATCTTACCCATAGATACATTCGATATCAATCACAACATCAATCATGTCACTGCAGAGTTCATAAGAAGGCATATCAACAGGAGAACTATCGGTGGCAATATAAATCTTTGTCAGAGTATCAAACAAATATGCCTTGTCGATACCAGAGTTCTGTTGGATTACATTAATATGTTTCTTTATATTGTTGTATACAAGAGACAAATGGAATTATCCTCACCGAACACAGTACGTTGAGAAGATTCTCAAGAGTTGGTAATTCACGGATCAATTTCTGAATGATTTTACTAAATGCTTCATAAATCGAATGGTCATATATACTGGTGAGATAGTAAGTGAGGTGAATGTGTTCCATCTGTGCATCAGCCAGAGCATCTCCCATGCGTTGTTGGATATCTCTTTGAGTATCTTTAATAGCCAAAAGAAAAAAAATCAAAAATTAAAGAGGAATTTTATTATTTTATTAAGGTGTGCATATATATTTTTTTTATGTATATTTATTACTATTGTTGCTTTTGTTTTTCTTTGGTGATTTATGATATAAATATATATATATATATGTAAGCATCATTAGACTCACCAATCTTGTAGTCATCCGAAAGACCATCTACCTTGTGAATCAATACCTCAAATGTAATGCTTGGATTCACTCTGAATGCACCAGTAACAGTATAAAACAATCTGTGAAGTGCTTCTCCATAATCATCCTACATAATATCCACACAATAACCCATATATACATACATACATACATACATAGATACATATAGTATGCATTTCTGTCAACCAAAACATTGTCCCTTACCTCACACCATTATCAATGGTTCTTATTTTATGTCTTTTATTTTATTTATTTATTTATTTTAATATTATCATTACCTGTGCATCAATTACAAAGATCAAGGCTCCTACTGTTCCAAATATCTCTTGAGAATCATAAGTCATATCAAAGTAATTGACCTGACCAGGGAAATCCCAGATTTGAAAATCGATAAACGAACGTCTGTAAAATTGATATATATATATATATATATATATATATATAATTAGATTATTTAGTGATCAAAAGAATAATATAAACATAAGCATAAATACATACGTGATGTCTTCTTTTTGGATTTTGATGGTGCTTTCTAGATAGAGGGTGTCGTTCGGTGGCATCTTTCCAAATACAACGCGCTGTATACTTGACTTCCCGCTCCTTATTTTGGAACACAAGATATCAATGAACTTCGGGGTGTTCGACAGGCAGAATGGCACAACAGACCTGATGCTGTTGTAGATCCTAACCTCTGCAAGCCCATCAAAAGAATGCGGGGCTTATCGGACGAAACCTGGTCGTCTACGGTGTCGCTAAAATAAAATAAAAAGTAAGTACAAATAGCAATATACAAAAAAAAAATCGAAAATAAAGAATAAAGGTAATGAATACAACATGATAATATATAATGAAACGAAGAAAATAAGAGTCCTTGTATATATATATATATATATATATTTGGTTTTCTTACGCAATCTCTGAATCATTGTTGTGAAGGTAATCGTACTATTGGTGGCAATTTACAAGTACAAAATTAGGCTTTTTGATAAAGGTCATAGATATGGCTGGCCTCTAAAGAGATTGTCTTTGTGCCCTTACGTCCATCAAAGAATAAGTTCTCTTGGGTTGGAACAATCCAAAACAAAATAAAATAAAGAGAGAGAGAGAGAGAGAAAAAGAGTGTATTAGGATACGGGCGCAAAAGAAAAAAAAAACAAGTTGAGTTTCAGCAGGTCCGATGACGGGATGGACTCACACTGTACCACCCCAGATTTTGATTTCTTGTAACTTTCAAATCTTGTCAAGAAGAGCTTGAAGTGAATGTTCTTTAAAGACAATGTTTTGTATAATGATAAGGATAATGTTATGAATAATTTATTGTATTTCTTCCAAAAGAATAAACAGAGAGTGATTCTTTATAGACAAAGGTCTTTAAAGAGTATAACAAGAAGAAGATATAGTAGAATAGAATAGGATAGGGTTAAGATATAATATAGTATAATAGAAAGAAATGAATGTTTTGTGACAATATGTAATCTTTTTTTTTTGTTTTTTTTTTTTTTTTTTGAAAAATAATGTGTGAGTGTAAAATGGGAGTGTATATATAATTTTTTTTGCAAGGTGTTTTGTAAGTGTAATATGAAGTCTAAAGAAGATATATAAAATAGTAATAATAATAGTAGTAATAATATAAAGGAAATGATATATAGATATATAGATATATAGATAATGAAAGTGATAGAATGATTTGATTGACTGGTTGATTGGTTGGGATGAATGTAATGAGTGGGTAAGTAAATAATGTTTGTATGTTTGTATGTATGTATGTATGTATGTATGTATGGTATGTATGGTATGTATGTATATATGTATATATGTTTGTATAACCAACCAATAGAAAGTAAGCAGCAGCAGATTCTCTCATTTTACTTCACTTCACTTCATGTTTTTTTTTTTGTTTTTTTTTTTTTAAGCTTCGTCTTGGCTGATAAACAGCTGCTTTTCCATGTACTCGGAAATAGTATCCTCAAGAGGTGGACGGGATGGGAGAGATCGTTTACTGGCCATGTCAGCATTTTCACGCATTTCACGAATGACACAATCACAAAAGGCTTTGAGTGTGGTTTTGATCTAATGATAATAAAGGGTTATTAATTCCAATTGATTTTGATCGGTATGGTTTCATGAGCAAGTGAAGTGTTTAAATATAAGCTTACCATACTAAGGCCACGGTCTGTTTTGCGTGCAATCTCGGAAGGATCAAATGCATCAAACTGAAGATCAAATCGGAATTTACAGGCACTAAGGAAGAAAAAAAAATGTACACAGAAATAAATATATTAAGTAAGTAACAGATACATATAAAAACTCGGGTAATTTTTTTTTATGCTTAAATATGCATTTAGCTTTAATACATACGCAGAAAAGAATCGCAAGTTCTCAATAGCTCTATAGGTGCGCCGAGTATCTTGGTGAACTTTGTTGATAAAGCCAAATGGGCGTCGGGATCGCTTGACAATGTTGTTGTACGTATTACACAGAGTGATGCCATCTCTATTACACACATAAATAATAATAAGTATCAATTCAATATGTTTCATCTCATTTGATTTCCCGAGAAGAGTAAGAAAGTAAAGAAAAAAGGGAATAACCCCTTACACAAGACTCTGCAGAAACGCGTCTTCATCTTCATGTGGGTCAGGAATCAGAACCTCTGTACCAGCATCCGCTTCAAATGCACTCTGTCGATTGTCTTTCAAGAGTGCATAATATCGACCTAAGCAACAAAGTAAATAAATAAATAGATGTATAAAAAAAAGGTATTAATAATCTGAAAAGTCCAAATTCTTAGGAACAACAAGATGTGTGTCAGTAATGTATCTTTACCCATATCATCACCGGCAAATGACCCCCGTTCCAGCCATGATGGAATACCAAGAGATCTACCATTCTGGGCGCGCTTTTGGACCAAATCTAGTTCCGCAGCTGTTTGGGTGTCTGTAGATCCGGCAGTCGACGTAGAAGAGCCGCCCAAGAAAGAAGATCTATTCATGAGTGCCTTGATTTCGGGTGTGAACATGGCTGGGGGACTACCGATGTGGTGCGGCGGGTTAAATCCATACTTTTCGACAGTCTCGAGATAGGCATCAATCGCCAGTCGTTCTTTTTCTAGCATATTAAAGTCAGATGTACGGTAGATGTAACCATCCTCGCTGCGGTTGTCCTCTTCTTCATCAACCTCCATTCGGTGCTGGTTCTCTAGTTCGCGCATAGACTCAAGTAAGTTCAATGACGCGTGGCGCAGCTTGCTCATGGCACTGTCAGAAAGGTCGTGGCGGTTGAGGGTGTAGTTCTTGACAGCATTGATCATCTTTGTGACCGAACTCAGTAAAGGCAGGATCTGGAAAGATCCATCCGAGTCCGAATCAGACGCAGTTTCGTGTACCAGATGAGGGCCGGTTACCATGGACCATGTTGTTAATGTGCTCTGGATATCGTTAAAGCAGACCTCTAACAGCACGTCAAGATCGGTTTCTACGTCCAAGTCGATCCAACTTGGCGGAGGTGCCTTTGGTGTGGGTAGATCGTCAAACTCGTCTGGTTCTTCGACAACTTTGAAACCAAGTGTTCCAAGTCTAAAACAAACAAAGAAGTTTACAATAAGTCAATGCATAATAGATAGATAGATAGATAGATAGATAGATACTGACTTGTTGACTTGGAGTTCTCTTTTGGCATAAAAATGTTGGAGACGTTCAATCGAGCCAAGTGTCAGTACTGACGATCTTCTCTGGGCTACAATAACAAAACCAAAACCAAAACAAAACAAAAATTAGCAAGGTGCTTATTTATTATTACAAGAATACTGTAAGCCAATTTCATATTTCATATATAATATATTTAAATAGAAAAAAATAAAAGAAAAATAAGGGGGTTATATATATTTATATCTAACCTGATCGTGCGAAACCTTTGGTTTGAATACCATGCACAGGTTTCAAGTATCTTCTTCCGAATGGACTCGATGACCGTACTACATAGTCATGACTGTGTAGGTCAGGTATTGAATGATGCCATTGGGGCATTAGGTTGTCTTCTTCAGTAAGTAGCGAATGGTTTGGTTCTTCGGCAAGCTCATCATTGGGAGCGACATCCAAAGGATGTTGAAACATTGCAAAGTTAATAGAGTAGAAAGAATTAAGAAAGTAAAGGAAAGGAGAAAGAAAGTATGAACGAAATTTAAGAAAAATAAAATAAGAAGAGGAAGAAGAACAAGAAGAGAAGAGAAGCGAAGAAGAGGTTTGTGCCTTTATTTTATTTTATTTTATTTTATTTTATTTTATTTTATTTTATTTTATATATATATAATATATATACAAACTTTGGTTGCAAATACCAAAAGAAAAAAAAAAGTATTAAAGTCCAAGCAAAAGTACCAATTCTGGACAAGTCGAATGTGGGACCTGTCAAGTCACACATCCTAAAGGTGCAGTGCGACACCATCCTTTTCCCATCCGAACTCCACGCTATTCATTAACCTCTTTTCTCTCTCTCTCTCTCTCTCTCTCTCTCTCTCTTTTCATTCTTTCTTTTTTGTTCTCCTCCTCGTGTGTATATGCATATAGTTTTCTTGGAGATACAAAGAGGTCAATCTTTGTTTGTTAAAGAAGTAGTATGGCTGTACATTAAATGTTTATAAAAGCATATTCATTGTCCACTATCACTTCTATTATATATCAAAAATATATAAGTGTATAAATGTATATATGAATATATTATACAAGACATTGGTCCTTTTTTTTGTTTTAGATACCAGAGCTTCTCAACTCTTCCAAACGCTTAACAATGAACAGACTTGTGTCCAAAAAGCGATCGACACAGCTAGACAAACAAGCTTCTTCACTGCGCTCCATCTTGTTGTTAACCTTGAAGATACACTTATCCTAAAGATCATTTTTATATATAAATATTTATTTATTTATTTATTTATTTCTTTCTTTCTTTACTTATTAATCAAATTAATCTCTTCCACGTTTTCGCGCAGACAAACTAATACACACACACACACACAACTCACCCAACAAGTGTCAGCCAAGGAGTGAACGGTCTGTTGAATACGAGCCTTGGCATTTTCAGCCTCAAGGAACTATATATATATATATATATATATATATACACAAATGCATAAACGCACAAACCCACACATAAACCCCACAAACACGCGTACACGGAAATGTGGTCATGTCAGAGTGCTTTCTTTTTTGTTGTTCTTGTTGTTGTTGTCTACTTTATCTTGTGGTTTTGGGTATAATGCTGACCACATTCACTCTTTTGACAATACCTGAGCAAGTTCGCGCTGTTCGCTTTCGTTGAATTGGGGTTGGGACATGGTAAAAGCGGGGGAAGAAAAAAAGAAAAATTACAAGCGAGAGAGGGTCTTTGTTATTTTATTTTTATTTTTTTGCTTGGATGTATGCGAGCTATTCAATGCTTTTCTTACTATAGAAAAAAAAAGCTGGGTAAGGGTGGCTTGCAAGAATACGACGTCACACCATGGGTTTAAACCTCTCTTGTCCCTTTCCTTTTTCTTTTTTTTTTTAATGATAGTGAGTTGCATTAATAGCAATAGCATTGACAGTTGCAGTTGTAGTTGTTGAGGCTATTAATTAATCATAATAATAATGCATCATTTTCCACTAACCTTTTATTTTGTTTTGCACATAATAATTGAATTTTTACTCTAAAATTTTGTCTGAAATTCACCATATTCTTGTTTGTTCTTTATATATATATATGTGTGTGTGCAAAAGCATAAGTGAAAAACAGTGTATAAAAAGCAAAGCAAAGCAATTCAATTCAATTCGAGTAGTGAGATAAAGAAGACCTTTAAACAGGGAAAATGTACATAGTACTTTAAGTATGATTTTTTCTTTTTTACATTTATTGCTCACAGCATATTTATCATTTTGGACGAAATATAAAGTGCGCCTGTCTGTGCCGTACCTATATGTTCTCTAAAGTCAGCAACAGTGGTCATATTGTACATTCCATTTCACTATAGCTTTATTAGATTCAAAGTACCAATAAGTACATGAATTAAATGCTTTCATTGATTGATTCGTTCGTTCGTTCGTTCATTCGTTCTTTGTATATCATATATAAATGCAATCCAAGCTTAAAGTTAGTTTTGTTCTCAAACAGAGTAACCTCACACCAATCTTTGTGTATTTGGTACCAAAATCAATCTTGTAACCGACACTCGCACTAATTTTTATAAATGTCCACAATCTTACTGCAGCCATGTTGCATAACCACGTGTCCCTGAATGGTGTGTCTTTCTGTGCTCACTTTTGCCATATCACTCTTGTCCCACAGTACACACTTAATTCATCGACAGGTCCATCATCTCTATTACCCCCATCTCTTCTTAATTATTATTATTTTTTATCCCAGCCATTCTTTTTTTTTTTTATTTTATTTTATCTTATTTAATTACTCTTCTTCTTCTCCTTTTTAATCCATACAACCCACACCAAATACGCCAATGGATATTCAGTCAAACTGGAAACTCGGACGTGCAGCCCAATTATCTTTTCCAGCCACTGGCACAGGATTAATTACCTGTCTAACCATTCACGATGACACCATCATCTCTGCATCCGACGATTCAAGCATCACAATCACCGACATCAACACCGGCAAATTTATAAAATCTCTCCAAGGACACAAGGGAGGAGTCTGGTCTATGGAGGTTTTTGGCAATAGTCTAGTCACAGGCTCTACAGACCGGACTGTTCGCATCTGGGATATCCAGGCCGGGTTGTGTACTCATATATTCACCGGATTTACCTCTTCAGTCCGATCATTAGCCCTGGTAATACCAGCATTACTAAAAGGTGACAAACCCGAGCCTTTGGCCCCTTTGATAGTAGCAGGATCACGCGATGCTTCAATCCGTGTCTGGTGCTTGCCAGATCCTGCCGATCCAGAATACAATGATCCCGAGCCTGACGTCTGGCTTCTCCACACCTTGCAAGGGCATGAAAAGACTGTCCGGGCCATCGATGCGATTGGAAATGTGCTGGTCGCAGGCAGTTACGACAATGCAGTCAGTGTCTGGGATCTCGAGACTGGCCAGTTGGCTCATCGCATGGAAGGCCACGAGAATCAAGTCACTTGCATTGCCTTGCATTCGGCGTCTAATAGGTGCTTTAGTGGTTCGCTGGACAATACCATTCGTGTCTGGGACACCGTTACTGGCGAATGCATTAAAGTGCTCAAGAAACACTACGATAATGTCCACAGCCTGACCCTCACTACAGACTACCTCGTGTCTGCTTCTGCGGATGGAAATGTGCGTATTTGGTCATTGGATAGTCTGGAATGCGAACAGATCATCATCTGCTATCCCTTAGGTGCAAAACATCTGTTTGCAGACGACAACATGCTCTTGACAGGTTCGATTCAGGGTGTTCAGATGTGGAATATCAAGACCGGCAGACTCGTGAAAGATTTAATTACGGATATCGACTGTGTTCAACACATGGTTGTCGATGAACGCAGATGTGTTACGGTTACATGCACGTAAGTTGGCGTTAGCATTGGCGTTGTATTTGTTTTCTTTTTGTTTTGTTTTAATGAAATGTTATCTAAATACTTATTATCATTATCATTATCTATTTGTAGTAATGATATCATTGGATTCCGTGTTTTGGACTTTGGTGCTGAGCCAAAAGAGGTTGAATTGGAGGACAATACGGATGAAGCGGTTGAATTTACAGATATAGTAGAAGATTCAAAAAGCTCAAAGGAAACTAAAGATACAGAAAAAGTACAAGTAGAAGAGCCAGCAGAAGAAGTAGAAGCAAGAGACGTAAATGATATAATCTATCAAGATGAAAACAAGCCAAACACAATCATTTTCAACCGAGAAGAAATAGCTGTATAGACAATACACTCCCACACACACACACACACTCACACATATACACATATACACATATCCACTCACCTTACACCCACATATTATTATATATTTGCCTACACTGTAGGAAGTGGCAGAATTTATAACTCCGGCATAGTTATATCATATACGGATCATATATATTTCCTATGAGTCTGGAGTTATAGATTCTGCCAATAGCATGTCAGCTTCTAGTAAATTAAAATCATTTACAGTGAATACTATTTATGGAATTTCAGATTACTTTGCACCTAGTCCAATCAAATGCTTTAAACATGGTAGATCTACACTTTTTTTTTAGGTACCTCTATTCTTATAATTAGTTCAACAAACCCACAGTTTTATATTGGAATTTTATGGCTTTTTATTTATCAGAATAATAGAAGTTAAGCATAAAGAAGTAGGCAAAGAAGAAGTACTAATTTATATGATACTTGGTAGCCGTTTAAGCTATAAATTTGATATATGATATACATATATCTAAAAAAAAAAGACAGGTATTCTCAAAGTACTAAGATATTGATAAAGACATGTATGTTGCTTAATTGAACCTTTTTGCTGTTCACCAGCGTGTAAGGGAATCATCGAGGAAATTGACAAACTTTCTAAAATAAGGACTCTGATTACAAAAAAAGGATGTGCTAAACAATCATACTTTATAAAGCTAATTTTCTATAGCCAATATGAAACAAATCATTAACAAAACAAAACAAAAAAGTAAGAAACAGATGCTTAATAACAATCGTAATCTTATATGACACAACACAATTCCCTCGATGCAATTTCTTCGTACGCTGGTGAACAGCATAAAACAAAATTGCTCAAACCTCCCTAATATGTCGTGCATGGCTTTTTTCTTTCTTCCTGACTTTGCTGCCGGCGTGCCATGTTCAAAATAGAAATAAAGAAACCCCAGCTTTCTAATAAGTTACTACACCAATTTTCTTTTAAAAGCACTCTTGTAGTATAAAAAAAACATAGCAACGATCAACCAATAAAGGTCACTACTACTCTTTAACTTGAGCCAGTAAACATAGTTTGCCTTTAGTAAAGCTTACAGAAAGACTTTTTTTTTGGTAATAATTAAATTAAAGACAACAATATATGTATTGTCATTACAGACGAGTTGTTTGTGCTTTGTGTGTATAATAGAAGGCGGCACAGTTAATCTTCCAACCTATTGTAATTTTTGTTGTTGAATTGTTTAGTCCCTTTACTTTCTCTCTCGATCGCCTTTTTCAGTTAAACAGATACAGATATACATGTGTGATAGAGATTTAAGACATATGTATTAACAAAACATACACATACACATACAGAAATACTGGAAATAATTATTAATCAGTTTAACAAGTCATTTATTCAAATTTGTCAAATTTAACTGTCTTTTTTTGTCTTGATTATTAGCTTAATTTAAAGCAAACCTTTTGAAGAAGAAGAAGAAGAAGAAGAAAGTAGAGATCTTTGTATGTGCTTGGGTGAACTTATATCACACCAGCGGGGACAAGACTACTGTGCCCAATTGTAAGACTACATATGTATGTTTTATTAATAAAACAAAAATACCAGATATAATTATAAAGTAGATCTTTTGAGGTATATCTACATACGAATATGCTGTGTATATTTATTTACAGTTATAAGCTTTGATCTTTATACAGTTTACATGAGGATAGTATTAAACAAGTGCCAAATTGACTTTATTAACCAGACGCACTACAGAAGCGTATGACCACTGTACTACTTGACAAAAGAAATACTATATTATTTATGTACAGAAAAATAAAAAGTTACTTTAATAAGCTGTATACAAAACAGGACTTATGATTTGGAGAAAGGAAGAAAGAAAAATAGGATACACGGCAATAAAGATTATTCTTTTTCTACCTACACCCGGGTTGCAGGATGTAACATGAAAATCATTAGACTAGTTAAATATATAGATCTTCTTTAACATATAAGAAGAAAAAGAACGAAGTAAGATAGAGAGAATAGTATCATCTTTATAGACTTGAAATTCAGATGGCTTCTATTTAAGCCTAGAGATGTAAGCTAAGCTACAGATGGATATAATTCATCGTAATGGACAATGCAATATGTATCATACTATTTAGCAAATAAACTATTATATTATGCATGTGTCTTTGCTTACACATCCACAGTTGATAGAGCCATTTGAAATCAGCATTAAAAAAAAGGTGTCAAAGAGATTAAATGGTCATTTACATATACATACATACATACATACATACATATACATTATGCCATACTGTTTAACTGATATCAGCTCACATTAATAGCCTTGACGCTTAAAGACTTTAGAGACACAGCAAAGACAAGCAAGCAAGCAGAAATGTATCAAGCATTACCTCACTTACTATCTGTTATTTGATTTTATTAATGTATTTTCCCATATTCTATCCAGTATAAGTTTTGTAAATATATTTATTTAGTTTCAAGTGTCAAACCATCGATCGATTTACCCTTCTTTCCTTTTTTATCAATATATCCGTATGCCGTTTTCTTTATATTTATTTTAGTATTTTCAACCTACTGCTTTCAACCCACACACACACACACACACACATACATACATACATACATACATACAAGCTTATATATTAGTCACTTGTCTACGTAGTGGATATATTGTTAATTCATGTTGTGTATGATAGTATTCCCAAACTTATTTTAAAAAGAGAATCTCAATAGCAATATTATGCGATATTACTCTTCTTTTTATAAGCCTTATTTAAGGAACCCCAGATCAACTTGGTATAAGAGTCTTTTTTTTTTTAAAGAAAATAATAATAATAATAATAATAGTGAAACCAACTTCTCGACATTTATTACGCAGGTTATTATCATTATTAAGTTTAAAAAAAAACAAGGTAAACTTACTCTATGACCTCTTTATCCATCTAAACCTTTCCTCTTCCTCTTCCTCTTCTTCCTCTTCTTCTTCTAATACTTAGAATACTACCCAAACACATACATACACACACATACATACACAAAATAGAGAATAAAACATTTATCAATCTCATCTTGCCGCCGAAACGTACTCTAGATCTGTTACCAGTAATTAGCAAAAAAAAATACGACATCTATCAATTTTATATACATATATATGTATTCCTCGACATTTCCTTCAATGGCTCAATATTCGGCTAAACAACCACAACAAGCCGATTTTACAGCAAATGCTCACAATGCAGAAAACCCGAGTTTTAAAAACACGCCGGTTTCCCCTGCTGAAAGCAATATTTCAGGATCGACAGGTACACAGTTAGTATAAATATGTACATTAGCTTCTCTTGTGTTTAGAGATTATGACAGGGCTCTAAAATAAAAAGAGATGCGTACTACAGAATGGCGTCAGAACCAAGATTCTATTTCGAAAAACAAGTCAAACGCCGAGTCAGTAGATCTATCAATCTCTCATGGATCGGCTTTCGTGCCTGTATCTCAACACGGCATACAATGGGCAGACACCAACATGACTTCTCCGATGCCAAACAACCAAACAGATCTTCAGATCACAAAGGACTCGTCTTATTCACACCAGAATTCTAATTATCACACCACAAAGACTATCAAATCAATTCAGACTGGTTTGACGGATCAATCACATCGATCTGTGGTGCCAAGGGTTAGACTTACAACGACCATGTGGGAAGATGAAGACACCATATGCTACCAAGTCGATTTAAAAAATGTCTGTGTTTCTCGAAGAAAAGGTAAAGGAAAGAATAAGAAAGAAGAAGTGTATATTCTTACAAATCTTTTTTAAATATATATATATTTGCTTATTTTATTAGACAACAACATGATTAATGGAACAAAATTACTCAATGTCACTGGTATGTCTCGAGGTAAACGGGATGGAATCCTAAAGAATGAAAAGGATCGAGTGGTTATCAAGGTGGGAGCTATGCATCTAAAAGGGGTGTGGTAAGTTCTTGATATATATTTCAAGGGTTACACATATATAATAATAATTAACAAAAAAATATATACTATATGTGTATAATTGTGTATATGTTTTCTTCTTCTTCTTTATTCTTTATTCTTTAATAGGATAACCTTTTCAAGAGCTTATCTACTAGCAACTCGTTACAAAATACACGATTCACTTTATCCGCTTTTTGTGGAAGATCCGAGTATATTTCTTTATGTTTCGCCATTTCAACATTCGGCTGGTAAATTGGACAGTTCGGGACAATCTTACCGGAGGTTGTCTTCATTTGGAAACACTTCTGGGGTAGTCAAAGGCTCAGGGATAAGCTCTGCAGATACGCACGGACCAACAACAACATCAACAACAACAGCAGTAACAACAATAGCTGCTCAACAACCAGGTAAATTCCAATACAAATACCCATTCCTAATTTTACGTGTTTATTTTATTTTGGTTACCTAAATAATTATATATATATATGTGTGTGTGTGTATGTATTTGGCTGCTTACAATCATGTATAGATCATACAGCACAGCACGATAAAACTCATCATAATAATAACGTGACTTTAGAGCACTCGTCCAGACACACACAGCAATTTTACGAAACTGTGAATGGAATCAGTGACACTTGTCATCCATTAGAAAGCAGCAGCACTCAGCATGTATTTTCTAGAAACTCTCTGAGCCATGGATCAAATACACCTACTGTTCTTGGTCAGCAGAGTCAATACAAAGACATGTACTCAAAAGGATGCTTTATAAATAATCCACTACAAGAATATAACCATAAATACACAGTTCATGAGAAGTCTAATGAAGGTATGTACAACTATAGCATGAATACATCGTGTAAAGGTAAAGTATTAATCTTCTATATACATACATTAAAATATATCTATCTCACAATACTTATATATTAATTGTGTTTGTTAACTAATATAATAATGATAATAATAATAATAATAAAATACACACAATACTTTAACTGACTAACCCATATGTTCCAGTAACAACAAGATACCCGAGTTATAATGTTAACATGAACCCCCAACCTTCTGGATTGGCAGTGATACAAGGAGCAGAGCCTTACATGGGACCAATGTTCTCTCCGTTGCCTATGGAGGCAGACACAAGATACAACGGATCTTCTAGCTCGCATAGTACTTACCGCGAAACACTCTCTATAGACACGTATTCACGCGGAGTCCATTCACGCTTTCATCCCTACACGTCCCCAGGAAAGCACTCCTCGGATACTAGATCCTTGAGCATAGTTTCGTCTAATACAGATGATGGGTACATATTATCAAAGCCAAACAAGAAAACTCTACATTAAGTAGTCGTGCGTCTTTTCTTAAAAAGATTATTTCTAATTATGCACTGTTTCAATGAAAGCTCCAAAAAGAAGAGAAAAACAAAGCAAAGAAAGCCTTTATTCTCCCACACTTCCCCCTATTCATTTGACCATGCACTCACGATGAGAATAATCAGGATGTTATTTTCTTTCTCTCTTTCTTTAATATTTTAATACAGATAGTATATTTCTATGTACTTATGTATACCTCAATGTAAAGTAACGCATAAATACAACGCTCTTTACATTATGTATTCAGTTAATAATTTCCAAATTTTATTTTACTTGTAAATATATATATATATACGGCTTGATAATTTGTATGTACATTGTTGTAAGCTTTTAGACAAGTCTTCTTTTTGTCATTCAATTAATGATAATAATAATGATAAATATAAGTATAGAGCATGTGTATCGAAGTAGGGCATGTATACTTCACGCACATGCGGAATTGATATCTTTTGTTTTCCTTTTGTTTTCGGCTATCTCATCATATTCGGTTCATTATGTTGACGTGGTTGGTGGTGGTTGTATAAGATAGTGATCTTATTGTGGTGTAATTCCAAGCACAGTAAGAGTATTTCCAACCATAATCAAACTGCCAGTGGCTAATATCTGAACCTTCTTAGTCTCAGGTGCCGATTTGGCGTAATCGACTATCCACTCTGTTGCCTCTTCAAGTGATCCAACAACATGAACATTTTCAGCATTGAATGAAGGGACTTGTTTTACCCAGCTCTCTGCCAACAATGCCTGCATGGATAAAACATCAGCCATAGAGACTGTGTAGTTGGTATTGTCTATAAATACTCATGGTTAGTTATAAATTAACCCATATTTTTTTTATAATTACCTGCCGAGTCACCTTCCCGGTATGTCATATTGGTTGTAAAGATTACATGATCAAATCCAACAAATGACTGTATTTTAGAAATAACTTGCAACAAGTTTGGCCCGTCTCTGCCGTTTGAGGTATTGAATACCAAGATTCGAGACACATCCTTAATATCCTTCTTGTCTTTTGCTACTTGTCTGAACCAGTCTACACACACTTGGAGACTCTCGAGGGTATGGGCACCGTCAAGATACCATGTTACGTCTCGGGGGTTGGGGATTTGGGAAGCATACTTTGTTTCTGTCGCGCAAAGCTGTTGACCACGTCCAGGCCACTTTACATTTGCGAGACCCTTTCTGAATCCAGCCGGAACAGTCTCTGTAAGCTCAATTTGACGACAGTGCTTCAACCAGATCTTGCAAAGTGCAATAGCAGTCAATGCGTTGTATTTTTGGTGAACACCAGCCAATCCTTTTTTTTTAAATAATAATAATAATAATTAAATGCAGTTTAGAAACAATGTAATAATCATACAACAACAACAATAAATGTCTTACCAATTTCTACGTCCTTCAAAGCATCAATATCACGGGCGTGCAAGACTTGTAATGGAGCCTAGTTACGTTATATGAATTACTATCCTTTTTTGCTCATTTTTTTGATTATAAGGTATAATGATATATTATTTACCTCCTTCTCTTTAGCTCTTTCTTCAATTACTTGCATGGCCTCAGGAAGTTGCTCGAATGCAATAGCAGGAACGTGATTCTAATATATATATATATTAATGTCAGTAAAAAAGCTTTCGCTACTTTTTTTTTATAATCATTTTCTTTCTCGGAGGTTTTACCTTGATAATACCAGCCTTGTGCCATGCAATTTTATCAATAGTGTGACCCAAAACACCAACGTGATCCAATCCCAATGCTGTAATACCGCATACAACAGGACGCTCCACAACATTTGTAGAGTCATACTCTCCACCGACACCAACTTCAAGGATAGCAACATCAACCTTGTAACAAAAACGCGTTAAGTATGCTATTCTTATTCTTGTTATAATTAGCCATACATATACAGCACATACCTTTTCCTGAATAAATGTATGGAAAGCCACCAAAGTCAAGTAGCGGAAGTATATGGGCTTATCTGGGTGCTGTCTCTGGTCTCTCAAAGAAGCCTTTAAATCCTGTGTAGAATCCCTGTAAGATTTTCTTTCTTTTCGATAAACTCTAAAATATCATCATTTCTTTTTCGATTATACCTTCTCACTCAGACCGGCCTTTATCAATGCTTCTTCCTTTGTACTTTCTAGTCTATCCCACACTTCGTTGGAATACTTTGCAAACAGCTCCTCGCTCACGGGCTCGCCGTTGATTCTGATCCTCTCACGAACAGAAATGAGATGAGGAGAGGTAAATAGACCGGTTCGGATAGGCTTCTCGTCCGAACAATTACGCAAGATAGACTGGGTAATTGCACTAGTAGAACCTTTTCCTTTGGTTCCTGTCACGTGAATTACGTTCAATTTATCGAAAGTTTTGACCTATACACACGCACAACAGTAATAATAGCTGTCAGTTTAAAGCCGGGACGCGATAGATAAGAAAAAACAATTTGTTTTGGTTTACCTCGTAGCCAATACGTTTAAAGTAGTCTCTCATTTCAGGCAGACTTAATTCGTTTGCGCGCGGGCCTGCTTTTCTCAGTTTCTCGAGTAGAGAAGCATTCGTTTGCAATGAGTTGATTCTTTCAATGGCAATCTATAGCGAAATGAGTTGAGATTCCACATTCTTTTTTTTTCTTTCTTTTTTTTTAAAAAAAAAGAAAGGTCTAGAGTTTACAATTGTACGTTACTTTAAAGTCGGTCATTTTTGTAAGGGTGGTATACCACTGTTTGGAAGAGGTTTGAGAAAAGAGTGCAGGAAGGCGTACCATACAGTCAAAAACTTATTCCTTTATACTGAGAAATAAAAAAAAAATGATTGCACAAAAATTTAAACTCGAATTGAGCACATCTGATCTCCAAATCTCTAAAAAGCAAATTTGACTCTGTTTGATGAAGGATTGGCCAATCCAAACCCTCCATCTCCATCAGTATTTTTTTCTCTTCTTTTTTTTGGCTTTTGTTAGATCTCAAGTTAAGCTTCTAATGCTCGGTTCTCAGGGATACTAATATTGATATCAATTATTATTTTCCAAGATTATTGGTAACCAAAGAGAGAGAGAGAAAGAGAGAGAAATATGTATTAAGTTTGTAACATATTGTTTCATTTCAAGGAACATAGATCCAGCCTTCAATTTGATCCGAAATATCTTTTGCTAATGCTTGTACGGCCTTTTCGTCCTTGCCAACAATACTCACCACAACACGGGTCCCATGGGAATCCTGGCCCCACTTTGGGTAGCTTCCGATTTTAATATTATAATCCTTAACCTGATTCTGTGCTGCTGTCAAGCATTGAGCAATTTTTCCTTCTGGTTGAGCCGTGGCAATCTGGATACGATGGTACTTTTCTGGAGTGGAACGTCCGGTTTTAGCTTCAATTAATGATATGAGGTGAGGTTGAAGAGAGTGTATGAGTCTCTCGAAAAGACGAGGAATTCCGGGTAGAACATGTATGTTTTCATTCACAACCACTATAGGTACCCAGAGTTCAGGGGAGGTACGAATGAGTTTGGATGGTTTTGGAAATATTGCCATTCGTTTTCTAGCATCATTAAGAACCCAGTCTTTGATGTGACTTGATTTTTCTTCCATTTGTTTGCATGTTTCCAGGTCGAGTTCAAGAGGAAGATTGTACGCTTTAGCTAGAGCAGCATAAGTGATATCGTCGTGTGTTGGTCCTGACCCATTTTTTGTGGTTATTAACCAAATAAAGACCGATGCATTTAAATGTGAAATACCTACCTATACCACCACTGGTAAACACAATATCGTGTTGACTTGAGAGTCGTTTTATGGTTTCTTCAATAGCTTTGTATTCATCCGGGATTATCTCTACTCGCTTCAGGTCGACACCGATATCAAAAAGGGACTTGGCTATCTTTCTTTCATAAGTCAATTACTTTTATTGTATTAGAATCAGAATGTGTCTTGCCTAAAAAATGAGCGTTGGAATCGCGTGTTTTGCCATTAAGGATCTCATCGCCAATAATGCAGCATGCTGCTGTAAATGAGTTACTGGGAGGCATTGTTCGTATAGACCGATGAAAAATATTATGTTGAAGAGGTTTTGCTAGCTGTTTGACAAAAGGATTAGAGACTCTTACTAGACCAAATAAGAGTGATATAGTCATTGTCAAGCGATTCTCTTTTTCTTTTATTTTTGGTCTCTTTTTAAGTTTTCCCGCTACACACACACACAGAACAACTGCTTAAAATCAAGGGTTTTAGGTACCTTGCTTTGTAGCGCACTTTCAATAAGCCAGTATCGACATTAAAATATAAGGGCATCTTCAGAGCATCTTCAGCAGTCGGCTAACTTTTATTTTATCTGGGATCAAAAATTGTCACTTTTACATAAAAAAAGCCACCCCGCCCAGCAGTTAATTTTTTCTCTAACTTTTAAATAAATTTTGAGAGTGCTTTCAGCTAGAACTTTTAAATCCCTGTCAAATATAGCAGCTAGATAAAATTTAGGACCATAAATTTTTCATAAAATAAAATAAAAGGAACTGCTGGGAAATTAACTTTTGTGAACGCGCTGGTTAGCCTTTTCGTTACACTAGTGGAGATTCAATTAGGACTAACCAGGTGTTCAATGAGGGTGTGATTATAAGGGTTTTTAAGATAGAAACAATTATATAGGATTTGAGAATCAAGGTGTAAAATGGTCTTTATTTCATGTTATTTGCCTTTGCTTTTATATTGTTTCTATCCTATTTTTTACATCATTAGGTGCTCGCCACCACCTGTAAATATATCGATATCGAAAATTGAATGTCATCTCAAATATCCCAAAAGGATTATAACCTGCTTTTTATTCTTGTCTCGTTTTGGAAGAGTAAATATAAATACTAAAATAACTAATTTTTCTCCTAGTAATCTTTTTTTTTTTTAATATCAAACCCAAAAAAAGAGTGGTGGTAGTTTAGATTTCCTTTTTTTGACCCTGATTAGTTTGAGTAGATGTATTTTGTAACTTCAAAATCGTCGATATCCCTTTCCTTTTTGAAATTTTGTTCCCTTTTGGGATCCTGATTATTTTGAGGGGCTTTATAGATTGGGAACAAAAAACAGTGCTTAAATCTTCAAAATTGAAAATTTTCCGGGTGGTGGCGAGCACCTATTGTTTTATCATTTTCTAAGGTTCGCTAAGTCCCTTAGTTCTCTACTAATGTCTTTAGTTCTACACTAATTGTCTTTAGTTTTGTTGCTATGATTTTATTCTTTTCTAATTTCAAAATCCGTCGCAACGACAATTTTAGATAAAAGTCCAAATGTGGTATAAAAGTCGGGATAAAAGTTACTGCTGAAGATGCTCTAATATTCTAAAAACTTTTTTTTTCTTTTTCTTTTGGTGCATAAGTCAAGTAAAGTATTAGACAAAGTATATTTATAGACTTGAAAGTTGAAAAGGCTCAATATAGCTGACTATACGATTGTATTAAAATAAACAAAGAAGTATAGACATATATTTAGCTTGAAGGCTGAGTCGAAGCCATATTTATATTAAACTAAATCTGAAACAAGAGATTTGTGTAAACTTTAATGTAATATCGCTGTATACTTATACTTTCAATAATGAGTTATAATGAGCTCCAAGGGAGTAAAGATGCTTGTAGTACCTATTGAATGCCCTCGGTGTATCAGAATCTGCCGGTTACATATGTCAGGTACTTACGCTACAATCAATGGTTTCTTATCTGTAAATTCCTCCTCCCCAACCTTTAGTACAGGAGATCCCATCTGAACAACATATATCGGCACTTTTTTAGCCTTTGAGAGAGCGAGAATCTGCATAATTTGATTTTTATTATTATTAATACGTTCACCCTAAAAAACAAACAAACAAACAACAGCAATTTTGGGACAGTACCTCCAATTGGCCACCCCATCTTGGCGAGTTTTCAACATCATCGCAATAATGCTTGAAATCATCTAGATATAAAACCAGTATCTAAACAACCTCCTCTTTGCGAAGTATTTTAAGATATCCTTTACCTGCACTAAATATGTTTCCATCGTCCTTATATAAAAATGGAATGAAATCGTTTGGGTGCTCTCTCATGTATTGCGCTGCTTCTTTTCGAAGTTTATGATAATCTGTCTAATATCAAGAAATAATGTTTTTGTTTGCTTGTTAGTTTGATTATTTATTCATCCATTATTAATCAATAACATGGTTAGGCCTGATGTACATTATCTAAAGAAGTTTACCTCTTCATTATATATATACTCCAGTTGTTTTGCAATAGAGTTGTAAAGACTAAAATTATGGTCAGTTATATTTCTACTTTTAACTTAGCTCTCTTACCAATGGCCATCAGGCGAAATCTAGGTATATTAATCGAATAATTAGATATATCCTTTAGATTTCATTAAGGCTTCAAACATACTTCTTGAACTTTTAATTTCATAGGAGCTAATAGTTCTTTGATAGCTTCACTCTCTAATTCTCCCATATCCACTTGTCCCGAGGCTTCTTTCTCTGCTTCATCGCGTATTTTTTGTAATTCTTCCTCTCTACGTTGCTTTTTTAGGTCGTGTTTATTGGGTTTCTTCTTCTTTGGAGTGGTCAACGCTGGAGATGGCATAGGTGCTACTGGCTCTTCCTCTTCAGTTAGGAACGTAAGTCTGTCTAGAGAAATACCGTCATCTGGAGTCTATTTACATAGCTATAAGTCAAACGCTATGTTATACTCTGTGGACTTTAGGGGGTCTTGCTACCTCTTCTTCTCCAATTAGTTTTCCAGATAATAGAGACTTAAGTTGAGTGAGCTCAAGCTCTTGTTTTTGCCGTAATTCACTTTCAAGTTCTGCTGCTTTAGATGTCATTGCTCTCTTCTTGCGTTTGTCACTTTTGGGAACAGACTTTCGCATATTTGAAATGGTGCTCTGAAGATCGCGTTGCTCAAGTCGGTGACGATGCAGCATACTTTCTAAAGTCTCTTCCTCATTTGAAACAGGTTCGTGCGTTGGTGAAGGGCCAATTACTGCAACGTCTGCTACAGAATCTATAAGGTCTTCGGATGTACTCATCCTAATGTCAAGAATAAAAAAAAGAAGCTTCTCGATAACCGTGACCACGAAATTTAAACTGATCGCTTTAAAGGTAAGGTGCTCACGCAGTGGCTCATCGATGAGAATGCACCTTCCATAGTTAGAAGGTTACATTATTATATTTGGTAATTTATATTCAGTGTCCGTGGATTTTATTCCTGCTGTCTACGAGAGGTGCTCACGGAGTGAAGTGTCAATCGACCAAAAAGTGTCAATCGACCAATTTGGAAGGGTCTCAAGCCTAAATATGGTATATACTTTTTAAAGTCCACAAAAAATATCCCTGCTCTTGACCAGGGACAAATTATTTTCAAATACCATATATGGTATTTAATTTTCTTGCTATCAACACGGTGTGTGAGAACCATTTTTATTTCATTACTTTGTCTTGCTTTTCAATCTCTTTTTAATTATATATGCTAATATATTTTTACTCACAATAGTATTATTGAAATACGGCTTGTTGAAACTTGCGTTAAAAGCCATATTTTACATGTTTTCTCTTAATAACACATGGAAAATAATTATATTTCATTTGTTATATTTTTAAAGAGATATAAGTGTCTTGAGTATAGTATTTTATTATAATACCGACATATTATTACGTATACGGCACCTAATTTGTATTTTAAAAATTTACCAAAAATAGATATAAAATTTCATCGATGAGCCACTCCGTGAGCACCTAGTATATGGAAATCACCGCCAAAATTTAGGTCCTTGGCTGGTGCTTGAGAGGCACCTTAATATCGAGGCCTTTAATAGTGAGAGGGACGTTTTTCTTTTGGACTTTCTTGTCATAACAAAAAGTTGATAAAAAAGAAGTACTGAAATAGGTGGTTGATTGACATCATCATGTACGCATTCTGTAATATGGGTTGGTAAGACAAGATATTATTTTTACTCACATGGGATTTATTGAATTCATATATGCATATAAAGAAGCATGTTGAACTATTAATTTTAAAAAAGTATCTATCTAGTTTATTGGAAACTAACTAGTTAGAAACATAATTAACGTATTGACAATGGTGTCAATGGTTATTACTATGGAAAGTTACAAGCCTAATAGAACTGTTCTTTTGGGTCTAGGCGGACCTTATTAAGCTAAAATACTTTGCAGTTCATGTAGCACAAATGTCCTAGAAATGTGATTGTCATGACGATTTGTATACGTTGACCAGAAAGTTTGTTGTCTTGGAAACATATGATAGCCACTACCACAAATGAAGTTAATAATAAATAAAAAGTCTTGAAAAACCAAGATTGAATATATAAATTAAAGTTGAACGCTGAAAATATGCGAAAGTCTAGTAAGGGGATAGGATAAGTCTGGGCGAATGAATAGTTTGAGGTTATGCTACGGAGGCTGAATGTATACGTATTCCACAGGACTGTGCGGGACAGCAACATTGTGCCGAATCGCTGGAGAAAGCGTTCCCGCCTTGTACCAGATCGGTTTGATAGACTCTGCTCTCGTTCTCAAAGCAATTAGATGAATACATACGCCTAAAGAAATTGAGATACATATAAGACAATAATGTGGGTTATTAAGTACGCTATGCCTATAGAAAAGCAACTGTCCTGAAATCATCATAATATGTACATATATATATTATAAAAAAGACTATTATTCAGGGATCAAACAATACCAGAAAACATTGCATTTCAGCTAATCTTATTTGTTCCCAAAACATAATGATCTTTATCTGAGACCATTTCCCAAATGCGCCCCTCAAATCCATACTTCTCAGTCCGCTTATAAAAGCCGGCTGTTCGCGATTTTTTGCCTCTTGTCTGCCATCTTTCTTAACCTATCTTTTCTCTCTTTTCCTTCACAATGACAGCAAAAACAAGTAGCAATAGTACAAATACACCTAAGGAAGGAGCGAAACCCAGCAGAAATAATTCTCAAAAAGATGGATCAAAATCTACGCCCACATCTTCCTCTAGTGGTTTGACGGAAACCATTCAAAGCGTAGATCTTGAAGCAAAACTTGACTCGAAATCCGTTATAGCTAAGATTGGCACAACCGTTCCCAAAATTGAGTCGGCCGGCATTTCTTCAGAAATTCCCCTCCTTTATGCCATCACGCTCTCTGACGATGGATCCCCTGAAGACAAGAAAGCGGTATGTAAAACACGTTCAAAGTATAATAGCATCTTTTTTTTTCTTTCTTCTTTACTAATACGTCTTCTTCAGTATATTCGTATTCCGCTCAATGAGAAGACAGCGATACTTCGCTTCATTCTTAAAGCAGGGACATCAGCAGCCGGAGGTCATCCAACGCTCTGTACAAACTACCCCGTTAAAGGGTAAGGCTTTGTTAAATACAGCAACCATAGCCATTGTACTCACTATCTGTGTTGATATTTCTTTATTTAGTGCTTTTGATAGGCACTCATTTCATCCTATACCGTAAGTATATAATATTCATGCTCCACTTATATACTCAAATGTTATCGTTTTTAGCTTTGTCACAGACGAAAAACTATTGGGTGCCTATTGTGATGTTGAAGTTATCAACCCAGGTGTATATGAATACCGCGTTGAGTACACCAATAACACGAAAAAGCAAGTTTCAACATCCGGGTTCATTGTAGCCGAGCCTAGGTTAACAATTGAGACCAAGGATGGCAAAAAACCATTGCCATTGGACGCTCTTATGGCTCTATCAGTTGTGCCAAAGTGGATGGGACCTGTTACAGAATGGAAAAAGCAGTTGGATATGATCCACAGCGGGGGGTATAATATGATTCATTTTGTGCCCATGCAAAAACGCGGTTCTTCAGACTCCCCTTATAGTATCAGCAACCAATTGGCTTTCGCAGATGACCTGTTCAACTCCAAAGACGTCAAAAAATCCGACAAGGAAAAACTAGCCATAGTTGAAAGCACCTTGAGACGTATTCAAAAAGATTATGGTATTTTATGTCTATCAGATGTTGTGTGGAACCACACTAGCGACACCTCGCCATTTTTGCTAGAGCACCCAGAAGCAGGTAATTTTTATAATTTTCTATTAAAAATAACCTACGATGCACAACTACATCATAACAATAACAACAAACTCTTAATTAGGTTACAATTTACACAATTCTCCTCATATTGTACCTGCGTATGAGTTGGATACTGCATTTATTGAACTGTCTGTAAACATGGAGGAGGCGGGCTTGCCTCGCAATATTACGTCTGAAAGAGATGTGGATATTATCATGTCCTACGCAGCTAAACACACCATCCCTGCACTGAAATTGTACGAATACCTTGTCCTCAATGTCACTGAGCAAAAGGAGACTTTCAAAAAGGCATTGCTAGAGAAAATTAAGTGTGATCCTAGAAAGTACCTCGGGCGTCGCGATCTTGGACACTTGTCACTCAAAGAACAGGCCGATATTTTGAGCGAAGATGCTGTCAAAAATGGCAGCCCTGGAAAGCGTTTCAATAAATCAGTTGACCTTTCCCACGCCCTTTCCTTTGTTTTGGCATTGAACGGTATTCACACGATAGATACTGTAGGAGGACAAGAAGACAAATTAGTTGAGAAATATGGTCACATACTGGATGAGTATAACTTGCCTTACTATAAGATTTACGACGAAAATGTCAGTGCTGCTATTAGCAATATCAAGAGCCGTCTTTCCTACACCAGATTAGACCAGAATGGGCCCAAGTTTGGAGAAATCACAAAGAGGTAAGACATTAGAGATAAATGAATAATAATGATATAAAAAGTAAAATGCTCATATGTAAGTCATTAGTTCCCCTATTGTTGAGAGTTACTTCACTCGTCTTCAAGACAAGGATAATAAGCACCCTCCTGGAAGTATGCAGCTAGCTAACAACGGCTGGATCTGGAATGCCGATCCTATGAACGACTTTGCTGGACCCAACTCTCAGGCCTATTTACGCCGGGAGGTCATTATCTGGGGTGATTGTGTAAAGCTTCGATATGGAAAGTCGCCAAAAGAAAACCCATGGTTGTGGAATCATATGCGTGAATATACCGAGCAAGTTGCAAACATGTTCCAGGGTATCCGCATTGACAATTGTCACTCAACTCCCATTCCGGTAGCTGAGTACCTTTTGGACGCTGCCCGCAAGATTCAGCCCGATCTTTACGTTCTTGCTGAGCTTTTTACCGGATCACCAGATACCGATAACTTGTTCGTTTCTAGATTGGGTATCCATTCACTTATTAGAGAAGCCATGCAAGCTTGGGATACACACGAATTATCACGTCTAGTTCATCGTCACGGAGGAAAACCTGTGGGAAGTATGGATGAAGATATGACATGGAGGTGCGTCCCGTATGAAAGGGAGGAGTATGACCAGGTTTACTATATTCCTGTTTCTCATGGCAGCATGCCCCGGGCTCTCTTTATGGATTGCACTCACGATAATGAGACGCCTTTTCAAAAGAGACTTGCTGAAGACACGTTGCCAAATGCTGCCATTGTTGCTTTCTCCGATTGTGCTACTGGAAGTGTAAAGGGGTATGACGAGATTTACCCGCGTTTATTGGATATTGTTGGTGAGCACCGCCACTACTCTACAAAAAACACTAAATATGCCGGTATTGTGGAAGTTAAGAGCAAGCTCCAGAAACTTCATCTCGACATGTCTATTCAGGGATACACAGAAGTACATGTCCACCAAGAGAATGACTACCTTCTAGTACACCGGCAGAGTCCCGGATCCCAAGAAGGCTATTTGCTTATTTCGCGCACTGCATTCCCTAACGCTTCCACCGGTATTTCACCCATAAGATTACGTAAAACTCAGGCTACCTTTGTCCTTGGAGCATCGCTAAAGATTGACGGGCATAAGGTTGTTGACGAAACCATACTTTCCGGGTTACCAAGCCATGTCGAGACCATACCATCCCCTGATTTTGAGCACTACGAAGATGAGAAAGGAAGCTATACGCTAGTAGTCCTTCCTCAATCCTTTACTCCCGGATCAATTTATGTTCTCAAGACTTCTATTGGAGATGTATACAAGAATGCACGTGAGATTATTAGGACCATGGATGATGCAGTTGTAAAAGATTTGGACTTGCTTGATTGTAATGTAGCCTTGTACCGATGCGAAAGCGAAGAGATGGATGCTACTGGTGGCGATGGGGTTTACAACGTCTCCGGTTATGGAAAATTTGTATATGCAGGTCTTCAGGGATTCATGTCTGCTCTGACACCTATTATCATTAACAATGACCTTGGGCACCCTGTGTGCAACAACCTAAGAGAAGGAAAATGGATGCTTGATTACGTAGTGAATCGTTTGGAACGCCAGCATGAACAGTATCCTCATCTTAAGCCACTATCAGACTGGTTCAATTCAAGATTCGATGTGGTTAAACAGATGCCCGACTTCCTTGTGCCAAAATACTTCGCTATGACTATCCAAACTGCTTACGACAAGATTTACACCCATGCTTTAGCTTGTATGTCACCACTCGTTCAAAATGGAGACCAATTTTTGAAGCAATTGGCTTTGTGTAGTGTCCAGATGTATGGCCAGGTTCCTTCAGCTGGATTACATCCCACTAAATCCGGGCCTTGTCTTGCTGCTGGATTGCCTCATTTTACCACTGGTGCATTCCGCACTTGGGGCCGTGATGTATTTATCTCTCTTCGTGGACTTTTACTTGTTACAGGGCAATTTGGTGCGGCCAAAAACCATATAGTTTCCTTTGGTAGCTCATTGAAGCATGGCCTAATCCCTAATCTTTTGGATGCTGTACGCGTTCCTCGTTACAACGCTCGCGATGCTGCATGGTTCTTTATGCAAGCTATCCAAGACTATTACAATATGGCCCCAGATGGTCCTTCTATTCTTACCACAAAGGTCCTTCGCCGATTTCCAAAAGACGACCGCTTTGTACCTGTAGAAGAAGGCTACCAATACGCGTCTACCATTGGCGAGATCATGCAAGAGATATTACAACGCCATGCCCAAGGCATTCATTTTAGAGAATATAACGCAGGAGAGGCTATTGATCGCCAGATGAAAGACCAGGGTTTCAATATTGACATTGATGTGGATTGGGAGACCGGCGTGTTGGTTGGTGGTAATGAGTTTAATTGTGGTACATGGATGGATAAGATGGGCGAGAGTGAAAGAGCTCACAATAAAGGCTTCCCTGGCACATCCCGTGATGGTGCGCCTATCGAAATTACTGGTTTGCTTAAGAGTGCATTACGGTTTGTCTTGGAACTTTACAAGAAAAAGGAGTTTGCGTGGACGAGTGTTCAAGTTAATGGCAAGGCACTGTCATACCAACATTGGAATGATTTATTGCAAAAAAACTTTGAGCGTATTTACTATGTTCCCAAAGGTAAAACTCCAATATATATATATAACAATATCTGTACCTAATTTTCTAACTTCCCATACCATAGATCCTTCTGAAGACCACGCTTATGATATTGACCCTCGTATTGTCCATCGCCGTGGAATTTACAAAGACGTTTGGAAAGCAGCCAAGCCTTACACAGAGTATCAGCTCCGTTGTAATTTCCCTGTTGCCATGACAGTTGCACCCGAACTTTTTGACGAGGAACATGCAGCAGAATGTCTACGCTTCACTAAGAATATATTGGTTGGTCCTCTTGGTATGTCCACTTTGGATCCAGCAGATCGAGAATACCACCCCTACTATTTTAACAGTGACGATTCGGATGATTTCTTGGTTGCCAAGGGACGTAATTACCACCAAGGACCCGAATGGATCTGGCCACTTGGCTACTACCTCCGTTCAGTCTATATTTTCAATGCCATGCCTCCGCAATCTATTGCTCGTATTTTGCGTGCTCATCGTGAAGAGATTGCTACCAACCCTTGGCGCGGTTTGGCCGAGTTGACTAATAAGAACGGAGAAAAATGCTGGGATTCGTGTGACACACAAGCGTGGTCAGCATCAACTTTACTGGATCTTTTGCAGGGCATGATTGAAGGAGCTTAAGATAGTTTTGTTGTGTAGATAAAATAAATAGCATTTTGTTTTATTTTATTATCCATAAAAATCACTTTTTGCCTAGCAGAAGAGCTCTAAAATCATCATTGCTTTTGGGAGTAATTGTTTGAGGTGCAGTTGGCCCAGCTGTTGGAGCATGAGTAGAAGTAGCTTGTTCGGCAGGTTTTGCTTGATTTCTTGAAATAGCCAAACGTGTTCCTTTACCACGTCCTCTTCCACGTGCATTGCGCATACCATGGGGGATCATACCTAATCCACTGGCTGGCTTTGTTTCTACATTTGCTACTGCCTTTTTCTCTACTTTGGGTTCTGCTGATATTTTTTGAATCGGCTTTGGCTTCTTGAAGACATCGTTTTCAAATATATTCATTTCGGAGGCTTTGCGTTTAAGAATAGGTACAGTAGGTACAGAGTGTACTTTGTTTTCTTTTTCTGAAGGAGCCATTGATAATTCAAAGCTCTGTTTTTTTGTTTCCTTGAGCTTCCGGCGGTGAGCACTCTTTTTAATCTAGTAAAAAAGTTATGAATATGGTTATGAGGATTTTTGTATCAGGCACCTTTGCAGACATCTCTTTTTCCTTCTCTTTTTCCTTCTTTTTTCCTTCTGCTGTTTCTTGTTCAGCAAGATTTGCCTATAATATTAAAAGAAAAAATATGTTAGAGCTCTTATCCAGTACAAATCGTATTGAGAATTGTTTACCTGCCAGTTTCTTGTTAGTAGCTTTGAACCTTTGTTGATGCGAATAAGAGCATCTTCCATGGAGTCAACTGTTCCTTCCTCATGCTCAAAAGTCATCCATGCATCCATAATCCTTTCTGGATAATCGAGATTTTTTGAAAGTGCTTGTTTGAACAATGAAGCACATCGATGTTCATTTCCGGCGGATCTAATATAAATAGTCAATATTAATACATAGTTTTGTCAGATTAGAAACTCACCTCTCAAAGTCAATGTATTGAATCCATGCTTCTGATTGGCGGCCATGCTTCTTTATAACACCTTCCCATATCTCACGAGCTTTCTTTACATTGCCTAGTTTCTTACCCTTATAAATAAAAATAAATGAGTATAACCATACGTATTTAGTAAATTGGCGTATGATGCAATATAAGAAAAAAAATACCTCGATATAGGCATAGTATTTCTCTATGCGGTAATACGGATCACCAATCTTTCCGAATGCTGTATAACCTCTATCAGCTATTACAACCCTCATTTGTAATAGTATTACCTTCAGATATATATACCAGTGCCTCTTCAAAGGCAACACGAAGGTCCATAATAGTTTCCTCGTCGGCTTCAGGATAATATATATATGTATGTATGTATAGATGTTTGATGAATTCTTATCCAGTATTTACACATACACAAACTTACGCTCTTCCCAGTCGACACGCCGGCGTTCAAAGTCACATTTTGCCCTCAACAGAGCTACAAGATCTTCAAGACTTGCTAGCAAAGCCTTGTTCTCTAAGGCACGGTCGAATATTTCTATTATACAAACTTTCAATAGCTGTTTATTCTCACATTTACGTTTTTTTGTTAGCATTACCGGATATCTTTTCATGTGATTTTTTACCAGTCTCCTAAAAACAATGAAATAATATAAATATTTTTCTTGAGGAATACTATTTTTAGACTTTTTTACCAAGACTCTTCCGAGATGGGCCCACAAGATACCAGACCAAGGACAATTCCGAACAGCACGCAAAGTAGTAGCTTCCAAGAAGATTTGAACACGTACACGTTCAAACTTTTGGTCAACGTGTAGTTTAGTAAGTATCTGTGCAGTTTCTTTGAAGATTCTACTTAATTCTTACAAAGAAAAGAACATAATCATTCCAAAGGCCAACGTCGGTACAGTACATTGATACTGCACGCTCGTACAATCCTCTAACATTGTTTAAACTAGGCTTTTTGGTTGTTATTTTCTCGTTTTCAATATATTGATAAAACATATCAAGTGAATATCCATGTTGAGTCTACAGGAAAATGGTATCAAAATAAATATGAGACTAAATAATAATTAATACAATGACTTAAACTCTTACTAATTGTTGTTCAAAATAATCTCTTTCAATTGCTGCTTCTTTCGTTTTTGCGTAAATTTTGTTGGCTTCCACCATATTGGATTCATAATTTTCATTATCAAAGGTACTTATCAGGCCAGAATAATCGCTGAAAGTTTGTTCGCAGGCTAAAAGAGAGAAAGGTTTTAATTTCCAAGTGTATGCTTTATGATTATTGAATCTCACCAATATGCAAGGTACTCAAGCGTTCCATAAAAGCTTTTTTAACTTTTTCAAATCTTTCAGGGCTTTATATTTTAATGTTAGTTTAACTTATATTTTAGAATACCCACACATTTTTTTACCTTTGAAAACGCTAATGGAATGTATTGGATAAAAACAATATAATATGAAGGGATAAATAAATAAATAAATAAATGGGTAAACAATATTATTACCTTTAATACTCGAATCTCAAATCCACTGTATTTATTCCATATTTCGTGGCTCTATGATCAAAGTTAGTATAGAATGAATTCCATGTAAAACAAACAAAAACAAAAAGACGTACTTCCATCACATGGTAGCTTGTAGCGCGCACTGCTTTCATTAAATCTTCTCGTGTATTCTCTATAACCATCTCAGCTTCGGCTTCATTATTGAGTCCAGTTTCATCGTCGCCCCAGACAGAATCAAATCTGGCGAGGATAAAATCCACATAAGACTTCCAAATAGGAATGGCTGTTTTAAGCATGAATAAGTAAAGAAGTGCAGTTTATACTATATCACTATTGTTTTATACTTACACAAGTAGTCTTTTTCAGCCTCATTATACAGAAGGCGTAACTTTGCCTCTCCATCCTCTGTATCCAAGTTCTTTTTGGCGTCGTTAATCCAATCCAGCCACATAGCTAGCATTTTATAAAATAAAAGCATTTAACTTTCTATGCCGACGACAATTCTTTTTCTTCTTACATTCTGGAAGAGGGAATAATTCGTGCATGTTTTCACGGGCAGATTCAAGCTGATCGGGGAAGTCTAGCAGGGACAGAATTTCAATCAAGCGTACATGCAATTCAAATCGTGTATTATCTTGATCCAACTAGTACGTATGTTGTGAGTGATAAGTTTAGATAATACGTGTTGGTCGAAGCATCACCTGTTCCATGACTTGCGGTAATTGTTCCAAAGCCTCAAGAGTTTTTTGTGCCTGAATAGCAGCAGGATCATCCAATTCTGAGATTTGGTTATCAAGCAAATCATCATCTGAAGATTCATTCACTTCCATGGAATATGTGGGATTTTTATTTACTATTCCTGTCAAGTCCATCGTAGTTGCATCAGTGAGAGATTGCTCATTAATAGCCATATCGTTGTCACCAGAATCTTTAGCAGGCACAGAATATATAGTCTGATCGACCGCCGCATTCCCATGTGCTGTGATGTCTTTCGGTGAGGCCATCGCTATGTTTTACAACTTCTTTCGTCTTGTTCCTTCACAAAGTAAGCTATAACGCGACAACTTCTTATCCGTCTTTGTGACTGCCTCTTGATCATGCTTTAAAGAAGGGCCAGTTATTTTGTATGATTCTTCCAACTTATCTGATATATTACTTGTATAATGCTGATTTGCCATGGTCTAACCTCTACGAAATATACATTACGGCGTACTATGCATTCAATAGCTCCACATACGAAAAAGCTGGAGGGATATGAATTCTATGAAAAAACTCTTGGTAGCCCCAAGCACATTATTGCGCCCATGGTCGAGCAATCCGAACAAGCTTGGCGGATATTAAGCAAGCGTTATGATTCCCATTTATGCTTCACACCAATGTTCCATGCCAAGCTATTTAGTGATTCTTTTAGTGGTCCAAGATACAGAAAAGATCAGTGGAGCACAAACGAAAAAGATCGACCTCTTATTGTACAGGTACCCGATTATGTATATATATATATATATATATATTTGCTTTGAACATAATATGTTATCAAGAAGAAGACTTATATTCCTAAAGTTTTGTGCGAACGATCCATATATACTGCTTAATGCAGCCAAGATGGTAGAACATCAATGCAATGCGATTGATTTAAACCTTGGGTGTCCACAGAATATTGCAAAACGGGGGCGTTATGGATCATTCTTGCAGGATGAATGGAAAGTAATTGAATCTATGATATCTTTGCTTCATCGTGAACTATATGTACCAGTCACTGCCAAGATTCGGGTCTTTCCGACTGTCGAGAAGACAGTAGCTTATGCAAAAATGCTCGAAAATGCAGGGGCCCAACTTTTGACTGTTCACGGTCGCGTAAGAGAACAGAAAGGGCATCACACAGGTCTGGCTGACTGGGATAAAATCAAGGCGGTAAAGGATACTGTTAAAATACCTGTATTTGCCAATGGAAACATTCTTTATCATGAAGATGTTAAAAGTTGTCTTGATTATACTGGGGCGGACGGTGTTATGAGTGGAGAAGGACATTTGTACAATCCTACCATATTTACACCTCAGGATATGCCACCATTGTCGTGGGTTATTGCTCAAGAATACCTAGAAATATGCAGGGATATCTGCCCAACGCGCCACAGCATCATGAAATCGCACCTCTTTAAACTATTTCATTCCGCATTGCCTTTACACACAGATTTGCGAGAGAAGTTGGGTAAATCTTTGAATTGGCAGCATTTGTGGGATATTTGCGTGGATATGAAAAACAGATTAGAAGAGGACAGAATTCGGATAGGCGAAGAAGAGTTACGAGGACAAACTAATGATAAAGGTTTGCGGAAATACGGTCATTGGCGTTGCCAGGTAAAACAAATATTATGGATTCGTCTTAACCTACACTCACATACATTACACAGCCTTACTTCCGAGCCGGATTTCTTTTGGATTACGAAAAGGCGAAAGGGGAAGAAAAAGAAAGAAAGAGAGGGTCTAATATGGTGAAGGCTTTAGAAGATGAAGAAGACATGGCAGTTGCACTCGGATAGAATAGAATATATATGCAACAAAAAAATACTCCACACTAATTTACATTTTTCTTTTAATTTCACATTTCATATTGTATCATACCAATATTATATATTTAACTGGCTCTCATATTGGCATCCTTATTTATTCACGAGTTACTGACAATAAGAATGCACATTGCCATATTTATAGGCCAATAGACAATACAGATGTAAGTCAAGAACCATGACTGAGCTACTTGAAAATCCGCAAATAGTGCTGTCAAGACACTAGTAAGACAATTACCCGTGATAATTGTAAATAAAGTGACAAGGCCGGCAGGCGATGTCAACGTAATAATAAGCCATTGGGCGAGTCGGGCTGCAGAATTTGGCGAAGGGCGAATAATACTATAGGGTAAAGCTATAGTTATTGCCGTTGCCACCGCAAGGCTGAAATTCAAAAGGGATACGGTGGCGATTATTAATGCACTCTGAGCCAAACAGAATGACTTTAAAATCGCACCACTGTGTGTAGTGGATCTATTTTTTGTCACCCACAAGCTAAGGCCTGTGACAGTTGTGAAAGCGATCAAACAGGCAATAATGAACTGTCCGTGAACGATCTTTTGATTTTGTATATATTATATCAGAAAATCAGTCATAAAGAATACAGTTACATTACCTCTGCCATTGGAAAGCTTCTAAGAAATTGTTGCCCAAAGATTGGTTGGATTACATAAAATATTAAAACACCTGCGAGATGAGTTGCCCCCAAAATAGAAAAAGCAAAAGATACATTCTTCTTCTTGACAGTAAAGGCTGGTGGGTATTCAGTATTTAGGTTTCCTGTTGTCTCTAAAGGAAGGTAATAAAGTACAAGGGAGTAAAGACAAGGTTAAGAATAAACAATGACCAGATTACGTGTCTGAGGATGCCCAAATTGGTATTTCTTTTGGAAAAAAGGATATTTGAAATATCAAGCTACATGCAAAGACAATAATTGGTGGCATATAGACACCGATAGAGACATAGCGATTAGGCTGTGGCAAGAAATAAAAGAAGAAAGACTGATGAAAATGCTCAAGCAGGTTGTTTAAGCTGCGGAAAGTGGATTCTACCAGACTATTAAAAAGGATATTAGAGCCTATTTTTTAATTGAGCTTTTTATTGGTTACTTACACTCCTATTCTGTGGAATCCAAATAAGTGGTTCAAATCTCCAGATCCATGAATACCATGCACTGTAATTGCATCAATTTTGTATCTATAATAATATTCATAATCAACTATTAAAACTATTAAAACTATTTCTTCCGGAGGAACTGTCTTACCTTAAGTAAAGACCTGCATCACTGGAAGGGTGGCATAAGGCTTGATACTTCATAGTACGGAGCATATGCAAAAGAGAGCCAGCGTACACACCCCATGATTTTTCTTCGTATGAATTAGATGTAGTATCGTGAAGGACTACTGAAATCTGAGCAGTGTGCCTTGCTATGACAACTATGGAGTTGATGAGATCTAAATTTGGCAGCTGCCCATTGACACCCTCTAATACCAAATTTAATCATTAGAATTGATTTTACGAGCATGATATTAATTACCAAAAAAAAGTCCAAGACTTTCATAATCATTTGTCCCCGGAAAGTCTAAGTTGATTGCTCCTTGAACAGCTCCTGAGCGTGGCATGACAACAGAAGAGAATCCGGCCTTGTCGATTTCTAGTGTTTTAGAGGTTTTCCTTATAAGAAAGTGATTCCATGCACTCAATGACTAATATACCTTCTGATTGAGTAATTCCATGATATGCATCCAACCATGCCTGAGTTCCTGACAGATCCTTGTCTGTCACAAGTAAAATTATATCCTTGGACCAATATATATTACCTAATATAATAAGGTAAGTGCGTGACCCATATACACGTCTTTAATTTGGATTAATCTCTTACGTTTGAACAATTTTGCTAGAGACAGCAATGCAGCAATACCATTGGTATTATCTAAGTTGTATATTATCTTAGCAAGGTAATACATCCCTTATACTTCAATTAATAACTCACAATCCCCTGTGCGTGACACCCAAGGTGCACTCAAAATAAGTGCTTCTTTTCCATCACTTCGGGGTGCTCGATGAATAGCAAATGCGTTTACTCCCTTTTATAAGTAATAATAATAAATTTGTTCAACTCTTCTTTTATTCGCTTATCATCTAGTATCACGTTTTTGTTTTGTTTTACATGCTTACAGTTTCGTTTAAACCATTTACAGAAAAATGTTGAAGCGCAGATGTGAATCCTATACGTCGTAGTTCCTCTTGGATAAACGACGCTCTCCTGTAATAAATCTTCAATCAGTCTAATAACTCATAGAAATTAAGCTTTTGCTTACATCTCACTGTCTTTATCCTGAATCCGGATGATTTTTGACCGATAGTCTTCTGCTGCACGCATGTCATTGTATCCATAATTTACGTTTGCCTAATCATGTCTAACATCATTACCTTATTCTTTCTTTTAGCTCTTATAAGTAGATGTATACCTGTCCAGGCAAAAGTGCATTTTCTGAAATATAAGTGCGTTTGTTGTATCCTTCGTACGGTAATAAGAACAGCCAAATGACTGCAACCACAAATAGGATAATACTAAAATGGAATGTTAATCGGGTTGTCATCTCACAATTTCCCTGTACCTTAAAATTGGTATGTATTTTTCTAAAGCAATGGCAATCTTGCGTTGTTTCTCTAAGCTAAATTCTGAAGACACCCTCTTGCCAGTCAGCTTAGCCTTAATCCTTGAAAGAAGCATGGCGTGAGGAGGTGGAGATCAAGAGTGTGCAGGTGGGCGATCATCTATATCCCTCGATTAGAAGCCCGTGACGCCCTTTGATTTCCTTTATTTCCTGTACCTTTTGTATATTGAAGTCCGCCCGGACAAGAGAGTGTGACCGGCTTTCCTTCTTTTTTTTTTGGCCCTAAGGATAATACAGGATTTCCACTCCAAAGGTATTTTTTTTTCAAACTATATATTTTGCAAAATCAAAACTTTCATTTTGTGCTCCGACTATATATAAAAAAAATCAATTTATTTCTTGGCTATTTGTACATTGGGGGAAGAAGCTAATGCTATGATCAACCCAGCCTTGGCAGTTTTCCATAGCGATATGACGGGAGCACTCAGCAATATACTCCAAGAATTGACCACATACCAACCCGGGCTTTCTCTTGACCAGTGTTTTGAGTTTGGAGAAGCACTCTTCAATCGGGTTTAGGAAAGGAGAGTATGGGGGGAGAAAGTGTAGGTGGTGTCGTGAATTAGCAAACAATTCAGTGACAAGGTGGGATCTATGGATCGAGGCATTATCCATAATGAAGTTGTGAGGGGCAGCATTACTGTGGTCGAGCGAATCCATAATCGTCTTTACAAATTCAACGAAAATTGGTCCTGTCGTGCCACCAGGGGTCAACTTCGCCTGCACACTCTCAACACCTTGGTAAGAAATACCGGCAAGAATTGTGATGTTTAGTCCCCTTTTCGACTTCGTCTTCACAATGCTGGCCTCGCCTTTCTTGGACCACCCTTGTCCTCTGATCAGGTTTGCATTAATGCCTGCTTCGTCCACAAAAATGCAATTGGTTTTATACGATAAACCATTTGTGTGCATACTGTCTACGTATACTTTTCTCAGCTCAATAGTCTTCGGGTCGTTTCTTTTTCCCTCGACCGGCTTGGTTCTCTTCAATGTGAACCCGATGTTGTTGATAATGTGCTTATGTAAGCCACTGATGCTCAAGTTCTGCTCTTGAAGCTCTGGAAATTTTCTAAACAGTTCCTCTCTCATTTGACCAAGAGTCAAGGTGCAGCATTTGTCCAAGAGGTCTTGAATGAACTTCGAATGCTCATCGGTTATCTTAAGACTTTCCGCGCGCGAGCCGCCTCGCTTCTTGGGCTCTACAGTAGCATCCCTCTCGAATTTGGTGATGATGTTGTTAATCGACGCCCATGAGACACCAAATGCCCTGGCTGCTTCGGCTCGGGTCATGGACTCTTCTATATAACATTTCTCCACAATCATGTTCTTGATGTGGATCGGAAGAACCTTTTGTGGTCCATTTCTCTTTCTTCTCTTAACGATAGCGATTTGATTGGGGTTCATGTTGGAGGATTTGAGTATAGAAAAAGATAATAGATAAAGACAGTTCCCAAAACCATATTACAAACTTAGCATTATATACTTTTCTTATAACAATATATTGACATTGCATGTTTTCTTATATTGTTTTTAATAAACAGTGTAGACATTCTTTAAATACTTTATCGCACATATTAGCATTCTTCATGCTCTTTATTAATTTGCTTTAAATTTCTTTCTATCCGCATTAATTAATTTATTTTTTTCATATATAGTCGGAGCACAAAATGAAAGTTTTGATTTTGCAAAATATATAGTTTGAAAAAAAAATATAACTTTTGGAGTGGAAATCCTGTAATAATTACCCCTTTTTCTCTATTTTAATACACTACTGAAACACCACCAATGTCTGAAGTAACACTTACAAGAAGAGAACAACAAGCCTTGAGAAAGGCAGCACTCGGAGCAGCACCTGTCAGAACTCTGAGAGATATTGGATCTGCATTGGAACCTTCGACAATTCCTAATGTTATGAAGTTGAAGTCTAACATTGTTTGTGTTTTTGCTTCTGAATGGGAACTTTGCAAACAAGAAATTGAAGAACAATGCTGCGTCAAGTGGATTATCAGTCGTCCTAATAGACATAGTTCCGCTGTTGATATCACCAAGAAGAAGCGTGTGCTCTTCTCCCAGGTATACTCCTGTCATAGAGGTGAAAGCTATGAACCTGAAAGCAGAGAAAAGCGTCCGATTCAACGTAAATCGAAGAAAGTTGGCTGTGAGGCAACTCTCATTATCACCTGTCACGCTGACAAACCTCATGTTTATATGTTTGATTTCATTGGCAACCATAAAAATCATATTCCCGGGGATATTCAAACCGATCTTGGACTTATTCCCTTGACTCGAGGTCGTGTTAATGACATTGTTGCTCGTTTGACAGCTAGCCCTGGCTCGTCAGCTAGAAAGATCAGACTTGAGATTCTTCGTGACGTTGACCGGCAAGAGTACTCTCTCAATGAACGTAAAATCAACTACTTTGATATTTACAACAAAATTCTTGCAGTAAGTTATACACAAAAGCTATAATCAATGTTATCAATGTTAACATTTATTTTGATATATTTGAATTATAGATCAACCGAACAATCTTTCGCTTGCACGAGGACGACTTCAAGTCCATGAAGATGTGGTTTGCAGAGAAACTTTCTCCCAAAAATTTCATCATCTTCGAAGGAAATTTGCAGGCATACACAAATGACGAGAGTCTTTATGCCTGTGGATTCGCGTCACCTTTCCAGCAAGGCAAGATCAAAGCTGCAACAACATTTTGCATGGATGCCACTTACATCATTACCCAAAGATCTGATGACATTCTTTACACCATTGTCATTCGTGATGAAGAGCTCGACCGCGGTTTCCCTTGTGCGTATATGCTGACCAACGATCATTCTCTAGGCCCGATTGTCCAGTGGTTGAAGCACCTGAAAGACAATCAGTTGATTGTAAACCCTCAGTAGTTCACGATTGACTGTAGTAATGCTGAGACAAATGCGCTCGCAGCAATCTTCCCTGGATGTCAGATCCAATACTGTCTCTTCCATGTGAGTCAAGAATGGTACAGACAGTTAAATCTGAAGGTCAAGACTGGAAGTACTGTCAACGAAAACCGCCTCATTCGTGGCGAAATTATGGCTTTTCTTAAGCACATCATGTACGAAGAGCATATTGTGGCATTTCTGAACAAGATCGTCGGGGTCATTGAAAAATACGAGCATACACAGCCTGATTTTGTGAAATACTTTGAGACCAACTGGTGCACCATGGCTAAATATTGTGTTTGGAGTAGAGCTTTCCATCAGCTCGAATGCTTTCACATGCTAACAAACAACTATATTGAGTCTTGGCACAACCAACTAAAGACTCGTTTTTTAGGCCGTAGTCGCAACAAGAGATTTGACAGACCAATCTTTATATTGACAAACGAAGTAGAGTTTTACTTCAAGGAGGAGGCCATGAGAATCAACATGCGTAGTAGTCCTATGACAGCAGCTCAGAAACAGCAAAGAAAAATAGAAATGTCTGCTGAAGCTGTTCCTCCATATATGCGTGCTAACATGATTGTTAGCCCATCCAAAGCAGCATCTTTAACTTCTATCTCCGATGACACTGACGATGTTCCTGAAGATGGATTCTGGTTCATTGACTCGTTTACTGAAGATGGTATCACATATCAAGTTGAAGTTAACAACAGTGTTATTCTTTCTTGTACTTGTTATTCCTGGGCTAGGTACATGAAACCTTGTAAACACATGCATTTGCTTCGTATCCATGTATCTGGTTTTACTTTCCCGTCTGTGCCTTTTGCTGTCAATAACATGTTGTCTGTCAGTATTTCTATCGAGCAGTTTGTTGAACAAAATTCCATGACAATTGGTAGCAGAACAGAGACCACTGGCCGTGGATATGCAATCGAAGCATTTGAGTATACCAAAAAGTGCTCCTTGACAACTCGACACAACGAACAAGATTTGTATCAGTTGATCCAGTATGCTACTGAAGAGGAAGCAGAAGCTATTAGAGCAGCATATGCTGCCCCTATTAAAGCCTTTCAAGCAGTTAAAGCAAAATACGAAACCCATTTCAGAACGTTAACCACACAACGTCCTTAATAAAAAAAATCTGTCTTATTTACAACTGTTTTCAAGATATATAACTTTGTCTCTCACTTTTTTAACAACGTATTTTTGGACATATATGTGTAAATAGAGACGTTTGTGGACTCAGATTTTCAACTTTTTGCACGAGCTCATTGCCTTAGAAAGGAAACCCAATGTTACATACACATCTATATAGAGACACTACTCTACCAAACCTTATTCAAATTGGTAGCCTCTAATATTCATTTATTTGCTTTTCTAAACTGACGTTATTTAAACAGCAGAAATATATAGAGAAATGTAACTTTCAAATATAAGCTTACAATGGCATAGAAAAAGTCTGATTATACATTTTTATACGCAATTTACTCTAATTATATATCACATATGGCTTGGAGAAAATATATGCAATACAATCTCCAGTTACATATAGAATTTACAGCTGTTTTATAGTCAAATCAACAAAAAGTTTAGTTTAATCAATAGCATACATTATTAGTTGTAATTTTAGTAGTCGCCTTGTCAAATATATTATCTAGGTAATGAGCAGTCCTTCTATGGATCCACTTTGAAAACTTCAAAAAACCTTTTTTTAGCTAATTCTTGTACAACTCTGCAAATCTGAGTCCACAAACGTCTCTAATAATATATATTTAAGCTGTATTCTTGATTATTTTTATATGTTCTTATTTTGGTTCTATATTGCATTTTTTTTAAAAAAAAAAAGAATAATAAAAAATGCAAAGGTAACATGTGGCTTACTTCTGAAATTCAAATTCTGGTTGTCCGGTGTGCAAAAGGTACAGGAAATAAAAAGATTCTCGATTAGTATGGAGATATGCTTTCCTTCATATATGGCATCATGTAGTGACTATTATGTGTTAATGGTAGCATTAAGTTGCTCTAAGTGCATTAAGTCTTAATTACAAGTGGAATGGTCATCAAAATATTGGTAAGACAAAGCTTTATTAGTATTTTCGTTATAGTTAACACTATTATAATCATTTACATTCCTGTTAGAGTGGGAATCTTGATCCTCACACAACTGATTACCCTTTAATTCAGTTGTGTGGAATGATAGAGAATTACATCCTTGGGCCTTGGCGCATCTTTCGTCTAATTGGCGGGTGGTAGCAATACGGTCTGGGCATCTTGCTGGTGCCATTTAATATCGGAGCGGTTGGCGGAGCTTCGCCTGTTCTATTGGCCTGAGCGTCCACAATAATTGGTCCGCATGGACCCCCTCCCCTACATAGAATCAAGGTCCATGGGAATAGGTTCATCATCACGGAAATATTGTGGAATAGGATCAGGACGTGCCAGGCGAGCAGAACAACACTCGATTTTGTATCCAAGGGCTGTGCGTGCAGTCTCACCAACGTCCAAAGGCTCACAAAAATGAACCTGACCACGGGTTTCAGGGCGTAAACCATCAACAAATCAGTAAAACGCTTCATCCTTGGCCATGGACAGGATTACCATGTGGAGATTATAGTAAGTGCTGATATAGTTGTTGACAGACCTTTTCTGGCGCAAAGAACGAATGCGATTACGGGAATTCTGGGTAACATGGATTTGATGGGATGCAAATTGCCATTAAGCAAGTGTGTAAACCTGTGCGAATCCGAAGCTCTGGTAACATTGTCTTCCATGCGGCACCACCAGGCATTGGCACAATTACAAAGAAGAGTAATATAATAGGAGGTCCAACTGTCATATTCTATGCGATGTAGTTCAGCAAAACGTTCCACAGAACAAACCCAGCCATAAATATTGTTGAAAGAACGAGCACTGCGATAAAAGTCTGGGCGTTATATACGGACAGACATAAACAGGGAAATATTGATGTGCGCAGAAATTGGGGCAGCATAAAGAGAAGGTAGCTGCGAGTCATGAAGAGCAGTAGTGAAGGTGACAATTAACTCGGGTATATTCATGGCACCATGATCAGCATGGTCAGCATGGTCAGCATGGTCAGCATGGTCAACAGGGACATGTGTATCACTCATGGGTAAAGAGTTTGGAGCAGGTACGTAAACTGGGATACTCTGGAGCAGGGAGTGTAGAAACATATACACTAGAAAATTTGAAAACGATGTTTCTGCCTTGAGTATCCCAAAAAGCGACATGAGCATGAGTAGAACGGATACACTGTTTTTCAGGAATATGGGGTACAGTACAGCAAGCAAGGTATGAACTCATTCTTCAATTTCAAGTTTATTTTTTATTTTCTTTTTATTTTTTCATTTGAGCGTCAGTAAAGTGGGCGCTTTTCTGGTAAGAGAAATCGCTTATTCAGCTACCAATTGTCAAGTCTCGATCTGATTTCTTTTTCTGGCACCTTTAACTAAGTCGCCTAATCAATACCACTGGGGGATTATCAAGTTTATGAATAGTTTTCAGATAAGAATAAAAATACTTTTTTATTAAATACATTTCTTGCTTATTTATACAAAACGATTGTTAATTTCTGGATATGAAAAAAAAAAGAAATAGCTACAATAAAAGGTCTTAGATTATGAATATACACTAATATCTCTATAAGTATATTTGTCATCTTTAACATCTAAGAGTATCTGCAGTAGTTAAATTTCATAAATCATTAAATATACATTAACAGTTTAAACTATCTTGATCATTTTAAATTATTATCTTTTTCTCTTTGTTTCCTTTAAATCCCTTTGTTATAACAAGTAAAAGCCTATCGCAGTAAACAGCAAATCTTACACAGAATATGTTCACTACGAAGCCAATAGCCTTGAGGCCATTAACTAATTTCATTATATATATAGAGGTGAATAAAATTACCAATGAAGAAAAGTCAGCTTCATACAGTGTTATATTTTGAACAATATTTTAATCTAAAAATATCAACCATTACTGATTGCTTCCATGTTGCGATTTTGGTCTCGGATGTCAACTCTAGCACTTTAATATAACATATCAGTATAGCAAATCAGATAAAGGATACAAAACAGTTTTTGTTATATTTGATGTAGGTTGTCTTATATACTTTTTGAAACAATTATTTATCTTTGGTTACACTCCAGAAGCGTCTAGTAATAATACATATCTATAAAGTTACAAAGTGAAGAGTAGTCATTCTAGTTCCTGCTTCTTCTGTAATAAGAAGTCGCTAGAAATTGTATCACCAAAACTAAGCACGACAACTTTGAGCATCACTTATTTTATCGTGCCTGAATTCTTGTTAGCCAATCAGAACAACAATTACACAATATCCTCTTTTGAGAATAACGATCAACATGATTCACTTTTGCTCACAAAATAATTAGAAAACATATAGCTTAACAAAAAAGTATAATATAAGCCAAAACAGACATTTACAATGGCTGAGTAGGTTTAGAAAAGATGTGAACGAAAAAAAATCATTCAATAAACGTTATTTATCTTTCTGTCATATTTCTATTCTTGTTTATTTTAGCTTACGATCCCCAGCAGGTTTGACAGTTTTTGGCTGTGTTATGGCATTTGAAAAACAACCCAGCTCGAAAGCGACAATGCTACCTGGAGAGACTGAACTAAAAAAATTCGATGGGATTTGGTGTGATACCATCTGCATTGCTTCAAATTGTTTGGTTTATGCAAAATCCAGCTGTATAAAAGCATATGATTATACAACGCTCTGGTATAACAAGTTGATCGTAGTAATTATATGTGTGATATATATATATACCACAATTGAGTGAAATACAAGCCCATAAACAAGAACGGATACTGCAATTGCCAATGAGACAGGCAAGGGCACATTTCAGGGATGTAACACACGCCAGTCACTAGTACACTTCACACTGCTTCAGGGACAACCAACCATTAATGGATGAATATTTTAAATTAGGAAACCGAATATCCATATAAGCAGTTATAATCATATTTCTTAAATAAACCATACTATTACAATGTCTATTATTCTCTTTTCACATCTTATTCGTATATCTCAATCTGAGCCAGACGGATCAATTCTGATTAACATTTCAGTCAACCGGAACGATTCAGGTTAACTTTCTAGCCAAACTGGTAACAACTACTTAACATTCAAGTAAAAAAAAAAACTTTCGGTTAACATTTAAGCCAAGCTAGTAACGACCAGTTAATATTTAAGCCAAACCGGTAGAAACTGGTTATTTTTTAAGCCAAACTGGTAACAACTGGTTAACGGTTGAGTCAACTGGTGACGACTAGTTAACACTTTAACCAAACTGGTAAGGACTGGTTAACGGTTAAGCCAACTGGTAACGACTGATTACTACTTTAGCCAAACTGGTGACGATTGGTTAACATTTTAGCTAAACTGGTAACGACTGGTTAACGGTTAAGCTAAACAAGTAGCAACCGATTAACACTTTAGCCAAACTGGTAACAACTGGTTAACGGTTAAGCCAACTGGTGACGATTGGTTAACATTTTAGCCAAACTGGTAACGACTAGTTAACGGTTAAGCCAAACTGGTAGCGACCGATTAACATTTTAGCCAAACTGGTAGCAACTGGTTAATGGTTAAGCTAAACTGGTGACGACTGGTTAACACTTTAGCCAAACTGGTAAGGACTGGTTAACGGTTAAGCCAACTGGTGATAACCGATTACCACTTTAGCCAAACTGGTGACGACTGGTTAACAGTTAAGCCAACTGGTGATGACCGATTAACACTTTAGCCAAACTGGTAGCAAGTAGTTAACGGTTAAGCCAACTGGTGAGGACTGGTTAACATTTTAGCCAAACTGGTGGAAACTGGTTAACGGTTAAGCTAAACTGGTGACGACTGGTTAACAATTAAGCCAACTGGGGACGACCGATTAACACTTTAGCCAAACTGGTAGCAAGTAGTTAACGGTTAAGCCAACTGGTGTGGACTGGTTAACATTTTACCCAAACTGGTAACGACTGGTTAACGGTTAAGCCAACTGGTGACGACTGGTTAACATTTTAGCCAAACTGGTGGCAACTGGTTAACGGTTAAGCTAAACTGGTGACGACTGGTTAACGGTTAAGCCAAACTGGTAGCGACCGATTAACATTTTAGCCAAACTGGTAACAACTGGTTAACGGTTAAGCCAACTGGTGACGATTGGTTAACATTTTACCCAAACTGGTAACGACTGGTTAACGGTTAAGCCAAACTGGTAGCGACCGATTAACATTTTAGCCAAACTGGTAGCAACTGGTTAACGGTTAAGCCAAACTGGTAGCGACCGATTAACATTTTAGCCAAACTGGTAACGACTGGTTAACGGTTAAGCCAACTGGTGACGACTGGTTAACATTTTAGCCAAACTGGTGGCAACTGGTTAACGGTTAAGCTAAACTGGTGACGACTGGTTAACGGTTAAGCTAAACTGGTAGCGACCGATTAACATTTTAGCCAAACTGGTAGCAACTGGTTAACGGTTGAGCTAACTGGTGTCGACTGGTTAACATTCAAGTCAAACTTGTGTCAACTGGTTAGTATTTAAGCCAAAAAAATTAATTCTGGTAAAGATTTAAGCCAACTGGCA